GGACGAGTTGCGTCTGGGGACAGGTTATGGCTGAGGACAAGTTTGGCTGAGAACGAGTTGCGTCTGGGGACAAGGTTGGCTGAGGACAGGTTGTGCTGGGGACAGGTTTGGGCTGAGGACGGGTTCGGGAGCCCATTCAAGTGGCTCAGTGAAGGATCCATTTTAGGACCCCTACAGAGATATTTAAGATAGGATGAACCTCTAAGCAGATTCATGTCCAGTATCGACACCAAAATGCGACGGGCTCGACTTCTGGGGAAAGAACGCAGCATCGTAACAGAAAAAGCTCTCAAGTGCAAGGGCATGGTCAGTGTCCGACTTGAGGTGCTGTCGTTTCCAGAGATTAAGACAAGAGATCCCACGAAGCTGAAGAGCAATGTGAAGAGGCTGAAGAAAGCATTTCGGGATGAAGGTTGCTGGCGGCTGCCGTTGCCGAATCACATTCCAGCTCAAATCGATAAGCAGAGTCTCGATGCCGCCCTTCGACATTCACAGCGCTCGAGCAAAGAACTTTTTGTGGGCCCCCGAGACGAATATCCCGAGCTCGAGTTTCCACCGGGTTACCAGCTCATGTGTCTGGATGGGCAGAGCCGCGCTCTTGCTGCCGCAAAGGTTCTTCCTGTCGCGGACCGGAGGTGGATCGTAGATTTATATGCTGCAGGTATGAGATGCTTACTCTCGTATAGCGAGACATTACATTGATATATGGTTGTTAGACCTCACAGAAGAGCTCAGGACGATTCTGGTGGAGGAATACTCGAATGAAGACCGTCTGCATCCTGGAGAGATCTACCGAAAACTTCGGCTGTATCACCTCCAAAGGGACTTGCGAATCGACAATTGGTGGTTTGAAAAACGGTGCTGGGCACGTTTGTCAGCTCATGGACGCCGCAATGTCAAGCAGCTCCTGCGCCACCGTGAAATAACCGCGGCCTGTGATGCCCTGCTGGACGTTGTCGGGCTTTGGAGCGGTTGGAGAACAAGCACCTGGCACAAGATACTTCCAATGGGTGTTGACGAGGTAAGTTCCACCTTGCGGGCCATTTAGGTTCTCACCAATTATTGTAGTGCATCCTATACAGCCTCGATCTCATGAAAGATTTTTGGTACGAGAGCGTTGGGGTAGAACGGGATGCGATGCAGAAAGTCGACGAAAACAGCGTCAAAGAACTTGAGGGTACCGCCCCTGGGGCGTGCAAAGCGGATGCTCGGGATCTATATAAGAAGTTGAAGGCTGGAAAAATCTTCGGAGCTTTCAATGACCAAGATCGCGAAAAAATCTGGGCCGAAGTGTGTCGTCGGACGAAAGATCGCTTGGTCCCGTCATTTTTCACCTTCTTCGAGGATTTGAACTGGCTGAAGGGCCCAGCGGACTGCGTCAAACGGTTGATACCTATATCACCCGATGACACGATCCTCTACGCACTGGAACAGTACGTTTTCACAGGCGTTAACCAGCGAACCGGCCAGTGCTTGATCCAGAAACCTGATCATACTTTCGTTTCTAAGCCAGGAACTGAGGCCGATCAAATGAATCTGGGAGTTTTACAGCTATTTCTCATCGCCATGCGCAACCACCTTAACATGCCGGCCGAACCTAAGAAAAAGAATTTACTCGCAAAGCCAAGACCAAAGAAAGCGGATCCTGAGGTCCTACACGAATTTGCCGCCTATGCCCACAAGCTAGGCTTTGAGTCAGATGAGATTCGTGAACTGACGGAACTCAGAGCGTCATCGTAAGCACTGCAAAAGGAGTCAGCGTCATCGGGTTCTAAAGACTCTAATCCACCTATCAGGCGATGCGGTATCCCTTAGAGTTATCATCACGAACAAGACAAGCTAACCCTCTTTCTAGAACCTTTGTACGCCGCACGGAGTGGGGAGTTTGAAGAGATGACATCTTCATTTGTGCGGCGGTCTGTCATTCTTACTTTTTTTGAGAAACCAATAAGCCTCTACTTAAGCGACGCGACGTCTCACCCTTCCAAACCTACGGCAGACCAAGGGACGATTGGTAAAGAACCTTCACCGAGGCTTGGACAGCCAAATCAGCAGGGTCTGGAGCAGCGTCATGTCGAATAACACTTAGGTCCTCACAATACCCAGGATCCCTCGCAGCAGGGTTTGCAAGCTGGTAACACCGCGGGGGAGGCTGAAAACTTTCCCTCGATCCAGCTTAATCAGCAAATAGCTACAAGGGAGGGACAAGTTGAGTCGGAGTGGCTATCCGACTTAGAGATGCTTGATGAAACAGAAGAAGTCCAACATAATACAAGGCGGGACAGGCAAAGGAATGAGCGGTTATAGAAGAAGAAAGCACGGCGGCTAAATAAGTAGAGAAAGACCTCTAAGAAGAAAGGAGCAGTCAGTGCGAGAAAGAGGCAAGACGTATTAGACGTGGGAGCAATGCTACTGAGGAGCGCTGAAGAGAGTAGTATTCAGTCAAAACAATAAGAGGTGCATAAGGAATCGAAAAGTCCGAGCCAAACCACGCAGATTAACCCTGACGGGTTCACAGAAGGTAACATCCCTATGCTACCGCAGAACCAATCTTCAACCCCGGATCATAACGAAATCATGGAAACAGGGCAGTCCACAGCGACAGAGCGACAAAGTGAGGATTAAGGTATGGTGCAGACGGTGACAGAGAACGTTGTTCACGAAATCATCACATCAGATATTCCAACACCCCACGGAGAGGTGACTGCGCCAAAGACCGTGGCGCCAGCAGAAGCAGAGCGTCGTCGCGAAGCGCAAGAGCAACAAACGACCGAGCAAACCTTCAGGGAGGTAGATGAGCGACAGATGATGGAGAGAACCCAAAATGGGAGAGGGGGACGCGAAGGACAGCATGACACTGAGAAAGAGCAAGGACATCAGGCTACATCAGAGAGGATTGATGAGGCGCAGACAACACCACCGCGAGAAATGGGCCAGGCCGATAATTCACCCACTACAGATAAGGTCCTTCCGGATGACGCGGAACAGGGATGGATTGACAATCAGATGAGGCGTGATCGAGAAGAGTCTCTATTCGCTCCTGAGCCGCCGTCGCCAATAGACGAATCGAAGAAGGCAGAGAAGACAGCGCCACAGCGCGGAATCGAAAAAGAGCCATAGGAACGCATTCAAGGGAACGACGGGTCCGTGAACAATATCGAAGAGCCTCCGCCAATGTCGATCACAGATCAGCAGGGTTGGCTTTCGCCGGCCCAACAGGCAAACGCCGCTACAGAGGAGGTAGAACGCATGTCCACGGCCGAAATGAGGGACTCAGCAGACCGGGAAGCGATTCCAAACCTTCCACAATCCGAGACACTTGGGAGTGGCCAAGAGAGGCTCAAAGAGCTGGGTGGACGTGTGAGCCAAGAAAAGGAACAGTATGAAGACGAGATCGGACTGGAGCAGAGAAACCGAAAGACACCGGATCGGGATTCAGGCCCAGCTATTGAAGACCCTAGCCAGTTACAGCATCCGAATTCATCACCCATAATACGAGAATCGGACCGAAAACGTGTCACTCAGATCAACTTTAGCAGACTAGAGGAATTAGAGAGCTTAGAACGAGCGCACGAAATATTGTCTCCCGGACATCATCAGGATGGAGTTCGCGACAGGGCAGAACCGATTGCTCTAGAAGTTGAGAATGGTCAAGGAGTGCAGGAAGAGTTAAGAAGCGGTGACCAAGTGCGATACGAGCAGCTTCCGGACGAGGATGATCGAGCAGGACGGGAGGACTTCGAACGGAATATCAACGACCGACTACGAGAACAAGAAACTGAAGAAAGGGCGGCGAGAGAACGAAAGAAGGCTGCGATGAAAGAAGCTGAGAGACGAAGACAAGAAAGAGTACGGCAACTCAAGAATGAGAAACCTGAGTTCGTGTCGGAGCAAAAGATGAACAGAGAGCGAGCAAGGGATCAACAAGAGAGGCAAGTAAAGGAAGACAAAGGCATGCGCCGAAAACGGACCACACAGATCGACTTTGGGAGGCTCGGAGACGCTGTTCATGGGCAACCCAAGCCTAAAGAGAGCGCCGGCCGGCGCCCAATCACAGAAAACGAAACCGGGGGCGGATCAGCCGAAGTTGTCGTGCTTGATTCTGATGTCATCGCGACGACTAGTCTACAACCAGCAGATCCTCCGAAATTGACCATGGAAAGACCCGGCCCTCAGAAGATTCGAATCCATCTCAAGATCTCCGACGGGAGGCTTAGTGGTGAGGACTGGAAAAGTCTATCCTCACACGACGTTAACCCCTCCGAGCCGGCAGACTTCATGCGACTCTTGAGGAAATACACCAGAAAGGATACCGAAAATCCGTGGAATGTGTTTGCCGGGTCCCATATGATAACCCCATTGACAAAGTTTGAAGACATCATCAAAGATGGAAACAGCACCTTATACATAACTCAAGAAGGGGTTATCAACACTTATCTTCATCCTAATTCTCCTGCCGGCAAAAGAATTCGATCTTAAGCATATAGAAAAGCGATTCTAACATTAGTCCTTAACTCATCTTCATTTTTTGACCCATCCCCCACCAAATGAACCTAGTCAATGCCTGGGATAATGGTCCTGTTTATTGGATATCTTCGATGAAGAAGATTGCGAAGAATAGTCTGACCGACGAGGTAGGGATAGGCGACTGACAGGTAACGCGGCCTCCCATGTATTAGGCATGATCCCTAATGGAAGTAGTTAACCGTCTAGTCACCGGGCTGATATTCTAGTTCCTCCAGCCTGACTTTCTTGTCTGCCAAGGGACGGACTAGACATCGCAACCGATCTCAAAGGTCATTGCTTCCAGACACTGGATAGATCAGTAGGGACCCGAAGTGGGTCAAGTGAGCTTACCAATCACCAACATTTCTCCCCTCTCGCCTGATTCCTCCTATACCCTTTTAATGTGTTTCCCTGCCGCCTCTTCTTGGAAAATCGCTTCCACATCAGCCAGGCCACTGTACGCGATCGCGCGTCTCCCAAATGGCACTCGATCCTGGCTTGCCCAGCGGATGTAGATCGAAATACTGAGAATCTATGCGCCAAGTCAAACCGACGCTTCATGATATAGTTTCGCGTGATTTACCATCCCCTTGGCCGACTTTTCGTCGCTCATATCGTCGGTACCGTTATCGACACTGAGTGTGTCACCGACGAGCGCATCATTCAACAAGTCTGCGGCGGCATATCCCAAATCTACTGCAGTTAAACGTTGTCCTGCGTGAAAAGACGGGCGATCTGATGGTCTGCGTACCTTTTGTCTCCAACTGCCACACCAAATGGATTCGACGAGCGCGAATCTTGCAGGCATTATATCCATGAATGAGCTGCTTCAGGTAAGAAAGGTGCGAGACGACACCAAAGCCATCCGCCATCATTAAGACCGTCTCATAAGTTCCAGCTGGGACAGTAGTACCGTGAGGCCCACTGAACAAGGCTTTGTACAAAGTGCCGCTCCCGCGGCTAGAGTCCGAATATCGCAAAAGCTTTCTGGTCAGGCCGTCACGTGGTTCCACGAAAATGTCCAAGGATTCTAGACTTTCATCCGACCAGGATGTTATCATGAAAGGGTGGCTCTGCAGGAGGCCAAACCAGGGAATCCATAAGCAGATGTATTGCCCCGGCTTCACCTGGACTGGCGAGGTGAGGCGTACTTGAAGCGTCATCACTTCCTGCTGTATGATGACATGCTCTCTGGTCAGCATTTCTTTGATATTGGTGATCTTGACTCTGGCGAACCCGTTCCCGACCACTCCGGTTTGGTACACGATGAGTCCACATTGGACGAGAACGGTCAGCAGGAATGTACCAATGGTAACGTAAATGTACTTTTGTGGAAGAGAATGGCTCTTCTTCAAGTGGCTCCATATGCTGTAGGTGGCCGTGACAGCCAGTGTCTGATGCAGGCGAAGGAAGAACTCGTAGAACGGGCGGCGAAGTAATGGGTGTGAGAGAGGCACGAGTATGCCCAATGATATTGTCCCCTAATCTTTGTCAATTCTGTTGACCGGTTGCAGGAACCTTTTAGGAAGCATACGATCAGTCCAAAGAGGTTTTCCGAGATCTGCAAGGGAAATGGTTTCTTCTCCACGAGCACAGTGAGAACGTGGAAGCCCAACAGGAGCGATGACATGAGCCCTAAGGAACGATGAAATCGCCGGTACGTGCGTAATGTGACGCCCAAGAGATCGGCTGGAAAGCTCAGATGAGGGCCCGCCATGAGAGGGATCAGGTTGATGAGCGAGAGATTGGCCGCCCGCAGACCGGCCACCCAGACAGAGCGCACCTTGAAGCAGACACAAAAGACGTTGACCCCACTGTACAGAAGCCCTGCAATGACACCAGCCGGGTGCCACGCTCCAGTCAACCGGTGACCAATCTGTGGATACACAAAATATTTGAGGGAGAAGGGTACGACCTTCTTCCAACCAAGCAGAAGCCACTGGCGAAAGTTCATGAGAATGAGGAGAAACAACAAGCCGCCCAAACCGATCGCGTAGGCTAGAGTAATATCCATATTGAACGTTAGAAACGATAGAAATGGAATGACAACAACGCACGGATGGAAAGGCAGTTTCACAGGCGTTAAGAAGCTTGTTGAACGGGGAAAGAGAGTGAAGTTGAAATATAATGAACTATAGCATAGTATTGAGACGCCAAACCCTCGGAGAGGGAGCCGAGAATGGAACAAGACTCTGAGCAGTTGCAGCCAACTTTGGATCAAAGCAATTGGAGCCAGAATGGGATCCTCTACCCGACAAATCCACCCTCCTCTAACTTGGCGGCAACCTGTAGCCCCTGAATGGGGCAATCGAAGTCACATCTGCCAGCCCTTGGAGATATCTCGTTCCCCAGGGCCTGCTGAATAATGGATTCTAGCCAGGTCAGGATCAAACCCAGGAGGAAATCTGAGGTCCGTCACTTGCCTTCAACAACCTCTCTGCCGAAGTTGCAGACGTCGTCTCAGAAAGGAATTCGACCGCCAGAGAATCGGAGGGCCACCGGCGCAGGTCATCTACTCCGACAGCACCATCAGCTTTGGCATACTTTTGCATCAGCTCCATTGTGATGAAGCTTAGAGCCTTAAGATCTCTCGATACAGAATTACTCAGTGGACATGGTCGACAGAGTTCCTGATGTGCTGTGATCTGAACGTCAGCTTGATGTAGAGGTCTATGGAGTGATTACGTGCCTATCTTCACCTCGCCAGCGACATTGATGAGAATATTCGAGGTGGTCAGAGAGCCGTGTTCTAGTCCTTTTGTCGCGAGGTACACAAGCCCGTTGAGGATCTGTCACAGTTAGTCGGTCAACTCAAAAGAGGTGATATTCAAAACCCCCCTGTCCTAAAATGGACGCCAGTTGATCCTCGTCGAGATGTTTCGGAAACCCAGTGAACAGGCTCAGAGACATCGGCATGTGCTCGAAGACCACGTAGAATAACTCGTCATGGAGAAAGATGTCTCTCACGGACACGATATTCTCATGTTCAACCTGCTGCAACATACGACATTTCTCTTCGCTGTCATGTATAGAGAAGCTCCTCACAGCGACGACGTACGGCGTCGGACCCTCCTTTTGAGGAGGGACAATAAAGTCGGCGGACCACGGGTGTCTAATATCGGCCACGTCCACCATGTCGTCGTCTTCCTCGCCAAGCCGTATGCAATGGCTTTTTCTGTACTTTTCCCACGGGGATTGGTGCTTCACGATCAAGGTATTCTCCATCCCATGTCCGAGTGCTGCTGGGGGGTTCAGGGGCTTCGAACCAGTTGCTGAGGTGGTACGATAGGTTCCGGACGAGAGGGCTCTCGGGAATCCTGCTGCTGGATTAAATCCAGTCCCGCGGCGACTGGGAGTTTCACCATCCGTGAGGTGATCATCCTGGCGTGTCACGCTCTGAGAAGGCCCCCTAAACCCTCTGATTGCATCAAAGTCGATGCGAGTCCGGCGATTTAAAGATTTGGATGACATCTTGACAACATGAATGGCTAAAGAGAAGACCAGAGCAAACGGTACAATCTTTTAAGTAAGGTATGTGAGGTTTTGAGCAAAATTGAGGCAGGGGCGGTGGTCGATCCCAAGAGACGGGAGACGACGTTCGATCTGGACTACGAAGCAGGCGAGGAACGAAGCGGCCAGAGCCGGCATGTGCAGCAATCGCACACCTTCCTCCCGGGGGCCCATTTTGGTCCTCGGGGCCCAATTCAGACTTGATGCTGAGCTCAACGGAATGAGGCCCCTTCTGGATCCGAATAGTGAATAGCGTTGTCACTCAAGAGTACTGCAAAGCTCGATAGGGAGGTACGTAGCTTCATTAAATGACATCCGCAGCCCACTAGTGGTAAAGTGTTCATCGTCCCACAGGTTGAATTATTCATACTTATACCACCATGCTCAGAGAAAAGCTTTGGCTCAAAGTAGGTGCGTCGCTCGCATTCGCGGCCGCATTAATCTGCTGCACGGTTTTGAGCTTTGAAGTGCTTTGCAATAAGGACGACATGCAGGCTGGTATCATTACGTTCACTGTGAGGGCCTTTCACTGTTTAAATATGTTTAGGTGAGGTAGATCGCTGATGTATTCTTACACAGTTTAGGGCGCCCCCCACACTGGTACCGCTCCGTGCAAGGGGCCTGATCCCAACGGCCGTGACCCAAGCTGGGAGCGTCGTAACCAATGCGGCAACAACAGCCTCCGGGGCTCCTAGCCAAGCAAACAGTATCGCAAGCGCCGCCGCGACAGCCGTCAATGGCGCCATCACGGCGATCCCCCAGAATCTCTCCATCGGCACAAAACAATACTGCGTGGGGTTCAGCGACCATGTTGAATGTCATCAATTGCCCGTGAACATATCTAGGATCGTACCCCAGGTCGTTACAAATATTCTGAGCGACCAAATGGAAGATTTGGATCACCTGCGCAGCATCTTCGCAAAAGCTACCCCTGGATGGATCGGGGATCCTTTCATTATCGGCATAGCGACGGCCCTGGTGATCGCTGTCGTCTTTTTCACCTCTATGTTCAGCTGGCCCTTCGGCGCCGGTACTCTGTTGCAGGATCTGATGTTACCATTAATGCCCAGATTGGTTATTGGGCTCTTTTGTTGCATCTCTTACCTCCTGCCAACAATTGTTCTTTACCTTCTCTACTCCAAGTCGAAAGACCTCTCTTCCGAGATCAGGGCTGATCAGGGCCCGGTCGGCGGCTACTGCTGGGGCACTTTCTTTTCGGCTATGTTGATGACGGCAATGACGGCGTGTGTTCACATCTTCATCTGACACACACACACACACACACACACACACACACACACACACAGTATTACGCTCGGCGGCGGAGCCGAAAGGGTAGCTAAGGCTGTTCTACTAATGTATTTCTCAAGGTATGTCCTAGTCTCCTTATTGATGCGAAACTGATAAAACAGCAGCGTGATGTTGATGGCTTACTCCAACGAGTTATTCAGGCCATATGTTGCAAAGGTGATGTCGATGGCCACTTACTTACCAAGCTTACCCGACCGTCAATTGAATTTTTCCGGCCAAATGTGTGTCATCACCAGGCCCTTGGCGGCTGATTGGAGAACGAGATGCCAGCGAGTGGGATTCTCGGCAGATATTTACCTTACCCACAGCTATGAGTCGGGCAATGACTGGCATAACAGTTTTTGTGGTCACCGTAATAGGTGTGCGCAGAAAACCGCTAACCTGAAAGAAGACACGTGTTCCTAGCCCACTAACTCAGTAGTGATGCCGATCATCTTTATCACTTCGTTCTAGTGTAGTGATGTACTAACATCCTTTATCTCATTAGAGAGGCCATTTTTCCCCTAGAATAAGCCTTTTTTTGCTCGGATCTCTTCTTCCCACAGCGGGCAAATCCAACTACAGTGATATGCTTTCTGTTCGCAATCATGTAGAATCACTATCTTCGGCAACAGCATCTTCTGAAGCAGAATGAAGGCGCCGCAACTCATGCAGCTCCCTCAGCGCTACGGCTCGTTCACCTCTGTCCGCCATCACACTCTCGCCAGTAGTAGATGCAGTTCTATGAAGTGTAGTACCGCTATCTGGAACTCCGCTTGACGACGTTCTCTCTTGTTTGTAGGAACGACTTCTCGACCGGGTCGATGAGATGCGCCGGACGGCGTGAGTGCGCGTCTGGCTCCCGTGACCGCGGTCTTGGCGCAATTCAAAATCGTTTGAGCGCCGAGAACGGCTTTCGGGGTTTTCAGTCGATACCACACTGGATCTCCTTCTTGTGATAGCCCCACCATCGTAACCGAGACCCCGGAGTTGGCGGCTGTTCTTTTCTCGTTCCCTTTTTCGCAAGTCATCCTCCCTGTCTCGGATCATTCCACCACCGAGACTTGCATATCCTGGCTCAACATCGTCACCGAGACCCTCGCGTTCCAATCGACTCATCCGTACCTCTGGCATCTCCGGCATCCCTCCCAGAGAAGCTAAAACATTGTCGCCAGTGGCGGTGAGGCAGTCCATCACTTCCAATTCATGGCACGTGAACAGATGAGGCAAGATTTTCCAGCGAAGCGGGATCAACGCCACAATCAAGACAGGAAATCCAATGGCACCAATTGTCTGGCTGATGGCGACCGAGGCTGCGAACCCCAGGAATTGCCAAAATAGGTAATGCCAGATCTGGCGACGGAGGACCGAATTCAGTGGATCGGAAGGACGCTGAAAGGTCGGATCCCGGAAGAGAAAGGCCAGTTTATGTGTGAATATTGGGTTCGTCATGATACTACCCATCCCGACGGTGAAAAAGACACCACTAATGATGGCCCGGGGTATGAGAGAGAGGACCTTCAGTAAAGGTCCGGTCATGGTTCCAAAAAGTGCCAAGGCCATCAGGACATGCGATATACGCTGCTCCGCCACATGGTCAGCCACGGCTTCCTTGCGGATGATGGTAGGCTCCGTGTCATCTTTCGTCTCGATGACGTAAGGTTCGTCTTTATAAAATGTGAGAGAGTCAGTGTGAACTGGTGCTTGTGGGACAAGGCCATTAGGGAGCGGTATATTCAGGATACCACCAACAAAGCAGGTGCATCCTAACAGGAAAAAGTCCCAGTGAAACCCGGCCGGCTTTTTCAGCGGAAAGTTGCGGGCTTGTGCCGTCAATGAGGAGACATTGTGATCATAGTAGAACAGTAGCGTCATGAGGAAGCCAAAAGGGGCGGCAACAAAGACCCATTTCGCGGACAATGTCCAGAAATCCACCACCCACGGTCTATTGATTGTTGGAGAGAAAGCACGAGTGACCGGAAGGTATTCGAAATCTGCGTGCGCGAGGTTCCCTGGAAAATGGGTGAAGCCGGTCCACCAGATCGTCGCCAATGGATAGGCGTAGTCTGAAAGGATGGTGCGCAGCCACCCGCGCGTATAGGTTGTTTGGCCGATTTGCTCCAGCAAATAGACCGTGAGGAAGTATAGAATTGCCACCAATGCCGAAGCAAAGCCATTCGTGGTATTGCCGTTGTTAAACCCAATGCTGAGCTCTTCGCAGCCTTTGATGACATAGATCGTGCCGACGTATAGGCCAAACGTTTGAGACGAAAAGTCGGTAATCGTGCGCATATAGTCGCAGAGGTTGAATATTGCGGTGCACCAGTGGAAAATGGCGGACCAGATACCAACCCAGACAAGAAAGCGAGGATACAGTGTGACATCGTAGATTTTAACGATATCGTAGATCGTATAGTTGAACAGTGAGATCAACCCCGTCACTCCAACGACCGTCAATGGCTGGCAGGAAAGAAGGCTAAAGACGGCCGCGGCAAGGGCCGAAGAGAGGAGAGCCTCGTTGATTCCAAAAAAGCCGTCTGTATTGTGTTGCATGTCAAGTTGAAAGGCCAAGGCTGGCAACAGATTGACGAAATAGATCCGAACCGTTCCGGCAAAGACACGATAAACGAATCCATCTTTGAAGTCGCTCCAATAGTAGGGAAGCCGTCGACGGACATCGTTATACATTCCCCGGCCAAGGCGCTTAAGACGGCTGAAGAGGCCTTGATCGTCTCGCCATTTGTACGGTTCATCCAGGGCCTCCATTGCAGGATCTCTGTCCGGCCGGGTTATGTTGATATCGGGATAGAACAGAAGGATAAATTGGGTCAGGCCCAGGGATGGTGTCTGATCGCGCCGTTGTTACAGCGCCGTATAATCAGAAAACTGCAAAGAAAGGAATCACCTGTTTATATATGTGTATTAGGAATCGTTGAATTTCTGCCAATGCCGATCCTCGCTAGGGTAACCCATATCTGGCCAGGCTTGGCGAGTCTGCTCCACATGCGATTTTCACCGCTGATTGTGGCACCCACGAACGAGTTATTCGAAGGGGTGGCACAGACTAGTGCATGCGAGGAGGTATAGATCGTGCAACCAAGCAAGCTCAAAGAACTTCGGAATGTTTCAAGGCGGACGGGGCATGAGCAGACAGGGAGAGAAATCTACAAGACGACATGCGATCAACAGGCAATTCTAAGCTTGGCGTTGCGGTCCTGGGCGAGAATTGATCTCGTCCCTCGAGGTTGACCGCAACAATCTAAACCCGGAACCATGACGTGACTGGGCAATTGTGCAAATACGTTTTTGAAAGGGCCCCGCACATCTCCCCTAAGCGAGCGCTGTCAACTTAAACCACGCCTGAGAAGAGCGGAGTCGCCCAACTTGTTGGGGGAAAACGCACTTGAGCAGCTGGCACACTGGGGCTTTGGTAGTGCGTGGCTAAATGAGATAGAACTGTCGAACATGAGATCAACTGCTCTGATACAAAATGAATCCCTCCATTTTCGATCATGACGTGATGAAAATGTCAACGATGGCTTGTGGACCCCACTATTTGCAGGCCGGCCTTGCCGATAAAAGGGCGAATCACCCGTAGCAAAGAAACATTTTCTGCCCGGGCAGAAAATGAGCAGGGCAGAAAAAGAGCACAGAGCCTGTAATGACGTCAGCAATACTTGCCAAGGCGCCGGCTGTGTAAATCTTGTCGCAGGAATCTCGGTGAGCGAAAACCCATTCCCCGCCCACCTCTCGTCTCTACCCTCGCCATCTACTCGCCATGGCTTCAAATTCACAACTGTACGACAATATCTTTGAGAGGATTCGTGCACCTCTCGCCGAAGCCGTCGATGACGCGCTATCTTCCTTACACCAAAGCAGCGGGACCCCGCTGCTACGCCTTGAGGCATGTCTTGATCAAGACCACAGTGAGGCCACACAAGGTGCGCAAAAGGAGGCTAAGCGAACCACGCTTGTAAGTTTGATGCTCCATATAATCTATCTGATCTCTGCACCTGAAAAACTATCTACCAGGGGCAAGTTCTTCATCGGTCGCTGATTAGGGACCCAGGCGACAATCGAGCTTTCGTCGTTCCAGAGAAGGAGAGGCACCGCGGAAGGTGGAACAGATGTAGAACAGAACCACAGCGATCAAGAAACCCAACCTCAACGGCCACTCTCCAACGAGAACCGCCCCGTACTGAAATCCTATCGTCTCAAGCGCCGCAAAGTTGTCGGAGGCTTAAGGTTGGCCCGTTCTGCGCCTCCTACTCGAGTTGCCTCGCCTGAAAGGGAGACATCACGACGCTTGACCAGTAATTTCCGCCACTTTCCTAAGCGAAATGCTCAAACAACCATTTACAAGCAGCAAATGTCCCCTTTCGAACGACTCATCGTGGGTATCTGGGAACAGATCCACGGTACCCCTGAATTAAACCCGTCAGACTGGGTAAGTGAACATGTTCTGCAACTCATTGTCTCCTGGCCCCGCCCCCAAGATGATGAATTGATGTTTTCGCGGAACAACGTGGAACAAACCATGTCCTGCTATCCCACTCAATCCTAGAGGAAGAAAGCGCGGATCTCCTAGCCTTACTGTTATATTCAAGATACGTCCGGGGTTTGAAACTAATTTCTCCCTCTCGAAGGTTGATCTCTTGCACCAGGTAAACCAGCCAGGAGCCACAACGTCTATTTGGGATGTCGATTCTAGACATGGAATTCCTGATTCTCGATCCATCCTTGGAGACGGTAATTTTCGAAGAATGAATGTCTGCTGTCGAAGAATTACGCAAGCAAGTCGCCAATGCAGATCGCTCGAAGTCATCGTCCAAGCTCAATGGATACAGTGTTACGAGGAGCAAGTTCAGAAGCTTATGGTAGAAGATCCAGACCTATCACTTAGTAAGGGCCGCGCGACCGTGCAAGCACAAGCATGTAAAGATTTCGGTTGGTCTTTAAAGGAGCTGCGGAACAAAATGTGAGCAAGCGCTATCGTGCCCCTGGATCTCTCCCTTTCGGACGAGAAGGAGTAGAGGGATGATGCTTCGGTCTAGCTCTAATTTTATTCTCGCGGCCCCTTTCGCTTTCTATCATATACTGACTAGTGCATTCAAAGGGCGATATGGCGCGGCTACGACTCGATTCGAGAAGCTGGCGGCTGGGTCCCTCTGATCTTCGCAGGCATGGGTCTCTACCGCTTCTGCAAGTATCGTCTGGGATTCTGTCCACAGAACATTGCGACACTCAAGAGACTCCGTTTACGATTCGAGGTTGCTGCCGACACAATCCATCCGGAATGGCGCCTCTTGCTCTCAATCATTGGGAAGCCGACAACTCGAGTCTATCATGGACATCCCTGTGACTGGGTGGTCAGCAAAGATAGTCAACCCATACCCTTGGCAGATACATACTCCCAATGGACGCCAGCCTTTAGATTCGAGCACTTAGAGGAGAGCACCATTGATGAGCAGGCTTGGGGCTTGATAGATCCGCGGACTGAAAACAGCCATGTTCAATGGACGTTACCGAGACAGTTCTCATGCAAGAAATGCGGATCGACCCAGTCGAATGATGTTAGCACCAATGAATGCCTCTGCTTCCCGGCTTTGTTCGGAAGTGGTCTGCGGAAACCCTGCCCGGTGCAAGTTTTCCGAACGGAGAACGGAAGGAATAATGGTCTCCTTGCCTGCTGTGTGAGTCTCCTATCCTATCTTATCAGACGATTACTATTGCCACTAACAGACAATAATAGCCGTTCGAGCGAGGTGCAGCCATCGGCGAATTCGTTGGCGTCATTACGCAGGGCATTCGACACCTGGATGTTATGCAATGCTCAGGGCCCGCTGTTACATATCAGATTTGGCAGGGCCATAAGGGGAACTATACTCGCTTCATCAACCATTCTTGCCAGCCGAACTCGCAGTATGAGCCCTTTTTGTGGCTCGGTGTTCAGCGCCACGTGCTCGTATCTAAAGGTATCCTCGCGGGCGACGAAATCACGGTGGACTATTCTGACGATTATTGGAATCATTTGGACAAGGAATGCTTGTGCGGTGAAACTAGTTGCCGATTCAAGACGAGAAATGAGCGGATTCCAGGTGAACAGGGCCCAACTAGATAAATCAAGTTCGCCAAGTGAGGAAAGAAGATACATTCTTCGACTCCCGTGGCTTACATCCAGATCAACATGTTTGTCTCGCATTCCGCGCTCATAAGCTACACGCTTATCCTGCAACGCTAGTTTCCAGAGCATTTCCGCCAGTCATCTGACCAAGACCCATTCCATGGACAGAATAAGCTTGCTTCACACCTGAAGAAGTGCGTCATAGTGGTTGCATTGCTAGAAGGATGACATACACGTCGTTCACTTCCAGCACGCCATTCAGATTGTCCATGCTAACTGTTGGGTCAGGGGCAGTCCTGAAACAAGTGATCATTGATTTCTGTCTGCCGTGCCCCAGCTCGGTCAACTGGGCCCGCTTATATACACGAATGGCCAGAGTCGAGTCCCTGCCATCCCCCTGAAACCCTACATATTTGACTTCGTCGGGAGAAGAACCGCTCTAGTACTGTACCTAGCCTACCAACAGCGTCGATAGAGAATCTGCCATGGCGTGTAAAAGCTCTCCGCAGGCGGGCCCAGTAAGAGCTGTGATCGCAAAGCCCACAACTTCCATCAATCCGAGGTTTCGACATCACTCTGCACAGTCAGAACCAAACAAAGAGAAAGTGGTCTTGGCGGATGACCCCAAGTGAGAAGGTTTGCCGACCAACCTGGATTGATCCGGGAGAATCGACTCAGCCTTCGAAGGGGTCAGAGTCTGAGATCGCTGAATGGAACGTCTCTTATCAGGTATCGATGGCGCAGCATTTGACGCGATCGGAGCATTAGTGGAACAAATCCAAAGAGGAATAGAATCTTGCATTGTTGGCTGGCAAAGTAATGAGACCTCGAACCACCAAGCTAGGGCTCCCGCCCCTGATGCGACTATTAACAAGCCACGAGGCTGGTTAATGGCACTTGCGCAGGAGAAGTTGAGCGTCAATTTGCCCCATATGATAGATGCTGCTATCAAACATGATTCTGTAACCGGAGCTACAAAATATCAATTCGACGTTTTTGTCCGCATCACGCCAAATACGGGGGCAATTCTTGACCATTGGTGCTGGCCGACAGCGCTACCCCACCGATAGGACCCTCAGTTGTACATGACTGACTCGATTGGAGAAGACATTGTGAGGGGATGGCTTTGCTCTGGTAGGTGACTTGTACCGGTAGCGTCAAGGTCGCCTTTGAATGCCACTGACCGGATATGCTGATTTCTATCGCGATGCTGTACCTCATCGAGAGGTAGGGAAGTGAAAATGTTGGTGGCAGTGCTGGTGAACTCTTTATTGAGAGCCACAGTGGGTACGTTGCCGTCCATTCTCTAGAGTCGGGGTCTGCTGAATTCGTCGGTCTCCAATCCGACCACATCATCTTCAAATGATGAGTCGCGGAGGATGTTTTTATGCACCCCATTGAAGGTGACCTTGTAAGCTGTCCTATTGTAGGAGTTGCGGCTTGCATATGCATGCAGACAAAGGTTGACGACCGCAATCTCCACTTGATTGCAGCCTCGAAAACACCTGATTCACAGCCTTCACCTGGATCATATATTGTTTGCAGTCTGAGTTGCAGCAATACTTTGGTTGTTGCTGAGGCGTCAGGTCCGCTGAATATCAAAGCATCCGGCTGGGTCGCTTTGATCGACATCTTTCCGATTTTGTGGATAAGTTTCTTCCGCATTACGATCTCTTGGCAATTGCTGTACTCTTTGCCAAAATCTCCAAGACATAACGGCGGAGCAATTTCGCTACAGTTGAATATTCGAACTTTCTGAGAGTGTGAGACGAGCAGAACATTGCCACGCCAGAGGTCGGCATTCAATGTGTAGGAGACGGACGCGGTAGTCTTTGGTGCCGAGCTCTTCCAATCCAGCGCTGTTGATGTCCTTTGTTCAAGTGACGATGGCAGTTGTCCACGGTTGTCGCATCTGTCAGCATGTGAGTTGTCATCAGGAGCCGCTATAAGCGCAAGCGGTATTTGGAAGTGGCATATATCGATCGAGCAAGGCGAGGGTGAGTGCAGTCTTCTTCGAACGTCATATCTTTGAACGACATCTACAATCTACCCAGGCGTCAGCTGGGGAGGTAAATACGGTCTGAACGAAGTGCTGTACCTTTTGGCGATATCCTAAGCTTCTTGTATCGGTATTAGGGACACCATTTTCTGCCCACAATATAGAGGTATTGACATGACCTAGTCGAACTTATTAGTCAATGACTTACTTGAGTCATGTTGCAACCCACCAGTTAGTCGTATCTCGATAACTGCTTCGAACAGCCCGTCAATATCACCATGCGAGGTAAAGTATACAATACCCAAGATTTCATCATCCGTAAGAAATGTGGGCACCTCATTCAATGCCCGGTTCTCAGAACCTGAAGAAGCCACGACGAATCTAAGCGCCATTCTATCAGGACCTAATATTCTGAAAGCTAGAGTGTAAATGGTAACAAATTTTATTTATGCTTGACTCGAAGTGATTGCATTCACTGGTCCGAGCATCGAGGTACGTCCCATATACCTTGCTTGAATAGCGAGAGAGCTCATCGAAGATTCATCAGCATCCACAACATTAACCGCAAGGCGTTGCCGTCGGAAATGGAAGTGCATTTGGAGACTAGGCCAAGCGCAGCTGCCCTGCATGTTGAATGTGGAACAGCACGCATTAACTCCACCGATGATATAATATCGAAGATATTGCTTACTAGCGTATCGAGCGGTGAGGGAGTTGCTAACATGGGTGGAAGAGAGGTGACCCTGGCCGGCTGGCCCACCGATCACGCCGTCACCATACTCGAAGATGATGGCACTTTGATGGGATACAGTCGTAGTATTATTGAACAATGCTCAGCAATGGGCCTCGCGAAGCGCTCGACAAACCGTTAAAGGCTCGGATAGCTATGTAAAAAAGCACCAGAAAGCCAGGACCCGTATGCCTCTGCGATTTCTCACCTTCCTCCGTACAACCCCGCATTTCATCCCCAGGTTCCCGCGATACAGGGCTCTTAGCTGGCTTCAGCTCCCCAACAAGATAGGTCATGCGCTCGGAAATCCACCTGCCCGAACTATCAGTGTGTTCAAATCGCCCCTCCCCTCCCACTTAACGCGTTGTAACATTCTATTTCCGCACCTCCTTTTCAGTCCAGTCGGAGTCTTAACTGACATCTACAGAGCAACCATGCGAGCCTTGGGAATGATCGGTCGGGATTTTCCGCCATGAGCTTTTGCGTCGTAGCATTGTGTCCATCGAGCTTGTACAAATGACTTCCAGCAATTTACGGTAAAGACTTGCCTGTGTGATCTGCGCCAATAGTGATTCATAATTTTTAACAGCAGCCGTTTTAGGAATTACTAAAGGTGGGCGACTAACTCCATGACTATGGTTAGCACTCCTACAGATGTCGGAGGACAATTTTTGTTTCTTTTGCCATAGGTCAACCTCACGCCATGTTACTTTTAGGATCAGAAGATAACATAGAGCGAAGGTGATACACCTTGGCGCAGACTTGATGAGCCTCAGACCCCCGAAAACTTTTCGGCGCTTGGATGGCGGGAGCTACATGCCAAGAGCGCCCATCATCGGAAACACTCCGCCGAGGCTGGTTGGTCTGTTGGTTAGGATCGAATTGCTGGTGTCCATCATCTCTTGCCGGTTCTCCGCTACCAGACCGTCCATGAAATGACTGGAGTTCAATAGTCGCCTACGACGGTATGATCAGCGACAGGTCGAGAACTTCGCTCCAAAAGGCTACATTCAAGGTATAATGAGAATACGAGAATGAGCACGAGACCCCACCAGTATGTTTCTTTGGGTTTCTGTCCCATGTTTCGATACATGCCTCAAGAGACGGTAGCACCCTGGCCCCCCATTGGAAGGAAGAAAATGCGTCATTCACTGCCTTTTCAAGAGGTGTCCGTATCTCTCCCAAGATCAGTTTGTGCACTGGCGCATTTGAAGCCATTTGGACCAACGCCTTGCTCTATAAGGAGAAACAAACTGGCAAATTAGGAGAACTGTGTGGTGGATGGGATCGCAAGACGATGACCAATGCCTGTCGGTAATGGGAGCCACAACCTTCCACCGGGGTTGGCCCCTTGGCACCATTTGAATGACGTAATATTTTACGCATCCTTTTTTCTGCCCGGGCAGAAAAAAGTCCTTGGGTTGGGGGGTCTGCCTGTGAAAGCGACTGGCCAAAACTAGCAACCGGAATCCCGACAGGGCTTTTTGCTCAGTGTCGTATGCCTGTCAGATTCTTACCAAGTTTTAAATGGCAATTGGTCACTTTGCTCATGTGACTTTAGTTAAACTGTAGTCCAGAAACGAGGACTGAATGCACTGAGAAGTCTGTATCAGTCTGCTTCAGAAGATATACCAATCTTATCCTATTTAACCTTTAGAATATTCCCGTTCGTTCGGCGGTACAAATTCGAGCAATGTCTGGAATCTCATGTTTAACGACGGAGTCGGGTCTGCAAGATTGTTCTCCTGTTTTACCCATTCGACAAGGGTCCCTCTCAGTTGTTACAGAAAGCTTCGCGGCCGAGACGCCGCAAGCCTCCCTTCATGTCTTATGCCAACGCGGACCGGTTCGTACTTTTGGATGAAATCCAAGCTCTACGTGCGAACGGCGTGCTTGCTCAGATTAAGTGTCCCTTCACACATAAAGCCAATCGAACGTGGAGAGAACCAGCGATGCTCGCTCTTGGGGCTTTCTTCGATCGCTTCCTAAGAAGTGAGGCTCTCAGTGAAGTTGTCTTCCTTCTGGAGCAAGATCTCGTACCGCTTGTGTTGGATGCCATGGCCGATAAAGACGCAGCGGTGAGGGAGGCCGCAAAGTACGCTTTGCTCACCTTGGTCGACAAACTCAGTCCAGAGGCTTTGGTAGTGGCTCTGTTACCTATTTTACTCGACTATATTCGCAAGAACACGACGAAATGGCAAGGAATTGCGGAAGTGTTTACCCTGATAAGTCAAATGGCTCGTGGAGCAGTGATCCATGCAAGTGAGAGGGCACAAATACTACGCAAGTATGTCGAAAGCCGACTCGAGGATTTGATACCTCTTGTAGCGGACGCAGTGCTTGACTTGAAGCCCGAGGTAATGTTCCTCAATCCGCTGTTCCTACAAATTGCTGGTATCATTGACTCGTTGCAGGTCTCTAAACGAGCCAAAGGAGCACTAGACTCTTTGTTAGCTCTTATTCACAACCCTGACCTGGTGCCATGTATACCAGTCCTCTACGCATTCATCCGCGATCCTTCGGGTGCGAATCTCCGAAAAGCGATATCCACTGTGTCGCATACTACCTTTATTTCCAGTATCAACTCAGCTGATCTTGCGGTCCTTCTTCCTTTGTTTGAGCGCGCTCTTTCATCTCCAAATGCAACCCAAGATTTGCTTAGGGAGGCCCTTCTCATTGTCGAAAACTTGACGAAGTTACTCCAGGTCCCAACTCAAGCCGTACCATTCTTGAAAAGGTTGATGCACCACGTGGAGAATGCAAGTGAACGAGCTGCCATCCCGGAGGTTCAAAAATCAGCTAAGAGACTGCTGGGAATGATGAAAGATTGTACCAATCCCAACAAAGGCCAGCTACACCCTAACATGACAGTATCCCAGGCTCTTCTTGTGCTCGAGAAAGCAATCCGCTCCTGCGACGGGTATTTTATCCCTTCTACCGATACAGCCCTTTCTGAGTTGACCAAGCGGTACGTCGCGAGCTTGGTTACGGAAGTGGTCAACCAACAACAGTTCTCCCGGGTTACAGTTTGCATAGAGCCTTATTTGGATCCAATCATGAAGCAGGGTAGCGCCTCAGTGGTTGCAGAAAGAGTGCAGAGATTCTTTTCCGAAGCTGATTCTGCGAGGCGGGGACTCCTGAACCGGAATGAACGCAGTGAAGTGGAAGTGGTTAATACTTGCGTCTCCTTGGGTTACGGTACGATAACACTTCTTTCTCAAACCAACTTGAGACTGGTCAAGGGCCGCCGATACGGACTCTGTGGTCGAAATGGGGCCGGGAAGTCAACGCTAATTCGAAGTATCGCCCAGGGTAAGCTGGAAGGATTTCCTTCTCCAGACCAGGTGAGGATTTGCTATGTATGCCATGAGGAGGATGAAGATGCCGATCTCAGTGTTTGTGACTACATGGCCAGAGGGACAAGAGAAGAGGATATCGCGCAGATCTCTCTAGCACTTCAAGATGTCAATTTTGGAGAGAGTGCCCATCTTAGAGTTGGCTCACTTTCTGGTGGTTGGAAAGTGAAACTAGCTCTCGCACGAGCATTTATGACGCCAACGGATATCCTGCTCTTTGACGAGCCTACTAATCATCTGGACAGAGCCAGTGTGTCTTGGCTACAGGAACGACTGAAGAGTAACACTGAAGTCACCAGCTTGCTCGTCAGCCATGATGCTGAATTCCTGAACGAGGTCTGCACGGATATCTATTATATCGATGGGACAAAACTCGTCTGGCATGGGGGCAATTTTGCTTCTTTCACGAAAAGGAACTCAAGCGTAGGAGTCGACGACGGTCTCCCAGATGGTGCAAGGCAATTTCAAATACCTCCTCCCGGTCTCCTCACGGGGTTAAAATCTGCGACTAGGGCAATTCTTCGAATGTCACATTGTACCTATACCTATCCCGGCGCATCACAACCTGCGTTATCCAATGCATCTTGTCAGGTTTCCCTCTCATCACGGGTAGCCATTGTCGGTCCTAACGGTGCAGGCAAATCGACTCTGGTCAAAGTTTTGACGGAAGAGCTCATTCCTCAGGAGGGAACGGTGGAAAAGCACCCTAATTTACGAGTCGGCTACATTAGGCAGCATGCCCTAGAGCATGTTGAAATGCACGAAGAGAAGACTCCAAGCCAATACCTGCAATGGCGCTACATTTACGGAGATGATCGGGAAGTCCTGACAAAGCAAACGCGAATCATGACAGCGGAGGACAAGACTCAGATGCAAAAGATGATACACTGGGAGGGTAAGGCTAGGCAGATGGAAGCGCTCGTGGGGAGGCAAAAGTGGAAAAAGAGCTTTCAGTACGAGGTGTAGGGTCATCACAGCCTTATATGTCTTCACACAGCTAACGAGCCTTACAGGAAATGGGTTGGTTCACTTGCCAAATATAATTCCTACCTTCCGCGGGAAACACTTATCGACCTCGGCTTCCACAAACTTGTCCAACGATTTAACGATCACGAAGCTTCGCGGGAAGGGCTGGGTTTCCGGAAACTTGAAACAGAAGCCATTTCTAAACATTTTCATGACGTCGGCCTGGGTACAGACGTTGTCTTTAACACCAGCATCGCCAGTCTCTCGGATGGCCAGAAAGCGAAGGTCGTTCTAGCTGGTGCCCTATGGAACAATCCACATCTCCTGATACTCGATGAACCTTCCAATTTTCTTGACGGCGAGTCGCTGGGTGCGCTTATAACTGCCTTGGAGGACTACAAAGGAGGCATCGTTGTTATAAGCCACAGTCATGATGTTCTGAGGAGGCTTTGTCCTGGGCTGTGGCGCATTAATGCTGGGTATCTCACATGCAAGGGCCACCTTCTCAACGACGACGGTTGCACCAGCATACCGAATAGAAAAATGTCAAAGGCAAATTCGGCCGGCTCTGGGATTGAGCCTGAGCCTGAGCTTAGCAGGTGTTTCGACGCTGAGACGGCCAGAAAGAAAAAGCTCACTCGAGCCCAGTTGAAGGAACGCACAGTACGGCGGAGATTGAGACATATTGATTGGCTCAACAGTCCCAAGGGGACGCCTCGACCTCCAGATACTGATGATGAAGAATAAGCTCTCTGCCGAGCACACTGTTGTTTACTTTGTGGTGGCGGAATCAAAATTTGTATCCGAAAGCGCCTCTCGCTTGGATTGGTCACGTCAGTCGAAGTGCCCGTCACCCTCTCAAAGCTAGAGAAGTTGGCAAACTATGGTGACTGGCGACAAGCAAATAGTCCTAGAATGCAAGGTTGGATGATTTAAATTGGAAAGGTCCATGTCGAGCGAAGAAGTCTCCAAATTATGGGGGCGGATCACTTCACGTCTCCGGTGATGTTATGCCGGTGACTGTTTACGCCCGAAGTTCACCCCAAGGGCAGGACTCATGAAGATTCAATCGCCGATGGTTACCACAATTGTTGTAATCTATCCGGATATTGTAGGCGATATATGTGCACAAGACTGTTTGTTCTTCTTGCGAATTCGGGACGAAACTGGGAGGTCTCGGGTCCAAACGTCATTTGACACCTCTTCTGAAACACAACCAGCTGGCTACGCCTCAGAGCCTATGTGTATGGACTTGAAGGTTGCGATCTCAACTTGGCAGGGAGAGGTGCTGTCGAAAGGGCGGGCTGGTTCGGTATGTGAGACGAGCTTCCGTGACAGCAGCCGCAACCCGATCAATCGAGATCTATTGAAAAAGGCAGGGAAGTGGTATCAGCTAAAGGTTGCAATATGGCATGATGATAAATTCGAGGAGACGTGAGTGTGCGGACAGCGAAAACCTTGGAGACCTTCAGGCAGATTTCTGTGATTCGGAGGCAGCAGGGCTGATGAACGAGTTTCCCTGCGTAGTGATTCGTGACATGTGCGAATACGTCGATTTCCAGCGAGAACGATGCATGGGCACCTGTATATTGTGATAATTGCTGCCACATACGCAAAGGAGGTTTCCAGTAGATCTCTCCCGCATTGGCCGGCCTCAAAGCTTAGAGATACGTATGAAATCAAGCGGATCTACGCCTACCAATAGTCGGTAAGAATGTGGATGTGGCATAACGTTTCCACAGAGCCTCTGATTATACGATATGGTCATGTGTGACCGACCCTCCGGGACAGTTGTTGACGTTTCCAGTAGTTGCAACTAGTAAATGACAAAAGCCAGCCTCTTCAGCATCGAAATAGCTTCTAGTCCGACGCCGAATCTGACAGAAATTACGGGATTCTATCGTCTCCGATTGTGTTCTGTACACTGACTTGTCAAGCTGTGATCAGATTCCCGTTGCTTGGTTTTCTTCCTCCATGTTGTCATGACGGTCGTTGTCGTTCCAACGACTTTTCCATCAATAGCACCTAGTTCGTAGTGCGAGTTCTAGCGACCAAGGCGGGCAGTCGATCTATTCCGGCAGAGGTCATAGTTGAGGACGACAATTCTGATTGATCCAAAGGGGGTATCGCATGATATGACCAAATGGAAGGGTTTACCGAAAAGGTGCATCTCGATCAGCCAGAGGGATTTGAGTTTCTTGCATAGGAAAAGTCGATTTTTCTCCATGGCAAACTGCTTGTTCATCCTTGGGAGTATGATCAGCACTGATCTTGGCAAGCCGTGTCTGTCAGTTCATGCCATTAACTATTGAAGAAAAACTTTGGATGCCACCTGATGTAGGACGGTGAAGACGAGGATTCGTCATTTCTGAGTCGTCTTGTCCATACAATTGGCAGCACGCCAATCTGCTTGCATATGCGGTGGAAAGACAGGACCCGGACGATCATGATCATCTGATCAAAATGGATCGTTCCTTGATTTGTGCGTGCACCCTCACGTCAATGGACACCGTCGCTGCGTGGTGTTCGATTTTGCAACGGCGTGCTTTCGAGAGCATTCAGAAAACTCCGACCCCATCGGATACTGTTCTGTCAGTTTACTCAATCCGGTCTGGATATACTGGTCTCTTACCTGGTGTACTTATTGACCACCTTGGCACACTCGTCATACTTTTTGATTCGTTCAGCTGCCGGTAAGGTAAGCGCTTCATTAATGGCCTCCGCACAGCGAGGTGTGTCCCATGGATTAGTAATAAGTGCCCCTGGAAGCATCTTTGCAGCTCCAGTGTACTGAGATAAAAGCAAGACCCCTTTCCGGTCTTGTTGACATGCGACATACTCGTAGCTGACCAAATTCATGCCGTCCTGTATTGAGGAGATAAAACAGACATCCGCCATGGCATACAAGGCGCAAAGTTCCTCGAACGGAACCGACTTATACATATAGTGGATCGGAGTATAGTCAATTCGTGCTGACGCCAGAGAGTCAGAATCGAGGTATACCAACTGGGATATTTTGGCTTACAATGTTTACCATTGATCCTACCCACCTGCCTCTCAACCGCATCCCGTAGTTTTGCATACTCGAGGACGTCGGTTCGACTAGGCACAGCAACTTGAATTAATACAACCTTGCCTACCCATTCAGGAAAGTCATCGAGCAGCTTATCGAACGCCGCGAGCCTCTGCGGCATGCCCTTGATATAGTCCAGTCTGTCAACTTCTAAGATGATTTTGCGACCAGCAAATGAGCGTTCTGAGAGCGAAATCTGGCTTTGAACGCCTGCGGTATTGACCGTTTCTCTGAAGCTGTCCGGATCGATACCGATTGCAAAATGCTCGACCATGACTTTCCGGCCATGGTAGTGCAGGTCGTGCGGAGAACAGTGGACTTCCCTTAACGTTTGTCAGAATCAACCATCGCCATAAGGGCATTCCTTACTCAAGGACAGCCTCGCATCCACTAATGAGGCGGTCCGCGTAGTCTTTGATGTGCAGCCCTACCAAATCACAGCTGAGAATGCTGTTGCATATCTCTTCGCGGAGTGGCAAAATGGCAAAAGAGTCCTCTCGCGGAAATGGTGTGTGTAAGAAGAACCCGATTCTGATGACTTTCCTCTTTTCGAGTCGTTCGCGAAGGATTCCCGGAAGCAGCAGCAATTGATAATCGTGAATCCAGATTAGATCACCATTTTCAACATGTGGAACAATATAGTCGGCAAAAATCTCGTTGACTTCGCGGTACTTTGCCAACCATTTGGAGTTGAACAGTGCTTTCTCGGGCATGTTGTGCAACAAAGGCCACAGGACCTGATCTGGTTTTCGTCAGGCTTACATGTCAGAATGCGCTGTAGCATGACATACTGCAAAACCCGGTGTAATAGTTGCTGGCCGTTTCTTTGGACAGGAAGACAGGGACAGCCTTGCAACGCTCTGCCACCTCATGGCTGATCGTGTCTCTGTCCGACCGGTGCACGTCGATACCAGGCCATCCAAACCACTGGAACTTCATCTTTTCCTGCAAACCATGAAGAGAAGATGCCAGGCCGCCAGAAGACATTTGGTAGTTGAATGTGCCATCATCTTGCACGGTTATCGTCATAGGTAGCCGGTTGGCCACCACCAGAACCCGGCAGTCATCGTCCATCGTAGGTGGGCAGATTTACTGTGGTCCTGTGGGAAAGCCGACATGGATGCGGATGTGGCACCTTATAAGATGGAGTTGGCGGTGGCGCGGCGGCGGCTTGGCCGCTGTAGGACTTACATCATGTGGAGAACAGTGAGACCAATTTTGTGGACCAGGTTCCTGAAGTCCCCTTGAAAGCGGCCACATCAAAGTTGCTTAGTCGGGTCGAACTTTACCCCGGCGTGGGATGTGTTGAGCTAACCATAACCAATCCGCGGATTGTGTTGTGCCAATTTCACTGGAGTGGCAGCAGAGGAACCATCTCAGGTCTGTAAGCCTACCCAACCATGACAATACCAGAAGAAAGTGGATAATTGCCTCAGCTAGGCAAAAGATGCACATTAACAAGACGAATGTTGCGTTGACGTAGAAAGCATTTAGACCTAATTTAGGCCTAGGCAAGATCAGAACTGCCTGGGCAGAATTGGTAACCCACCCTCGCCCACGGGAACTGATTCGCAGCCGGTTACGAGCTAGCTCAATCTCCCTGAATTCCATATGCAAAGTTAGGCGGCGCCAGGCGCCCGTTAGGGACTAGCATATTACGACCTGGGATTACTATTCGCTATGACAGATACGCCAGACCGAGCCTGCCCCAGCCCGGCCACAACCTTCACGGACAGCTACAGTTGCGACAACGACACCCTGAGACGGCCCAGTGGCTACTCAATAGTCAATGTTCGCCGACTGGAAATGCTTGAGATCTTCGTTGCTGTGGCTTCACGGTAGTGGTACGTCGCGACTGCAGAAAACCATGCCACAACTGATTGGTCCAACGAAGCGATTTTCTTTCGATTGCCCATAATCACGATTTGCCGACTCTGCCTGGGCATGCATGCGGACAGGCTCGGGGCACGTTACTGGAACTCGTTATCTTGTCCTTCTCCACCATGGACCTTCGAATCACTTGACTGTACAGAAGAGGGCGCTTCATGAGTCAGGTAACTTAGATCATTTGTTGTCGTGGTTGCCCATTTTCCACCAGGGAGATTTTTCTGGTTGAACAAGTTAAAGTAAGTCTGATGAGGGTTTGAAATTAGATTGATCTCTGGTAAACCTAGAGAGTGGCTGGGCATGGTGGATTCACAGTCATTGGCATTGGCCATGCAAGGAAGAGCCTATACTCCTCGTTTAACATGGTTCGGGAGGTTGCGAATAGCGGATGTTGGTGGATGAGATCAACCTCGCAACCCACCAACTCGAATCCACAACCCACTGCGACGAACCGCATAAACGTACAGATGCATAGATAGCCTATGCTTCGACATTAACTACACAGGGCAGTCGTCGCTCGCGGATTGTTGCGGCGTGTCCGGAATTTTGGCATACTTTCCCCTGGAAATAGTCACGAACTATGTCCCCGGGATTGAAATATTGGAGATGTGTCGTTGGACGTGCTACACGGACAATTCGTGATAACAATTACTATTGACTCTTCATACTGCCGCCATATGCTCGCCGTCTTTTGTCTCCACTCGTCACCAAGCTCAGCCTGTTGACGCAAGAGATCTTCAATACTGATCCAAGACCGAAAGGCCAGAAGCTCCTGAGAGTTGGCAAATGAGATTTCTAGACTCATGAGAAAGAAGAAGTAACACCCTCTTTGCCCAATAGAATGGAGAGTAAGATGAAGTTGAAACAGACAATCGGCGGAGACCAGGAACCATCCACTCATGGTGAAGACCACTTGTAGACAGCCAGCCAAAATATACAGTGCTTCTGCCGAAGTAGTCAGTGCAAGGTATCCCTACGGATGGTTTAACATATTCTTCCCTTCAACAGCTTACAAGTTAAATTCTCTCTTCGCTTTCCAGTTCCATTCGTTTACTCATCTAATACAAATATGCGCTGGTACATTCTAGGATAAGTGGAGTTGATCCACCTCTACGTCTCTTCACGGTTAAGCATGGCGTTTCCCGATCGTTGTTGGATTCCCGAAATGCTCAAATACATCATTTTGTGGCTGTCTTTTGGATGGGAGAGAGTTGCCCAGATAATTTACCTTCTGGCTCCGTCGCGGAGAACCCTATAACCTCTGAGGGGCGCTCGGGCTCTTCCACACAACCCTGTGTATATCATCAGGAAAGCTCCCTCGTCACTTCTCAAGCCTCTACTACCCTCCTAATGAACTTTTTTTTCCTCGAAAGCTATTTGGCACTTAACCATTCCTAATTCCGGACTTCCCGCTGCGGTGGAACTGATTATTCTAAACCACTCCACATTACATGACATAACCTACGAGCTGTGACGACCATGCAGCGAAGTAGCCACAGTCTTCTTGTGCGCCTGACAAGAGTACCGAGACCGCAAATTGTTTGTCACGATGTTAATGGAGTCTCCATTTCCGGACGAAGACTGGCCGCCTGCATCGTCTGGGGAAGACTACACGTTCGCGCAGGAGGAGAAGTTCCTCATGCCTGGGAAGCTCCGACTCTTATATTATACTATACACAGGACAGTTAAGGGCGCTATAGAGCGTTTTCGAGTCTCAATAATCAAGTCTTGATTTTCTGCTGGGGGATTCAGGCGCTTTGACTCAGTTGCGAAGATATTAAAGCCAGTCTCGCAGCGACTCGGTGGCTTATCACCTGTGAGGTGCTCGTGTTGGGTGTTGTAGAGCATTAGAAGATATCTTTATAATATAAATGGGCATAGAGAAGACGATGGTGAAGAAAACTCTTTTAAACATCGGTATATAAGGGTTAAGCAGATATAGTACTATCGTGGCCGAGCTAAGGCTGGCCTTAAGAGACGAGACACAAGGGATTCGACGTTCGATCTAGACGACGAAACGGGTGAGAAGCTACGATAAGAGGCTAGAGACAGCGTGAGTAACATTCTCACACTCATGTCAGCCCTTCCTCCCGGGGCCCATTTTGGTCCTCGGGGCCCGTTCTGATCCTAGGGGCCCGTTCAAGTTTGATGTTGAATTCAACGGGACGAGATCGATCAGGATGAAGGAGCAGTTCTGGATCCGAACGCTAAACCACCCTGTCAGTCGAAAAGAGAGTCTGGTTGGAAGGAAGGCACGGTTTCCGTATATAACGGATGTCGCCAAATCTCCGGGAGCCGCTGAAAACGGCCAAAACAGATGCATTCTGAGGAACATCTACTTCATTTGGGTTCCCTCTTGTCCTGAGTCTTCCGCCGCTCCGATTCGGTTCTACTTCGCTCTGCCTCTTGGAAACCAGCTTTGAAAGAGCGTCCGCTATACAATACTCTCTTGTCACCTTCGAAGAAAAATGGACTTCCAACCTCAGCTTCCACCCGAAACATGGACGGAGATCTTCAAGACGCTGTCTAGGATGCGACGTTGGTCACAAGAAAATGACATTAAAAGTGTACGGCTCACTTGTCGGCTTTTTAACCAGCTTGCGACCCCTTTTCTCATGTCCGAGATATTTTGTGCGCCTTTGTCTTCCACCTTAACGAAACTTACAGCCGTGTTGCATCATCCTATTCTCAGTAGATCAATCAAGACAGTTGTCTATGCTTCTAGGCGATATCAAGCAATGGGGTTTCAGGACTACCAACAAGCAGTGGAAGAATCATCATGGCCCGGATATTCTTCACCTCAGTGCGAAGCGGATGTTTTAGAGTTGGAGGCGATGTTTTCTCTATACAAACAACATTATCAAGACCAAACCATGATGGAGAGGTCTGGGGAGCTTACGGCGCGTCTTTGCTCAGCCCTTACGCGGCTGCCAAATGTGGAGAGAGTCATCATATCGCCCAATATCTATTGCTACCTCGACAACGCCCTGTCTTCAAACTATTTTCTGGATCCTGAATCTGCTTATGATGAAGCATTTCTCTATGTCTGCCGCATCTTGTCGCTCACAGATACCAAAATACGAGAACTCAGGGTTGAAGATGCTGAGACCGAAGATCATGAATGTGGTGGGCTGACTGCAGAGGCCTTCCAAGAAATGTCACTCCTGGATTCCAGCCATTGTCGTAACGTCTTCCGAGGCATTCGAACCCTGGACCTGACAGCTCAAGATGAGGCAAAAGGTGGTTGGATCATAGGCCAATTGGCAGATTTTCTGTCTTGCGCCACCGAACTGGAGAACTTATCGATTACTGGTTGCTTTTGTTGTCCCCTTCGCCCAGAACATTTTCTGAGAACAACGACGTGGCGCTGTTTAACTACACTGAGCCTCTTTCACACAATTTTTTGTCAAGAAGAACTGTTAGCCTTCCTAAGAAGACACTCAACCACCCTGAAGGACCTTTCATTCTTTTTCGTCGGAGTGCGAAATGGTTCGTGGAAGGCGGTCTTGACAGGAATGAAGTCTTCACTGTCTCTACAAAGTATCGACGTCTTTGATTTGCATGAGTTAAACGACGACGGATATGGAACAGATGTGTTTGTACCAGTAGCTGCGGTACGAGGTTACCTCTTAGGAGATGATTGTCATCCACTCGAGCAGCTTGGCCCGGAGTAGCCACTGAAAAGAAAGCTGTCGGGAGGCCTAAAAGAGTTGCTGCTGGCCGTCAAGTGGTGAGTAGTATAGGTTTAGTTAGCGTTCAGTACTTCAGGTGTCAAAAGAAAGATGCTAAAGAATATTCTTCAGAACAAAAAGATCCCAAAGATCTTCTTCGACGTTCGCACCGATTTAGATGCCTTATTTGCGCGTTTCGGCGTTGTGTTGCAGGGCGTGGAGGATATTCAGCTTATAAAGAGTGCCGTGAGGAAGACTACGGCATCGAGGAAGTTCTTGAGTGGCCTGGCTAAATACGTTGAGGAGAATGTGCTTATGTTGCTCGGTAACAAGACGGGCTAGAAGCAAGTGAAGGAGAACGAGGAGCGATTATTCAAAACGGATCATAACGGTATGTATGAGCCAGTGTCCAATCCTCAAGGATATTATATCTTATCATGTTGGTGATGTCCAGAACCTTCCCCTGAGTTGCGCCATAAGGAAAATGCAGAGCTTTCAGTGGCGAGACTTAGTCAATGAAGAATCCATGAAGCGCGTCTCGGCGTCTCACAAACCAGAGTACCGGCGCCACGGCTCAGACATGGCTCCGTGGAGTGAAGACAAGAATAGGACTTTGGACGAGTGGAGTTGGGTTCCTCCTCCTCGTGACTACTTCGGTGACGACGACAATTGAGATTTGGACGAAGATGACGGTTGGGATGGCGATGGTCTGAAGAGCTGTAGGGATATCAGCAGATGGGACTATTAATATTCCGACTGAGCTTTATGAACTGGTTAACGTATCAATGATTTCAATCACAACCTTCGATACAAAGCTAAGAGACTGACAACGCAACCGGGCCCGCCAAGGTTGCGAGGGCCAGGTCATAGTCATTATCAGGCAATTGACTTGTGACCGCTGCAAACACCGCCCCATTGAGTCCTTGCGGTACATCCGCAACTCCCCTGCCTTGACCAACGATCGATAATACCGTATACATCGGCACATTCAGCTGATTGGTCCAGCCCACAAACAACTGTTTTCCCTGCTCGAAAACGAATGGCATCTGCATCGGATCCCACGAGAATGCCATTTCTGACGGAACCACGGTGGTGCTCGCAGCGGTAGCGGGGCGCGTGGTGGTATTTTGATATGGCGCGATGCTCGACGCTATTCCCGTGGCCGCTGAGGATCTGTTGTCAGCCGTAGTCGGGGCTGACACCGTTAACGTGGGCAGAATTGGTAGTGGGAGTTCCGTTGGACACGATCCAGGCACGATAAATGGAAGAGCCAAATTGTATGCCCAGATACTGCTAATCCCGGTGTCAAATGGAGCTGGGTTAGGGACTCTGCCACCCACATGGCGGAAGAAGGCGTCGTGGCGGGACTCGACTGTCACGATCGACGACACCGTATTGACAATCCCAGGATCAGTGTACGAGGCTCGATCGACCAGCCCGATAAGTGCGCTGATGCCCACTGAGGTGATGATGTCGCCAAGGGCGATGAACTCATCAATGGACGCCACCGGGAAGGAATACTGGCAAGGAGCAATTACAGGGGCTTCATAGCCGTTGAGCAGATTCGCAATTGTTGCAACGTGTACTTCCTCCTGCTATAGAAGGCACAAAACATTAGACTGACACAGAACCGGGATGGTCAACTTACCGCCGCGATTGCGCTGAGAACTTCGGTCGTGTCATTTGCGTAGCCCGCCGTTCCCCAGGTAGAAATATTTTGAAGTCCGCTTTGAAGATAGGATAATTCCAGGTTTTCGAGAAAGAGGGCCAGTTGGAATTCTTTGATCGCTTCCGCTGACACCATGGGAGGCCCATTGCTGTCTGGAATCCCGCCTCCTGCCGTGTTTATAGCGTCTGGACAGAGTGGTGCGGCTGCCGTAGTCGCCATTCTTGTCAAGATGGGCAGGACGAAACAGAAAATTGTGGAACGCGGAGGTGACGGCATGACCGCTCTTCAATGTCGAAAATTGTAAATTGCTTGAGGTGTAGAGATTGATCACATCCTCCCAGCTTCCGAGCTTCATGGAATATAAATCAAGTCGTGTCAGCTTGGACAAGTGCGATCCTTAGTTCCGAAGGGACCAATTCTTGTTCCCTAGGTGCTATTCTTGTCTCACCTCTCTCACAGCCTCAGACGATCCTAAGAATAGTGGTGGGGTCGAGTGTGGTATACCAATGATCAAGAAGGAAGGTCGCTCCGAAGCATATTGCCATTACTTTCAAAGTAGTGGGAAGTGACTGGGCGAGTCTTACTCTGTACTGGGCTTTCCCTTCAGAAATAAAGTGCTGAGCCAGATATGCACTTCAATAAGAATAGAATAAATTAAGAGGACAAAAGTATCCGTAGAGGCTCTTGGGATACGGGTCTAATGGTTGTGTTAGTGGCCCAAAGTGGCTGGCAAAAGGGGCAGCCGAAAACGAGGCAACAAGTATGGCTATGCTGGCTCGGACGAGGCTCCGCAAAAGGAGGCCTCTAATTGGTTGCTCGGTCATCCACTGCCCTTATCAGATTAAGATTTGTCTGACTACAAGGTCTTGATAGGCATGGAAAACATGGGCGCTTGATTACAGCTACCTTCCCTACCGTACTCTAAGCTCGACTGAAAGCCATTGTACGCCTTTAGCACCTGTTTGAGACGGGAGGTAGAGTCACCATCGGATTATATCACCCAGTACAATCGACGGCCACAAGCTACATTTGCCTGGACCATATCGCCATCTGCCAGAAACAGAGGGGGCTACGTTCCTTAAAACGCTAGATCGTCACCCCGTGGGACATGGTAATCCAGTGGCACCCTCTCCTTGCCAGGCTCGTCCGGCAGAGAGTAATCCTGCCCGATACAGCAGTGCCCCCGCCACGACCATTATGTGCATGACCTGGTGGCTAGAGCCCACGATATCAAAAGCATCCAAACAGAACCTTTCTGGAATCCGCATGCAGTAAAAAAACCTCCAATGGCATTCAGGATGATCAGGTTCCTATAGGATGCCAGGAGGACGGGGTGACAGGCACTCCTTTCCCAGTATCGAGCATCAAGCGACATCATCGGTAGGGTTGCCGAGAGCCCGAGGGCGAAGGAAGTCAATGTGCGCATGGGATGGCTTTCGGGATCCCTAGACATTGGCCGAGAGACACACAGCGTCGTGAACAGAGCCGCTACCGTTATAACGCCGATGTAGTACACCTGTAATCGGTGGTCGCAATAAAAGGCGAAATAGAGAAAGGAAACCACTGTGCTCCAGATGAAGGTGACTGTGCCGAAGTGGTCCAGTTGCTGTGTCAAAATCATTGAAGTAAACAAAGAAGGCGATCGGACAGCGGAGGATGATATGTCGTTCACCGGCGACGGCGACAAATGTACTGACCTCGACTGTGATTTATTCCCATCCCATTGCGCAACCACCCATGGCGCGATCGGTTCCCTCGATCCAGGAGATGTCGGTGACGACGCCATGTTCGATCAGTATTTATGCTCGCCTTCACCCTCGCCCTCGCCCACCCCTTCACCGGACGACACGACCAGCGAATTGAGCGGGTCAACGTTGTTTGATGCCGGACGCGATCCGTCCCATGGTTTCCCGGAGTTGTACACGGAGACACCGAGGAGTACAGCTCCAGAAATTTCGCCAGAGAGTGAGATAGCTCGAGATCAAGATGACCCTTGCCACTCCGCGAATGGGACTTGCATCCGTCTGCGAGTCAGAAGGCCGAAAATTACGCCCGCCTTAAACTCCCGGACAGAGGCCAATCCAGAAAGAAAAAGGAAGGGGACAGCGATCAGGGAAAGGGGCAATCCAGGAACTCAGAGAGAAGGGCAGGGTGGTAAACGAGACAGATCGGGTGAAGGAGGCGCTCTAATTCCAGACCTGAATAGGCAACTTCTTTAGCGTCCTCCCCATTACCCATACTGTACGGAGTACATTGGGATGACAGCTTCATAGCCACTTAAGGCCCAGGAACCTCAAGAATTATGGTAAAGAGAAGGATGCGGTGAGGCTGCTAGAGCCGGCGGTTGAGATCCGTGAGCGGCTCTTCAACTCCTGTAGTAGTTTCCCTCACCTTTAGCCCTGCTAATATCGACTTATGGAGGGTATCACAGAGGACTTAGAGACCTTAACTAAAGATCGTCCATAATCGTTTACGGAGCTCTTTGGCTTTTATGACTGAACCATATTACGCCGATGTTCGTAATCTACCTCGAGTGTGCTTAGTAGTTAGATGTCGATTTGCCAATATGATCATTATTATGGAACGAAATGAGCAAGGGTTTCTAAATTCGTCTCCCTGATCGAAGAGCAGCTAGACGGTACGATTAAAACGTGCTGATGAAATCCAATAAAGCGAACAATAATGATGTCTCAACCCGACAACCTTCGTCCTGGTGTTTCCTACGCCGGAAGCCTTTCTTTAGCCAACCTCGAATAGCGTTTTCATCCATTCCTCGAACATTCTGTTGTGCAATTAAAATGGATGTATGACTACAAGGTACGGTGGATTCGCCTTGGAGGGAAGGATATGTCTTGCAGTCTGACTCCGGACCTAAGGGGCCCTGAGAGGCGTCCTCGGATTGGCCGGCGATTGTGTCGTCTTTAAGGGCTGATATAGATTCCATGTCCACCTCTGTCTTATGTTGCGGAATGAGACTGGGTTCTGGAATATGGAAGAGATGCACAGAGGCTGGCGTTATGAAAGCTGGTGATGGTTCCGGCGGTGAAGCCATTAGGGTGAAGGACCTGTCTACGACCATAGAATTCGTTGCCGCCAGGGAGGGTCGAGACTTGGATGTGGTAGCCATATCGGGTGAGCGACTGGTGTCTGGGACCCATAAGGTGGTCTTTAGTGCCCCGTCACCCATTTTCTCTAGATGTTGTTGTCCTTCTGTTGGTGCCAACGACTCCGGAGTCACATCTCCATCAGGATGCTCCTTAGCAGCCCGGTACTTCCAGTATCTGCAATTACTTTCTAGTTCCGCAATCCTCGCTCTTGCCTGTACGAGAAGATGTTCGCTATGGTCAACCTTCTCTTCAAGGAAGGCGATATACTGTCGTCGTCGCTCACGGTGACGTCGCTGATTGTTCCGCACTCGGATCAGCGTGTGTGTAGGTGTTTTGTTTTGCGTCAGCCCGATAGAGGTAAATTGATTATCCGTTAGATGCATCTTGCCCCCGGAAAAAGAATTAGATGGATTGAACCGGAGGAAACTAACAATGCTTGCGATTGAGATCATAAGAGACGTTTCAAAAAGTCAAAACCTGGATAACGTCGCCAAGACTGGTGACATATCGACATGCATCACGCCACCACCGTAAAGAGGATAGCTCTTTACGATTCGCAGCAGGTCTGACATTTCTGCCAAGGGCCCCCAGAATTGCGGCCCTCTCCTTGAGAGATGGGATCAACGAATTAAGCGCACAATAAAAATCACTTGGCGGGATTGGTTGGAAGGTGAACATCAAGCGAGGAAGGGGAGGAAATGTCGAGGCCGCATATGGAACGGTACGAAGGCCGAAGCGTGTGCTTCTTGCCTCAGTGAATTGACAGCCTTCGTTCCAAATTCTGCATTACCTACAGACGCCGGAGGAGACATGTGAGCTACCAGAGCCACTGAAATCCTTACAACTGCAAGTTCCCACTGCACGAGACTCAAGGCAGAGTCTAAGATTTGCAATCAGTTATTCCTATATCTATCCATGGATCGGCACCTCTCGACTTGCCTTCTGATGTACGACCCGGCAACCTCGACCCGCCATGCTTAGGGACTGCGATGGACCTCGATATATTACCCAATACTTAGCATCTGAGCCCAGAACACGAGCCTGACCTTGTCGCTGATGGCGTAATCACCCTTTAGGACGCAGAAGGGTTTTTCACTTCATATTGCCAACATCTCGATCGGTTCCTCTACAACGTCCTAGAAGAACATGATTCACTGACTAGCATCCGTAAAAGTTCTCCGCTCTTGACCGCCGTAATCTGTGTTGTCGGCGCCCTTCACACTTTTTTACCTCAATATCAAGCATGTTACGAGCATTTTGTTCAATTGGCATCTATCCGGCTATTCTCAAAGAAAAATACGTCCGACGACATCCGTGCCCTTTATATAGCCGCATGCTGGCTCGGCGACATATCCTCTAGTCTCATTGGAGCAGGCAGGTTTCGCCATCACTCTCGATCTACTAGACCATATACTAACCTTACGATGATGTAGCGGTTCGTCTTGCAAGCGAACTAAGCATCCATCGGCATATACAGAACGCCGGCCATCAGAGAGACTGCTATCGAAATACTCGTTTATTCTACCTTGTATACGTTTGCGACCGCCAATTATCGATTACCCGCGGAAGGCCCCCATTGGCCTGGGACTTCGGCTCCATTATTTCTCCTAAAGAGTTGCTTCAATCTGAATATGCGACCAAGCTTGATGAGAGCCTCGTCAGTCAATTGGAACTTTGGTCTATAAGCACTCAAATCTTTGACCGATTTTACCTTGACCCCGACGATGACCTGCCAAATAGCTGGATTCCTCTAACCCAGCGTCTACGTACCGCCATAGAGACCTGGAAAGTCGAATGGGATGACAAACTCCTCGTCAATGAAATCGAGGCCGGCTTCGCATCCAAAGCAATCCCCTTGCAATATTACTTTACGAGATTATACCTATGTTCCGTTGCATTTCGGAGGCCGGCTATTTCACAAAGCAATCATCCTCGCTCGGAACTTGGTCTCGAATTTGCAGCAACTGCGATGCATTCTGCAGCCACAATTCTACAAGTAATCTTAACCGACAAGGAAATTCAATCTTACTTATGCGAACTACCTGTTTACTTCAATGATATGATTGCCTTTACAATTACCTTCCTCTGTGAGGCGACGACGAAATATCTAGCCAATACGTGGATCGACAATGTTGAGATCAACGCCGAATTGGATGAACTGGTTCACGTTTTCCACCACAGTGCAGCTATCATCCAGCCTAAGCTTCCGTTGGCTGGTGTTATGAGCAGCATGCGACATTTAGTTGGCCGATTATAAACTCTTCGCCAGGCACAGGAAGAAGGGCATAGTCATCACCAGCAGACGCTATAGGATCAATCTTGTCAGCTGCTTATTCAAAATAAGCAGCTGCCAGGTTAAAGGAAACGTTTAGCAGTAAGGGGCATTAGCATAACCTACAAAGGTTGTCAATTACTGATAATTAAGCAGCGAAATTTCTTATGCCTTCTGCGCATAGCAATGACGTCGAAGGCGTTCGGGCAGGTGACTAATAAAGACTTAACAGTTGTCACCGCCTATCCATAATTGGCTCGTGAAATCGGAACATAGCCTCCCGCTTTCGCGACTTGCCTTCTATAGCACCCGCTCATAAGATAGTTAAGACGGACTATTTAAAGACGAGCTACCCAAGATCATCGCATCAAATTTATTTCCGATTGTGCCGGAGCCTGCAGTATTTATCACTCGCATATCTAGGATCTCCCTGCCTTATATATCATTTCCTCATCAAAATGCACGAAAGCCAGGGCGCCAGCGATGGGTGCAATTTTATATGTCGGCTGAGAAGGACCGGTCCCAAAGATAAGATAACCGGGGCCAACAATACATATCAAGGAATAATTTCTGGGTAGAGGATGTTTCGCTCCTGCCTTCGAGAACCATGTGCAGAATTCCTCGGGACCCTAGTTATATATCAAACCCGCTCATGAATTAAACAATCAACTAAAAGACTGGATTACAGATAGTACTATTTCTAGAGGGTGTTGTTACCCAAGTCACCATTTCCGATCGAAAAGGTGGCTCGTATTTGTCGATCAGCATTATCATAGGCATCGCGGTCATATTGGGGATGTTGATTGCGGGCCCGGTCTCAGGGGCCTATCTGAATCTAGCGATTACTTTTGCTTTTGTCGTATTCGGGCGGTTCCCTCTTCAGGAACGGAAGGTATGGCGGAAGGAACAACCAGGGAGACAGCCTCGCTGGCAAGGCTGAAGTTACAGGTCACGTGATATGGACTGTGGATGGACTGAGTGGACTGCAGCGGTCCACCCGCTATCCCACAGTCCAGCTTGATAGAGGGCTATATAGGCATAGGACGGACCGCTCCTGAGGGAACGGTCTGTAGTCAACCTCGTTATCAATCCGACCCCTACCTTCTAGGTTTAGGATTATCTGATACAGATTCCTGTCTACTATACCTGTGGGCCCGTGCCCAGTATAGTTCCAGCATTGTCACTTCACTTGTCCCACTTATCAGTAAACGATAAGTCCCCGTTGCTCCCGCGAGTATCAGGTTCTTAACAGAAGGGCTCCTAGATTTATCATCTCTTAGGTACGTTTTCATAAATGCTGGAGCTCGCTATAATTTTGTTTTCCTTCTCTTTCTTTTTTTTTCAGTAGATACTAATCTCTTTAGCTTCTGGGTGGCTTTACTGGAGCAGCCCTAGTTTATACCAACTATAGAAGCGGCATTGATTTCGTTGAAGGACACAATATTCGCACCCATAAAACAGCAGTCATATTCAGCACTTATCCCCAGCCATATCTTACCAAAGTTAGTCAGCTATTCTCAGAGTTTCTGGCTACAGCTCTTCTCAGTATAGGCATATTCTCGATTTCGAATACTGAGCATACACAAGTAATCCGTGATTTGGCGCCTTTATAGGTTTTTCTGCTCATCCTATGCATCGGTGGTGCACTCGGCCTCGAGACGGGTTACGCTATGAATATGGCTAGAGACTTTGTCCCTCGTTGCTTTGCGTAAGCCCAACAGCAACCTATGATTTGAAAGGAGACTAACAGCATCGTAGCTATTTTGCTGGTTACGGGCCTGAAGTAGCGTCTTATTTGGAGGACTCGTCTACAAGGCCTTTATGTACGATGACGATTTATCAGTTAAGTAAATACTATATTATTTCTACCCACCACGGAGGCCCAGCACATCTCAACTTAACCTCAGTCGAATCGCTCGAACAATCCCGCTTTCTCGAGTGCTCACAGCAAGGTATTCCCTGCCGTCCCTAGGCCTACACCCGTTGTGCTGCTTTGACACATCTTTCCTTTGGTAACGGGACAGCAATTTCGGATCAAGGAAGTGTGATGGATTGCGGGACAAAATGATATCCTCATGAGATGCCAAAATGTCGACAGCTTTATCGTCGGGCAAGCAACATGCTCGCCATAGTTCTAGCTATACAAAAAGCCGACGCGCTCTAATACCCGACTCCCCTATGAAGAGATCTTACAGTGACCAGATTATATCGCCTATTTCTGAGAACCCTCAGGCTACTCATCGTCCTCGAGTAAGCTCTTCTTCTAGCTAGCCTACAGCAAAGACTCTTCTATGGTCAACTAGACCCTGCTTAATATTCCTCCCCACAAGAAAATTGAATCACCTAACGTAGCCCGGAAGAATATCGTGGGAATTTTGCTGTTCTGTATCAGAAAACGATCACACACAGCCGCCGAGGCAATATAGGATCCAAATTAACTTACTCGGGGAGTAGAATCTTGGATAGGCGAATCATCATCGCAGAGGAGCGATTTGACCACGTCAGAGTTGTGCTTGTTGTGACTTTTCTCAATATTATACACGATCTGTAGTGGCACCTCGAGCACAAAATCTTTGACGTGCGCACCTGATATTTTGGCCCTGAGAACCAGACTGTATTGTCGCGAGGCGACTGCGCTGCAGAAAGATGGAGGGAGATCCATTGGTACTCTCGCGACGATCGGGACGTTTGTAAACAGGAACGCAGATGTGGGGATGTTCTTGGACTGCTGTTGGTATGATATTTGCGCGTCGGAACTCAATCTGCGCTCACTGGAGTCCGCTCCCAAGGATGGGAAAGCTATACTCTGTACGGACCAGGACCGTATAATATGCTTGACGGGAGGCAATGGTATGACTGCGTCATAAAGTCTGTGCGGGCCATTTATGGTGAGCATAGATTGACCTGGCAGTTTCGGAAAAGGTCGCATGGAGTAGAAGGTTTTCGCACGTAACCCAAGGACGATCTTGACCTGAATTTGGTGGAACATCGCCATTAGTCGATAGGGATCCGCTCCTGAGCGTGAATCTTCCATTTTGATGGACACGTTGGTACTGATGATCCCTGGTGAGTTTCTGTCGCTGAAGGTAATAGCAGGAGGTTCAGCCGTGGTAAGAGTCATCCTGTATTTGTCCGATCGTAATCTGTGCAGACGACACGAAAGTGTCTGACTCTCGACAAATTCTCCCGGGAAATCCCCGGTGTCGAGCGGGGGATTGGCCGCTCTAGAGACCCAGATAGGTATCTCCTGTATAGCCGTGATGGTCGTTGGTTCTTGATCCGCATTGTGAATTTCTGCTTGGGCGATTAGGTGGTAGCCAATATTTGGCTGTGCATAAATTTTGCCCCCAACGTCATCTTTGAGTACCGGGCCTACACAAAGTGTTGGTGGAAGTTGGAGGCATTGTTGTGGTACGTGGGTTCCTTTTGTCAACACCTGGCGAGAGATGGTAAAATCGAACGGCACCGTCGCGTTTACACCACTTGTCTCACTGTGTAAACCCATAGGCACGTTCTCGGGGATCAAGTCCTGGTGTTGGGATAAAAACTGCCCTTTTGTTACCGTCTTCCCTTAAAATTTCGGTAAGCAATTTCGTAATTACCTTGTACGCAGATAAAGTTGGAATTTTTGCTGCTATACCGCCTGAATCTACCTTTTTTATGTGAATACGTGAAACACCTACTAATTCATTAGCCACTTGCTGCTCGCGGTAAGTGAGAGCCTAGGGTCAAAGTGGTCTTACCGTCCAGCCTGATTCGGGCGTGAGCTAGAGTGATTGGGTCCTTGCTTTCAATCGAAAGGGTCCCAGTAACTCGCTCGCCTGGAAGCCAGTAGTTCTGTACGGAGGTCTTGGTCATCCGTCCCGGAGCTTTGTCTTCATCCACCGTGATCTTCATTCGAACTCGGCTGGGCGAGACTTCAGCTCTCGGCAGCAAAGCATGATGTGAACCAGCTGCAGCAAACAGGTGCTGGTTCATATCTTCAATCGTGCAGTCGTTAAATATTGAAAAGAACGTCATCTTCGAGGTCCGTTTGAGCTTATTGTCGGCGAGCCTTGCTGCCGTAAGATGAGACTGAAACAAGTAGGCGTAGCTAGGCTACCACTGTCTTGTTGACCACGACCAACTGCGGCATCGCTGGGTTGATGTGTCGACCGAAGTGTTCGCTTCGTGCAATAGAGAACTGGTATATATAAACGCGGCGGCAAGGCCAATCCTGGCTAATCCCCCAATGAGCTCTTAGAAGGGTAACACGGGGAAGGGAAGAGGTCAAATGCCAAGACTAAATCTATCCAATTGGCAGGGCTGCGTGACAAAGTGCCGAGACATATACGCCTAGTCAGAACAAGTTCCACTAGCTCGTGAATTCGGATCTGGAAGGCTGGATTGTTGCTTTGTAAGGTAGCTCAGGGAGACCAGGCGTACAACGAAAAGCCAGGTTTAGCCCCCAGGGAAGGTGCAGAGATTTCATAAGATGAAAGCAGCGATGCATGGCCAATACTACTAGTAACCCAGCCCACGACCAGGCCATACCAGATCCGGGATTCGAGAAGCACGCCCCAATGACATATGCTCCCGAATGGAATCGTTTGGCCTTTCACTAAACTTGAGTCACTTTTCACGCTTAGGCTGCTCAGGATTTCGCTGGTCTGACTTGCATCTGGGTCAAGTAAATCTTGCAGACAGGCTGTTCGTGTGTTTGGTCGCTGACCGGTTCAGATTTATCATGCTTTGACCATCAGCGGCGGTCTTCAACGCGCAAAAGCTTTCAACGAGCACCCTTGGTTCAGAGAGATCGTGTTATTCTGCAATTAAATACCTGGTCTGGCGCTGACCACTATCACCGAATCACACAGATGGCGCCGGACTAGGAAATATGTCGGACTCTTGAAGTTTTCTCGAACTATGAGAACATTCGGCATGGGACTTTGTCTCAAGTTGGATTGAACTATTCCGATGAGTTCACTTCTCAAGTTTTCTTAAACGGGAGCGGCATAAGTTAGGGGAGCGAAGCGCGCCGAAGTAATCTGGTCCTTGAAATACAAGAATTGGAAACCACGGTGGCGCAGGCTCAACTTGCCGCGGCTTCACAGTCTAAAACAAGCTCGGAAGACAGAGACAGTTAGTGCTGCGATAGCCTTGATTCGAAGACTTCGGGACAAGGTAGACGAGCTGGAAGAGCAACGTCGTCAGGAAGAGCGTCGACAGGAACAGGAGAGTCGAGTTTGCCAAACCTGACAAGAGAGTCTAGCGCCACTTTTGTACTTCCACGCTCTTGCTTTGCTGGATCAGAGTCCTCGACAGGGTCCTTGGCCATTTGTAATTTTATTCTCTTCTTTAATTATCATTTTTCGCAACGCAGACTGAAGATTTAGATAGTGAGGGGTGGCAGAGAGCGACAAAGGTGGTGCTTCCCGGCTGCTTGTTTGTCGCTCTGTCATGCGTACAATATCATTGGCTGGTCCGCGACTTTAGCGCAAGACCCGGACATCCTCCTAACCAGCTCCCCCCTTAGCCTCCCCCTACGAGCATATGGCTTGCTGATCGGCTTTCACGTGGAGTGCGAGATGTGCAGACACCCTGTCGAAGCATGGAAATTGACGGTCTGAATGAACGCCAGGATCCTCCACCGCGAGAGCGCCAATGAAGTTCCATTGCACGAGAGGCTACCCTGTAGGGGCTGCCTGGTCTCGTGACAGTCACATGGTCGGCAATCTACCCTGCAGAGACGAAAATCGCTGAAGCCGACCCCGTTGGTCATCACCCCGGACTAGCTGAATCTTTCGAGACAGGATTGGATACAGAGCGACCGCCTTGGACAGAAAGGCGTCGTCTTGGCTTTGTCACTGGACCAAAAGTCATTTGCTTTAAAACAGAGGGGTTGCTTCTTGGAGCAAGATGCGAACCCCTGGTGCATAATCTGTACCCCCCCGACTGTGTCTTGGCGTCTTGTCAAAGAACCTGAACGACTCGGATCCTCGATCTAGTAATGGCTTCGCTCTCATGTCGCCAAGGCTGACCGTGGGGAACCTCAAACTGCCCCACATGGCTGGTCAAAATGCCTCGCCTTCTGCCATTGCAGGAAACCTACTATTTGAGTGCCCTGCTGAAGCAATAGCAACGATACCCCAGGTCATTTTACGCTTGGGCGATCCTGGTTGCACATTTAAATATTGTGGCCGCTGTATTTAAGAGAGAACGGCCGGAAACCCCAATGTGCTGGTACTTCTGGCTCCTCTCATTCTTGCTACAGGTTGCTTGGGTTCAAGCACTGGATACCCCTGTCAAATTAAGAGTTTGCAAAGACAGGTTCGGGCGACTCCACGAGCAAATGCAACCTTCCACCTTGTCAATTGTAATTTGAATGCTTCGCTCCTGGAGCACCCACTTGCGCAGTAGACGGGCTTCAACTGGCACTCGGACTCTCAGATGCACATGGAGATCAAAAGAAAAAAGTTCGAAAACTTGCCCGATGTGTGGGTATGTGTGCTAGATATAGGGAGGCTGTACTTCCGGAGCAAAAACCTTACAATCCAGCACTCTACCAACACCATCCAGCATGCATTCACCACTGGCAACAATTAAACACAACTGGAGGGCTTTCAGTCCGCATGAGAAGCGAAACATCGTAATTTACATTATCGGTATCATGCTGTGCAAGTTTGGTCTGGAAGCATTTACCGGCTCCATCATTGCCCTGGCTACCAATCGGTACGATTACGATGCTGCCAGGCAAAATACCACGCCAATCACCTTTGAACGCATCGGTCTTCTTACGGGTCTGAATCAATCTTTCCAGTGCGTTGGATCGATTATTATCGCTCCCTTGGTGCGGCGGTTCCCTACCAAGAACGTCTTGGCGGCTGCCATCTTCATTTTCGGACTCTTTTCCGCCATAATACTCATCGTGGATGGGAGTACTGGTGGACGCATCAAACCATCAAACTGGTCACAGACTCATGACGAGGAGGACTTCGCTTATTACGGAGACTACAATACCGACGGCATGATTCCCATCTATTGTTTTACAGGCATAGGTTACGGAATGGTGGAGCTTATTCGAAGGATCACCCCCAGGGACATTGTGGGTGGCGACGTGGAGAAACTACGGTGCATGGATGCAAAAATATCAGAGGCTGGGTTCCGCGGTTGGAGGCTAGCCTAGATCCTGGGGTGTGAGTGTGTCACTGGGCACGTTTGATTGGAACCTGAGCAACCATCCCCCTCTCCAAGGGCATCATGTATCAAGCGCCACCTTATGACCGGAATGATGGGGTAATGGCGTCGTAAAATTTTGGAAAGACCTCGACAACAAACGAGCTCTCTCGTGATAACTATTTTTCGATCATATACCCGTGGACTGTCTCAAGAAAATTTATCACAAGCAAAGTAACGGGGCCAAAAACAAGAGTCTCAGCACGGCATGGGCAGAGATGCCAGAACTTAGCCTTGTATTGGGCAGCAGTCCTGAGGTAAACGGGTTGAAGAAGAATGCGACTGTGGCTCTGAGTCCTGGGGATGCGGTTCATGGACGTTTAGATATCACTTGCAAGAGGAGTTTTCACGTCCGTAGGGCAAGCATCTTCCTTGAAGGTGGCCAAGAATCATCTGTTGTCGTCTTCAGTTTCAACTGACCGGTCATAGGGATTTCGAGGAATTGGATTTCAACTGCTGTGGAAAATGAAATTTTCCTTGACATCACAAAGGCCGAACGAAAAGTACGTATCATAGACGGAGAACATTCCGGTAGAATCCATGATCTGTGTTTAGTAGTACTTACCCTCATTTCCAGTTCCTAAGTCAAACCATAGACATTCCGAATTCCGACATCTGCAACGTCGTGGTGTCAAAGGAAGGATTTCACATGTCCATACCCTTCTATTTTATCGTTTCAAAGAAGATCCCATCCTCGGATCCACAGTCACCAGAGCACTGCTTACAGCTTCCACCCTCCATCGAGCTTGGTGCCGTCATTGTTGACGAGACCGGAAAGCGATTTGCTCAGCCAAGCATATCATATGCATTGAGAGCTAAAGTTTGCTTCGCTGCCAGGACTGACGATGAGACAATGCCACCGGTCGAGTCCTCCTTACCACTCATTCTACGGCCGCGAACAAAAGAATTTCCGCCTACCGATACTATCGACTTCCCCACAGAGTTTAAGTTACAGGTATCAAAATCTGTTCGACGGTCATTGTTTGCTCGAAACCTTGGGACTCTGACCGTGTCTATACAAGAGCCACGGCCACTCATCTACGATGCTTCTTCTATGGGTAGCCTAACGGAGTGTCATGTGGGACTTGAGCTTTTGGCCCTCGATTCGGGAGACGTTCACCAAGCCTTACAGGCAATGGAGATTTCGATACATTCGTGGGTCCGGGTCAAGACGTTCTATTCCGTCAAGTCGTTCTCTCAGCTTCCAAGTCAAACCCTCCTGAGTTCCGATGGAAAGACACGACTGCGAGACGATTTTCTCAAACTCGAGACACGGAATCTTCCTCACGTTTCGTGGAGTTACCAGTATCACTCGGTGGAATCTGGTGGTGACGACGCTAATAACGGGTCGACCACGCAACCCGATAGTGGCTCAAGTTCCTGTTCTGGACCTGCCAGTCCTTCTCAAGCACCCAGCGGAAGATGGACAGCCAGATTTACGCATCCAATCCGCGTCCAAAGCAGGGTTCTACCGACATTTTGCAGTGCTATTGTTGCACGCCTATACACCGTCATTGTCCGCCTAAAGGTTTCCGGGATCAGGAGAGAGTCGTTCAATTTAGAAATCCCTCTTCAAGTAGTCCACGCGTCCTCCAACGATGCTTCGGACGAGGAATATCCTTTCATCAGACCCCTTGAAGAAGACAGAACGTCAATGGATTTCCGGAGAGCGTCGACAACCTCTTGGTTTAGCGATGAGTCCCTCGCAAGTAGCACCCTCTTCCGAAATTTCATCCCATTAATCCTTCTCAGGATCGCGTCGATCAGCCTCCTCACTATCACCCATAAACAGCGTTGTGCAGATGCGACTCTTGCCAAGACGACTCTTTATAGAGAGTCGACTCTTTGCTCCCAGCCCTGGTGGCCGCCAGGAGTCCACAATGGCGTATGAGTAGATGGTAGGCAATCTCTTACCTTCTACCCATTATTCAAGTAGATTCCTTGCTGTTTCACACGTAAAATGTCTTTGCCAGCGGTTCCAAGCATCGAAAACACTATCTCGTACTCTCGACGAAGCGATGAACGTCGTATTAGAGGGGTCAACTGGCGCAGAGTCGGTCGTTAGCCAAACGTCTATAGACGTAATACTTCCTCTGTTGTCTGGGAGCATGGCGACAATTATCTCAAAGTTTCCTCGCCTGGAACACCACCACATTGGCTTTGCGATTACTGTGACGTCGTAATCAAGCTACAGAGGAATGGTTCCACCAACAACCATAGTCGACACCTACAGACCAAGCATCACATTGGCCTACAATCGATTGAGGCCAGTAATGACGGCGTGGACGTAGAGAACGACGAAGATTATGACCATCAAAGTCAAGCATCCTCGACTAACTCCTTACGTCCACCGTCTCAGTTCGCAGCGTTGGATACAACCATCAATATTGATCGATTCCGCCTCCTCTTCCTGCGACTCTTTATTCGGTGCCAAGTCCCATTCTCGATTGTTGAGCGCGACGAGTTCCGAGAGCCTATACTGTATATACAACCAACGATCGAATGTTATTTGGTGGACTCACATTGTACAATAAGTCGATGGGTGGCGGAGGAATTCAAACAGGGCCAGATGGCCTTGATTAAGTTGATGGCGCAGGCAAAATCGAGGGTCCACCTAAGCTTTGATATATGGACTGCACCAACTGGCGCACCAATACTGGATATTTGTGCTCATTTCCTTGATGAAGACCTCCAGTTTCGATATCCTCTTCTGGCACTTCGATTCCTTGCGGGACACCATACTGGAGTGGCCATGGCTGAAATAATTGAAAGTGTAATGGCTCAGTTCGAAATCATCGATAAATGGGGAGTATGCGTCTCAGATAATGCCGACAATAACGACACCACCTGCAAAGCATTAGTTGAAGCTCTCCGACCAAATGAACCCACCACAGCGAGGAGAGCAAGGTGCTCTGGCCATGAGGTGAAACAGGCCGCTAAAGCGTTCATTTATGGCAAGAGTAATGAAGGTTTCATCGCTCAAGCTGAGAGAGTGATGACTCTATCGAATCGCGACCAGATCGCAGTTCAAGAAGAGATGCAACGTTGGCGGCGGCGACGCTCATTTGGAAAGTTCCACAACGTCGTCAAGCATATCAGGAACTCACCAATTCGTCGACAGAAGTTTGAGCGATTGTTGATGGGTTTTATAAGCCCTCAGGTCGATGTTGGAGTTGCTTCAATTCAATCTGGTGTCGATGGTAAGTTATTATATAGAACTTGCGCAACTTGACGAAATCTATCGAGAGGAGTCTTCAACTGAAACTTGACAACGTAACTCGGTGGAACTCAGCCTTTATTTCTTATACAACGTGGCCTGAGACTAAAAGAGGCTCTCGTTGCTTACTTAGCAACTGAGTCAGAGCTCTCGGAACTCGATAAACTTGACGATGACGACTGGGCGCAGTTGCAAGCCATCTACCATGGACTGAAGCCTTTTTGGGAGATCACTGAACGCCTACAGAGTTATGCCACATCAGGCTCTCATGGAGTCGTTTGGGAGGTCCTCCCAGGCCTTGAGATGCTCCTCAGTCATGTTGAAACTAAGAGAGATGAACTTACTCTACAACAGCAAGTTCCACAACCTCAGCGACGTCGCCGCACTAATGCTCCTCCTCGTCCTACAGACGAACAATCGCTCAGTCCAAGTCCGCTGCTGGTGTGTTATCAAAATACTTGGGAAGTCCTTAATAAATATAATAACTTGACAGACAATAATCACGAGATCTATGCCCTGGCCACCCTCCTTAATCCCTGCCTGAAAAAGCAATATTTTATCGCGTCCTGGACAAATACTGCCGCAGACCAGATTCAGCCTATGCTTGCAAAGAACAAGGGTATCTGGGAGTCTATCTACGGCCAAAATGTGCCTACGCCAGTCTCTGAGATAGCTAGGTCATCATTATCGGTATATATGGCCAACATGAGTGCATCTATAGCCAGTTACATCAAAATGACGACTTCGCGCAGTATATCAACACCATGCTTGTTGCTTCCCTGGCCTTCGTCAGTTAGCGTTTGATGCTCTATCAGTGCCTGCAATGTCAACTGAACTTGAGAGAGTCTTCAGTCAGGCCAAGAGGTTCTATACAGACGATCGCAATTATACAGACGATCGCAATCGTCTGTATACTGACTCTTTTGAAGCTTTACAATGTCTAAAGCAATGGTCGCAGCAAAAAGTCTATGACATCATGGATGCGGAGCGGATGAACGATACCCCAGCCAATGGGAGAGCTCTGTTTGCTTAGTAAGGAGTCGACTCGGGAGTCGACTCCTAGCAATATCGAGAAAAGACTAGGAGTCGGACTGGTGGGAGTCGCATCTGCACAACGCTGGTAAAACATGGTCTATTTACCTTCGATCATAGAGTAGTGGCTATAAATCCTTATAGTCTCGTTATTATACGAAATAGAAAAAGCGAGAATCTCCCGATAAAGCTCTTACTCGCGCTTCACAAGCCGAAATAGTTCTATAACCCCTCGAATAGCGAGCGTTATACTATACGCGTTCTATCGATTAGCCACGTCAAGTGCGGCCGTACCGCACTTCACTTCGCTTAAGAAGAAGGGGAAGTATATGTACCATATTCCTATAAAGAAGGAGTTGTTGGGGAGGTCGCTAATGAATGGCTAAAGTTTCTAAAGCTGGGTCTTGGTGAATGCTTCTCGTCGGAAACCGACGGAATAATCAGGTTATGGGCGAGTTTTCGTTAATGGAATAGAGTTGTTTTAGCCTTCGTTGGTGCTTTCAATTAAGCAATTAAGGGCACCGGCACCATATGTCATAAAGATTTCTGCAGAGGGCACGATCAACTGAGAAATTGTCTCGGATAACCCGGGTTTCATTTCTGTTCCGTATCTTACGGAAGGTCGAGCTAAACAGGTCGTCACGAAACAACGAGTCGTTTGGTACAGGCTACGCTTTCTCTAGTAGGGCTCGTTTAAGAGTCTTGCTTTTCTCGTCGACGCCAAAGTCTAATGCATCCATGAAACTCCCTTTACCGCGAGTAGAGCTTCATAACGTGCGTCCTTATAAGGAGCACTCTTCTCCTCCCTAGTCTTTTGGTCACTCGGTGTTGTTGAACTAGGTGCGTGTCATGAACGGGGTTCTGACAAGCATATAAGCTAAGAGGTCCAAATACTGGCATGAATTGCCAGGATTCTAGTCTTTTTAGGCGATCCCTAAGGGACTGTGGACCTCTTCCTGACAGTGCGCCAGACTCGCTATCCGATCGCTTGCGGCGGAGTGAGGCGGAGGATTTCTTTCTCGCCAATAAATAACTCATTTCTCCACTTTCGTAATAGCTAGGGGGGCTATCCTGAGTCCTCTAAGACGATAGTGCCGTCTACGATAGTATAAATGAGTAAACTAAGCACTTTATAAAGTGCTTAATCAATGCCACTCATGGCGACCGAGGGAATCCCGATTGTTCCACCTTTTCACAGAACACCCTGCAAGGGATATCTCAATATTGACTCCTCCCGGAATCCCCAAATTGATGTCACCTGTTACGAACGCCAACTGGCCCGGGCTGACCAGGTGCTTACGTGACCATGAATCGGGAAGGTAGGGCGGTGCCAGGGTACCAGTAGAAAGCTGGCCACGGAGGGACCAATCAAGGGGGAAATCACGTGATCGACTCAGGCTCGGTATGGCTCAGTGCGCTCAGTCCCTGAGCCATACTAAGCCACACTGAGCCATGAGAAGGGGCAGTACTATATAGTCAGGAAGGATCGGCCCATGCCTTGGGGCGATCCGTAGTCAACTTCGTTACCATACTAACACATACCTTTGGACCCTCAGTATACTTGATACAGTTCCTGCCTAAGCAGACATCCCTGTTGCATTGTTCACCGTTGACGCCCCACTTGTCAGTAAATCTGATAGGTCTGACAGCTTCCGAGTTGTCAAGCCTTAACATCCCCCCCACATTTCACGAGCACTCCAATTAAATCATCCGAGTGACAAAGCAGCCAAGGCTTGGCGCCGTTCCGTCCAATTGAGCGTGCCCTTGCAGACCCATTCCTCAAGAAGCTTGGCATTTACGACTTCCTAGGCGGTTCACTTCGTCTCGGAGTTCTTTGATCAAGGTGATGGCTGCCTCAATGGTCTCGGCAGCAGATCTTGCTTTGAGGTGGGGCGCCGCAGTGAAGTTCGGACTGATCAGGACGGTTTGTAATTCACGGATTGCGAGAGCTAACTGTGATCGACGTGCTCGCTCGTCCAACTTATGTCTCTCTTTCTTCACGAAAACTTGAGACGTAAAAATCGTCAAGATATCATAGATCAACTTGACGAAGTGTGCCATCGCGAATGATTTTGTAATTGGATGAGCTCAGGAGCGTTTTACGACGTCTTTCTTGGCCCACCCGCATTCTTCGTGGCTGCTGTGGATTATGAAAAGGCGATCGCAGCCTCTAGGATGACGACACTCGTAAGATTGCATCAGAGACATTCATTGTACTAAATACATAGATGAGCAGGGTTGTCTCTACGATGGCAAATGCATGTGCCCAAGAAGTAGGAAGGTCTTGCTAGTTCTTACGGTAAGACCGAGTCGATACAGCTAGCTATATAAGCCTAACTTACTTCATATCGTCTACGCAATACACAGGTCGACGGAAGAACTCCCCGTTGCAGATCAAGTCTCGTAGTTCAAAAGCATTACTAAAAGCTCCTCTCCTTCTAGCTGGAACTCTTGGAACAGAAGCAATATATACAGAGCGTTGGCATTCTGGTCGCCAATGCTAGCTGGAACTTTACTAGACACATACAGCAGGTTATGCCGAGTGAGGCGATACCAGGTCTTGATTTCCGCCACGCTCATCTTGGCTTTGTCACTGCGCCGATTGTATTGACTCATAAGCACATAGTTGAGATAAACTTGGACCAGTTGGATCCTAAGAGGTAGCACGGGCACAGATTTCGCTTCGTGATTTGTTTACGCTGGCATCTTGAGGTTGCAATGCTTCTAGAGACACTGAGCTGCGTAGAAGTACCAGAGTATATATACTTTGTAAGATAGCAGTATTATGTCTCGTGTATCCAGACAGATCACATCTTTCTCAGGAAACAGAACTTTATACCTACAGTACGATTCAACATGGCATCCTCAGCAACAGCACCATACGAGTGGCTACTCGCCATAATATCGGTGGCATTCATTTTTAGCTCATTCGGCAATGGGGCTAATGATGTGGCCAATTCATACGCAACTTCTGTCGCAGCGCGGACCCTAACCATGGCACAAGCGGGTCTTCTTGCTGTCGCGACCGAGTTTGTGGGCGCAGTTGCACTGGGAGCTCGTGTGACCAGCACGATCAAAAACGGGATCATCACCATCGACCGCTTCGACAATCGTCCTGGCGCCTTGATGTTGGCGATGACTTGTGCAGAGATAGGCAGCGCCGTGTGGCTTATGGTTGCTAGCGGATTGGGCTTGCCAGTCTCGACGACACATACAGTCGTGGGCAGTCTGATAGGAGTCGGCTACGCCTCCCAGTCGGCAATCAAATGGCAGTGGCAGTCTGGCAGCGCTTCCCAAATAGGAGCGTCCTGGGCGATCGCGCCCTGTATTGCTGGCGCCATTTCCGCATTGCTCTACGGAGTGTTGAGGCTATCAGTCCTTGATCGATCGGATCCATTCAAATGGGCCATGCGCCTCATTCCTCTATATCTTGCTTTCACGGCAAGTGTCCTGGCACTGTTTATCGTCATCGAACTACCAACCGCACCATCACTAGAGGAATTCGGCGCCGGAAAAGCTGTTGGGATTATTCTTGGCACTTTTTTCGGCGTATTGGCCATTGCTTTCATATTTTTCAAGCCTTATTTTCATCGCCGCATTGTCCAAAAGGATGCCAGAATCGAGTTCTGGCATATTCCCCTTGGACCTTTGCTTTGGAAAGAAGATCCACCACTTTATTTCCCAGGAAAGGCGAAGAAGGAGGTACGAAACTATTACGCACTTACTTTGGACACCGAAATGAACGCCCAAACTTTGCATACCCCCGGAAATCCGGAAACCCTGGAAACGAACCAGGAAGCTCCCACACATAATGTTGAGAAGGTCTCCCCAGGTCAGTCCGACGCTGTGCCGGTCGAAAGACGTTCTTCGATGATAGTGCGTGTGGAGCTTGGTCCTCACGAGAGATTTCTTGCCCCGGTGAGGCACCTGCCTTGGACACACTATCGACGATGGATTGGCTATATAAAATTCGGCCTCTTTCAGGGTGTCACACGTGAGTGTGTTGCGTATAAGGCTGACACCATGGTGCACTTTCATGCACATGCAAAGAGGAGTGACCTTCGTGTTGAGCATCTGTGGACCTACTGCCAAGTGGCATCAGCAATAATGATGTCCATCGCCCATGGAAGTAACGATGTTGCCAATGCGGTGGGCCCCTGGGTTGCTACCTACCAGACATACGTCAACGGCGTTGTTTCGACACGCTCATCAACACCTGTCTGGATCTTGGTCGTGGCTGGCTTCTTACTCGGAGCAGGATTTTGGGTCTATGGATTTCACGTGGTAAGGTCCTTGGGCAATCGAATCACCCGAATGTCACCCACACGCGGATACTGCGTTGAGCTGGGGGCAGCCATCACCGTTCTCCTTGCCTCCCGGCTCGGACTGCCAGTGAGCACTACACAATGTTTGACGGGTTCGGTATTGGGCGTATCGCTGATGAATTTTGACATGCGCGCGACTAATTGGAAACATATGGGATTTATCTTCCTTGGATGGCTCCTAACGTTGCCCGTTGCCGGTCTAATCTCTGGCCTGCTCTGCGTTATGGCATTGAACTCCCCCAGCTTGTGAAAGGACGTCGGGGTTGAATGGTGCCTTCCTCTGCCAAAGATCTCAGCTACTCAAACGATCACACTCGCATGAACGTGCGACATTAAATTGATATGGCGAAGGCATTGACGAGCACATAACAGAATGGTGGTGTTACGAACCGACCTTCATACGGCCTGCCGGGCAATGACAGGAGGAAGGTCGGGCGACGAAAGCAGCCTCGATGGCAAGGCTGTCTCGGGTCACGTGACGAACCAATGGGGAAACATCACGATGCGGTGATGCACGGGTGCAAGGCCAAGACCATGCATCAATGCATCAACACAGCGCCCAGACCTACCTAGATAGGAAGCACTCATTAATTATATAGACGGGGCGTGTCCTCCTTATGAGGCACGGCCTGTAGTCAACTTCGTTACCATACTAACCCATTCCTTTGGACCCTCAGTATACTTGATAAGAGTTCCTGCCCAAGCAGACATCCCTGTTGCATTGTTCACCGTTGACGCCCCACTTGTCAGTAAACCTGATAGGTCTGACAGCTTCCGAGTTATCAAGCCTTAACAGGTGGCGCGAGGGAGCTCTACATCCGTACTTGCAAGTTCTATTATAATTGAGCCAACGCACTGGAAAGCCTGATTTAAGCCTGTAAGAAGACCGATCCGTTCAAAGGTGATTGGTGCGGCGGAGCGAATGGCAGCATCGTAGTCGTACCGATTGGTAGCAAGGGCGATGATAGAACCGGTGAATGCCTCCAGACCAAACTTGTAAAACATGATCCCAATAATATAGATGATGACATTTCGTTTTTCCAGGGGACTAAAGGCTCCCCAGTTGTGTTTAATTGTTGCTAGTGGTGATTGCATGTTGGAAGGTGCTGAGTAGTGTAAATGTCTGGATTGTGCTGGATTGTGAAATTCTGGCTTCTAAGCCCTACTCTTTATGTCGAGCAAGTGTACCCATCTTGCCACCTTTTTCTTTATCTTTTATGATCTTCATGTGCATTGGAACTGGAATACCCGTTGAAAGTCGTCCACTATGCACGTGGACAATCCAAGAATGCGGCTTTGAAGCTTCTCAATGATACCTTTCAATGGTACTGTTTGCAAGGTAGAATGGATCCGTTGGATCCTAGCATAAAGTATGATTGGAAACTCTCAATTGGTCGCAACCCTCCAACTAGAATAGCTCGCAGCAATTGTGTCTTGGAACGTGGTAAGAAAAAGCCAAGCCTCTGCCAAGGAGCACACGGCCGAGTGGGAGACTCTTTAGTGTCTCCCCAGTCTTACGGTCAAAAGAGTCCAGAGCCAAATAGTGATTGTCCAGGGGCAAAGCATGGTTGCTGTTGTGAGCGCAGGTATGAATCGTGTACTTGTTTTTGTAGTGGTCGGGGTTGAAATATTGAGTTGCTCCCAGGTCCAGCTTTTCGCAACATACAGTCGCAGGCCAAGTTGTAACTCCACGGATTGGGATGCCAAGATGACGGATAGACTTGGCCCTTTCGTATTGCTGTTCGGCACTCAAGATGTGTCAAATTGATCGAACCAAGCCCCAGAAATGACAAAGCCAGGATCTAGCAAGTTTCGAAGGGCCAGTCTCCATCCCAGCCTGATGAGACCACGAAGGAAGACAGACACTCCATGGAGGCGAAGATGAGCCGCCTTCTGTGCTTCCCGGGGACCACGCCATCGAGCAACGGATCACGGCCCCTCTGTGTTGATGGTCTTTCAGGAGTTATCTGCACGCAGCCGCGACAGCAAGCAGCTGAAAATTTGGAGCTCACGTTGACCATTCCTCAGTGCATACTTCGTTTCGGATCAGGGAACCAGAAATGCCTAGAAGGTCCTGATCGGAGATGACGAGGATATCCCCTTCACTGGTAGAGGGGTATTTCCGTATACCTGTGGACTACTATTACTACTTGTGTTTTGTTGTCACCCTAGCACATTTTCTGCAAATTCAAAATGCGAGGTGCGTGGAAGTCCTTCTTTCAGCAATCAACAAACCACACCATATAGCGGGCGACTCAAATTGGGTGCAGGTAGTGCAGTTCGCGGCCGAGAAAGACTGTTCGTATACGGTGATGTCACATGGTAGCACCCACGGAAGGAGCGCGCCGCATGAAAAGCCCATGAATGAACTCTTAAGAGCGAAAATAGGGTGAAGGCTAGGTAGCTATAGTCGTAACCTCGAAAGCTGGGTATCCATTGCGAATAATGAACTTCATTAATCCTATGCTAAGGATCAGCGATCCAGGGCCCATTAGCGGGATCCCAAGCATTGTACAGAAAAGCCCATAGCTTCAACTACAGGCGGCATTGTTGGATGCTGGTTTCGGGTCGGAGAGATTCTCGGCGTCTTGAGTAATGGCCGAAGATTCTTTGCGGAGTCGATCCACTTCTCGCTGAAGTGTAACAATATATTCGATTGCCTTTTCCACCGTAATCGCTCTAGGTGGCCCTTTCTTCTGCATTTCGACCGAATCCATTTGCGGGACTACGCTTTGGAGGGCTCGAATTGCTTGAGAAAGCCGGTCTCTGCGATTTCGTTCGTTTATCGCATGTGTTCTCTGTTTCGAAAATGTGTCGGAGACAAACGATTCTGGATAGTTGAGGCCATGATCGGAGTGGCTTCCGTCCCTGATGCATCCATAGTTTGACTTGACAGCCAGAGAATGGGAGGCAGATTGTGTTGCGGACTTTCCTTGGGCGATATTAGACATCTCAACTGAAGGTAAGTGGATTAGGCTTATCACGTACGAGGTCCAACCTGCTTCGTCCGACCTTTTCTTTCACTCATTAAAGGCAAATATATGCTTTGGGTGACGCTTGAATCATGCGTTGTCTGCTTGAAATAGGTTGGTGTACTTCTCAAACATTATGGGAACAGTAATGCTAAGTTGAAGAAATAAAACTGACCTCTGGGATACACATGACCATTGAGGCACGGAGGAGGGAAGCAAAATGCATGCCAATAGGTTTAGTAGAGCAACAAAATCGAGGCCCTTTCCAAGGCATCGGGTATCGCGTGGGGTGGTGTGTCACCGTCGCCGTTAGATTCGCTGCCTGAAGGACGAGAAACTGGGTGTCACGTGCAGAGAATTCGTGCGAGGCAAAAAGGAGGTGTGTAGAGGAAATACATGAGCGAATAGGACCTTATCGGTGACTAAGTATCAGCCTTTCCCGGGGAACGAGAATCTCCGTGAAAGGCAAGATCAGAGGGATAGATATAGCAAGGGTACTCACAGAAAAAAGTACCGACCGCTTTGACTCTGTTTAGGTTAGCGCCACCATTAGCCGCAAGTCAATATCATGGGGATCCTTATTGGCGGTTACGCCCGATTGCGGCCAGTCGAATTGGGGGTGGCCAAATGCCCGATGGAGACCAGCGCTTCGTCACTGAACCCTCCTGATTCGTTGTTCTTTAACCCACCGTTTGACTTGGGGCAGGGCATTTTGACAGTCTTTTCGAATACGCTGCCTCTAGGCACGGACCAAGAGGCAAGCAAGTACAGAATCCGTGGGTGTGTCAGTTTACAGAAAACACCTAGCAATCATCTGTGGCCCGGGACAAAAGTCTCTCTGCTGACAGGGGACATATTCCGCTCTTGGGGCCTTTTGGTGCCCTGTCAACGCTCTGCGGTGCATCTTTTCTGCCTCTTCGTACTTCTTCTGATCTTGAAGCACCATGGCAAGATTGCCTACACAAGTCAGCGTGTCAAGATGGTCTGCTCCTAATGCGTTCTCAAATCCCGTCAGCGCTTGCCGGCTTATCTCCTCCGCGTCCGCGTACTTTCTTTGGTCCTGAAGCACCGTTGCCAGATTGCTCATACTCCTCAGGGTGTGAGGATGATCTGCTCCTAAGGCCTTTGTGTACCCTACCAGCGCTCGTCGATTTATCTCCTCTGCCTGCTCGTACTTTCCTTGTATTTGAATCACTGTCGCCAGGTTGCTCACGCATATCAGCGTATCCGGTCGATCCAGTCCCAGTGCTCTCTTCATAACCTGCCAGCGCTCGCCGGATAATCTGCTCCGCCGCCTCGTACTTTCCTTGGTCTTGAAGCAGCTTCCCCAGGTCTTTCATTCTCGTCAATGTGGCTGTTCACGGTGTGAGTCCAGATAGAACAAGGAAGCTGTATCAGAATAACTTACACTCGTCTTGGTGGCTCTCCTTGTCGGTAGTCGGACATATCCCATCATTTTGTAGGCAAGAGGTTCGAATGTTCGATTCCATTCTTGCAAGCACCGAAACGAGTGTTTCGTGGCGCAAATGAGAGTTGTTCACTCCTGTTGTTGAAATTGAAAGGACGAGGGCAGACTAAATGCAGCCTCGTAGATAGAGTCACCAAGATTACCTTTTTTTCCTTGGGTCGCTGTCATTCAACCGCAGTCGCCTTTGTATCTGCTATTACCGCCTATAGATAAGGCACGAGGTACAGTCGAACCGATATCTATCAACCACTCCGCAGGCCAAGCGAGTCCACTGGGCGAAGCCCGTAGCATTGTAGAGCGAGCGTCGTTGCCCACGTGAAAGTGAGAAGACCGGCTCTGTCCCAGCGAATCAGGCGTCTTATACGACAAAGTGTTAGACAACGCTTACCCCTGTGGCCGACTGCGGTGGCATTGACGCTGAATATTTTGAGCGAGGACAAACCTGTCCCACACCCAAATCGAGCTCATCATCAAGGGTGACTTTGAATCGGCATGACCCAACTGTGGAGCAGAGAGGGTGTTGGCGGGTCTCCGGCACAGTACGAAGTGATCAGTGAAGCCGCGTGGACAGAGCGTACCACCCCGTAAAGTAAAGATGATTTCTGCTTTGAGTCTAGCGGTCCCATGGCCTGCGGGGGCACATGATACAACTGAGCGCGAATTAGGTGTGTTCAGTGACAAAGCGATAGACTCAACTAGATCCGGTCCATCGACCCCGTCAGTCGTCTGTGACGCAAAATTCATCGAGACATTGGTGAAGGATCCTGTTGTATTGGTCAGCAAAGGAGCAATCCAGAACGTTTCTGATATACCACTTTCTGATCCGCGTTGATTCACGCCGTAGATAGTAAAATGCTACTGACTTGGCATACGCGGGCCATAAGGCGAGCTATTCTTCTTGGTGCTCGGAAGGAGTCTAGCGCTTTGTCACTAAGCGTCCCTAATTGGCTCTATTCAAGTCCCTTCCCCGATGTCAACCCTATATGCTCGATAATGAATGCGGAAGTCTTGTCAAGCAGTGTTTCCCGCCCCGCAGAAATGGATGCTGACAAGAACCAGTCGCAATACGGAGGCGTAGTGGGAAAACATCGCTCGACGTCTGGGCTGAAGCTCTGTAGACGAGGAGGCCTAGATGGATGCAGTCCATGTCGTGTTTGCTCTTGCACGCGTCTGCTTTCCTATGGACGCGGAATCTCAACAACGAATCGATGGGATATATAAGATAAGCTTAGACGGCCACCGAAGCGACGGACGTCAGCGCAGGCACGAAGGCCGAGACACTCCCAATATATATGGGACGCATGTGATGAGGCACTCAGTCATTTCGAAATGTCTGGCCATGGCTCGCTGGACGGCCGATGGGTCTTCGTGATCACCACACTTGCCATCTTCCTTGCCATTTTCCTTCTTACCTTTGTGATCCAACGACGGCAGCGCACCCTCCTCTCCCTGCGCATCGCGAGGGGCGAAGTTGACCTTGAAGCTCTCGGAATCACACGCCTCAACGTTCCTCAAGATGCCCTCGACAAATTGCCGAAATATACTTACATCTCGAAAGCAGAAGGTGTCTCATCCACGCCCGGCAAAGCAGCCACACGTCAAGAACCATTTTTCCAGCCAGCCTGTCCCATCTGCCTCAACGATTTCATCCATAGCGAAACTACCATCCGCGAACTCCCTTGCAACCACATCTTCCACCCCGAATGCATCGACCTCTTTCTCCGCAACAACTCCTCCTTATGCCCCATTTGCAAGAAATCATCCTTACCACCAGGCTACTGTCCCGTCAATGTGACGAATCTGATGGTTCACCGAGAACGACTCACACGACAGATGCGCCAGCAAAACCACGAAGAAACGACAAGTCGGATAGCTGCGGTGGGAACAACTCATGGACCCGTTAGGACACTATCGGCTCTGAGTGCACCTACTGCCATGATTCACAATAGTCGCGTTCACGGTCATGGTGCTTATAACGGAGATATGGAGATGACTGCAGTGATTGGCACGGGTAATCAGAGGACCATGCACCCCAGCCGTTGCACATTGTCATTTATTGGAACATAGGGTAGTCCTCTAAGCAAATAGGCATTGTCTATCTAAGTATCTATATTCTGTTCTACGTCCCTATGCTTCGGGTTAACCATCTAGGATACCTCTGTCTGAAGCAGATGCGAACAAGACACCGAGACAACCGGTTGCATATAACGGGGTCAGCAATGAGAGATTTTATTCATATACACGTTGTCTCCTCCTTCGACTAGCGTGAGCAGACGTAAGCGGTCAAAAACCCCGTCCATATCAGATATCGGAAAGCATTTGCCAATAAACATCACCGCTGCGAGCGTGTCGATAGTTTGAACCGTGGCATTTGGACGAATGATAGGCTGTCACGAAACGGTCATGCGCTTATTCCCTTCCGCCAGCGTAGTCATGACACGTGCGCAAAGTAATGTTATGAACGCTTCTTTATAGAGTCTTCTCGTGATAAGCAGCTCGATTGAGCTCTAGGCCTTGTTAACCACTCCAACTTCGATTTCGAGGATATCCCGGCAGCAGAAATTGGCAGCGTCATTGAGCAAGGCGTTGACTAGCATAAGAATGATCGGAAATTGGATGATGTGTTACGAACTGGCTTGAAGGGTGACTAGCCCTTCCGTTAGAATAATCGTCTTTTGGTCTCGGTTAGTGAAGCTTTCCTAGCTTGCCCTCGGATACGGTTAAGCCTTTGTCATGCCTGAATTGTGATTAGTCAAAACCTGCACAGACGGCTTAGACAGGCCCACCCCCTTTCGAAAATTTTACTTTTTCGTTCCCGTAACTTATGCGAAGATTAGATATAGGTTGTTTACCAGTATATAAAGCGACCCCTCACAATGCATTATTTTAGTTCACGGTTGTCCTAGCAGATGATTCTTGCACGTTGTTCTAATGCTTGCGCGAATCAGCAGTAGCCGTGTATCCAGCACGACGTCACGATCTCTTATAGCTCAGCGTTTTCAACTACCACATATAACGGTCAACATTGATAAATATCGACGCTTCAACGCATCTTCAGCACAAACTCGCAAGGTGGCAGCTAAAAAAGAATGGCATGACGCCTACCCTAATCCTCGCAACCAATCACCCGATGCTATCACTCGGGAAGATTTGCTCGAGCGCTTACAGAAAGACCAAAAGCCCGGCGTCGACTTTCTTCTGGTAGATCTCCGAAAAACAGACTATCAGGTAAGAGCACATCCAGTTCCGAGTACGCCGAGTCTGCTCTGACGGATCAAAGGGAGGGACAGTCAAGGGATCACTAAATATGCCTGCCCAGAGTCTCTACTATTCGCTCCCAACTCTGCTGAACATCTGCCAGCATGCCGGCATTGAATCGGTGATTTTCTACTGTGGTGAGCAGTATCTTGCTAACCTTTAGATGAGCTGGTGACTAATTCGTATTATCCAGGCTCATCCCAGCATCGTGGCAGTCGAGCTGCTGGGTGGTTCGATGATTTAATCAAGGACCGCCAGGTGGTTGGTGTTCGGAGCTTTATATTGCGTGATGGTGTCGGCGGCTGGGCTCGCGCAGGGGAGGAATACACCCGAATGATGGACGAGTACGATGCTCAAATCTGGACTAGCAAACAGATTTGATTTGGCATCTTGTTTTGATCTTGTATGCCGGTGTTTGCTGCATTTAATGGTGAATGAGTGGCTTGTGTAGAACGAGCAAAAGAAACCAATGTGTAAACTTTTTCTTGTGAGCCTCTGCTGTTTAGTGATGAACCTCGAAACATGACGAGTTGAGACGCACGAAGGCATACATTCCAAGCCTTCACGGTTGTCGATACGCAGCCAACCGCACTTTTCGCATGACGGAACGCTGTCAAGCATCCATGATCTGAACAACTTGAGTCATCGATATCAATATTCATTTCGGGGCACCAGCAGTCATGACCATCACCACTAAGAAAACCTTAGTAACTTGAAATTGCCCCAACCTCCATCACATTGAACTCGCTCGATCCAGAACAGTAGCTGTGGGCGTTTGCTGCCGTTTCTCGACCTTCTCATTCATCCTTTGCGATAGTGGCTCTCTCACCTATGCTCTTATAATCGCCATGGTATGTTTCCACCGGTTCCTCCGGGTTTTACGATTTGTCTCTGGAGCAAGCAAGGTAGTGAAGACTCCACAGATCATGAAGAGAGCAAAATTTTCCATACCGATCTTGTTCCTCAGTGGCCCAATTATGGCCTGAGAAATGAGCACCGATCTTTCCCGCAGTGGCCAAGATTGAGGCATGATCAGTCCGAGATCATGGAGAGAGCGCAGCCCTCTACCGGTAAGAGGTCTGAGTTTTGCTTTCGTCAGATGCTTCTGGCTCTAATTCATCCAGCACAGAACCGTTCCTTTTCCGAGATGATACTGAAGAGGTGTCAACAATTTCCAGGGCATCTCTGCCAGCATAATTTAATGGAGACTGTCGAGACTTGCCCAACTCTCCTGCAGCATCAGTCTTATAGTCGCTCTTGTTGGCGAGAGAATCACGTGGGTTTCGTTCTCCAGCATAAGCGGAGCCTTTACCGTAATGATCGCGGCGTGCGCCATGACATGCTTTGGACCTTGCCTTTAATTCCTTGGTTGGGTCCCCTCTGCACATCCCTAAGTGGTTGCCTCTTTCTTGGTCAGCGTGTGGTAACTGCAGGGTGGAGACAAGCATACTAATCTGTGGCTTCATTGTTCGATCTTGGAGTGTGACCATACTTGAAGCTTCCACCATCCAACATACTGTCGCAGTCGGGTGCAGCGTCTGTTGGCCCGACCTTAGTAAAGTATAGTAGAAGCGTGGACGTCGTACCACCCTTATCGTGGTATTTGCCTTGCCATGTCCGATCGGAACTGTCAAAGTGACCGGGAGTTGTGGTCTCCCGCACTTCTCGACGCTTGACGCAGCAGTCATGTCGCAGCCCGGAGGCAAGAACAACGTAGATAGTAAGCATACCTAAGAAATTTCCACGATCGCCAATATTGACATCAGCAGCGACGAGTACTGGATTCTGGTCACAAGCTCGCTGTTCGCTGGTAGCACATTTCTGAGACGGGACTATATCAACAAACGGAGCCTGTGCAGATCTCTGTGGACGTGGGCGTTGGTGGGAAGGGTCTTCGAAGATGACATTGTTCATACTAAGGAGAGAAACGAATATTGTCAAAAGCAAATTCGCTATGAAGTAGAACAAGAAACAAGAAGTCCTGTTAGGACTTACATGGCATGACGCAACAATCCCACAGCTTCCAGGGAAGGCCAGCACATTGAAAATGCCAATTGCAGTCATCTGACCCTTTCTGACTGACCCTGATGGCCGCATCCATAGGGCAATCTCACCGCTGTTTTCAAGAACCAGATCAACTGGATTCTCCTCAGTACTGGGTCGGTGCGACCAACGCAGAGCCGTACGTTGGGACTCGCAATGGTATCTGGCGGTTCGCAATCCTTCAACACCACCACCAGCTTGCGTATCCTTTGGCAGGTGGATGCGTATGTTCACAATTGCAAACCAGTCGTCAGCGCCGCAGGCTTCTACACTGTTCATGGCGGAGGATGAAGACGAAGGCAGATCGAGGTTGATGCCGGGAGGTAATCAGGATCGCCTGTTGGAGTGCGCAGAGGAATTCGTGAAATACACTATCGTGATGAGACCGCACTTCGCTTTGTTCAATGATCGATTCAGCGAACGAAAGTCATTGGTATATGCATGACAAGACCCAGAAAATTTCTGCGCCATCGGGCAAAGATAGGTAGAGCTCGTGTACTTAAGCACGAGGCTCTCTGGAAGAGACTAGATCCGATATGGTGATGAGAAATAGCAGCGGCGCTTCATAGATCCTGCAGGAACCAGAGCGTTTTGAGATGGAAGTGACCGGGATTGCTCAAAATTCATGATAGAATATTTCTATTAGCAAGCATCCGTACTATTGTACAGCAAAGTGTTGTAACATGCAGCACCGCAAGAGAAACACCTCACAATGTGTCTTTCCGATTCATTTTTTCGAACTCCGTTCTATTCGAAGCCTGTAGCGTATGTGCCTATGCACTAGTCGTGCCAGTTCCACCGAACAGCAATCCATTTCACCAAGTAGACAAGGGATATCAGGACCGGCACTTCGATCAATGGCCCCACTGTGGTCGCCAATGCCTCGTCACTGTTAGCACCAAATGTAGCGACGGCCACAGCAATGGCCAGCTCGAAATTGTTGCTGGCTGCGGTAAAACTTTGCGTTGCTGCAAGCTTGTATCCGAAACCCAGGCGTTTTGTGATTAACAAGGTCAGGAAGAAGATGATCACAAAGTAGACGATAAGTGGCGCAGCCACGCGGACGACCGAGACGATTTGATGGACGACTTGCTTGCCCTGGGAGGCGAAAAGGACCAGAACGGTGTAAAGAAGTCCAATCAGTGACCATGGAGCTATCCATTTGAGAAATGTTCGCTCGTACCAAGTGGCATTGACCGCTCGGAGGATGAAACGGGTGGCGATAGCTGCTCCAAGTGGTAATCCGAGGAAGACTCCAACGCTCTTGGCGACCGTGGAATATGAGACTTGAGAGCTTTCACTGTGACTGATGACGTTGACGAAGAGAATTGCTAGTGGTGCGTAGAGAACCATTTGCAGTATGGAGTTAAAAGCGACGAGAATGGCGCAATATTCTTCATCGCCACCTGCGAGACCCGTCCAGATGAGGACCTTGAGAGTTGATCGTCAGCATGAAATCAGATAGGAGGAATGGGATGTTGCAAACTAACCATGGCAATGCAGCGGGCCAAGCCCACGAATATCAGACCATTACGAAGATCAGGCTTGTCCGGCAGAAAGGCCCAAGCCAGACCGAGCTTTCTTGTCAGCATTCGCTGAATGGTATTTGAGAGGATGGAGCATACCATAACGAGTGGTGCAATGATCCAGTTGACAATGACGCTGAATACTAGCTGTACCCATATCTGACGATGCGCAAAGACGCGGTGTAAAGTCTCATATTTCACCTTGCACAAGATGGGATACATCATCACCAATAGACCGACAGCTGTACCAAACGCACATTGCCAGTCAGCAATCGAACTTTAAGACAACATCGTAAAGGAAATAACCATACCTATCGGTACCGAGACATTGACGAATTTGCCTTTCTGCAACGCAGGTCCGACGCTATCGACGAAATTGCCGAGTAAGATGCCAATAACGATGGCTAAAAAGATCCAGAGGACGAGAAGACGGTCTAACCAACCCAGGCCGGCGTAGACTGATTTTTTGTGTGCCATCAGTTGTTGGTCGTGCTGCTTTTCGACATCAGTGCTGGTAGGTGGGCCTTGCATGTGTTGAATCGCCTTGTCGTCGAGACTGGTATCTGAGGTTTCTTGGGGGCCGGCCATTTTTATATAACCAAAAAGGACAATTCGTGGAAATGTAAAACTTGTAATCTGTGCAAATATGAGGTGGAACGTCAAGAGACTTGTAGACGTGATAGATGTGAGAGTAGAAGGGCACTTCTTGAAATGCTTTATGTATCATGCGTATACTGGGAAAAAATGAAGAAGGAAGCTTTTAGAAAGCAACACTAGAAGAGCTGTCAACGTACTGGGCAGTGAGCCGACGAATGAAATTTCGTCGAGGACTAAGTGCTTTCACCAATGAGAAGCCCCCAATGAGTCAGTGCTCTCACGGAAGTCGCTGGTTGCTCAGTCATTCTCTGCCAATGAAATCACATTGATGACAATACGAAGGTACAGCTTGACTATCGACAGCGTTTCCTGTGTTTTTCCATGCCGCACATTTACTAATCTCTTTCAAGAGACTAGGCAGTTCTGAGTGTTATTCTCTTTCCATCTACCAGAACTTGTGATTGAAAGCATTCGCAGCCACTTCCTTTCATTCCTTCAGCTGAAAGTATCGCGAAGAGTGGGGAAACTGAGGAATGTTGGACTTTGTAGCTCAAGGTTGTACTTAGCTCTCAGAACGAACAACTGATGTTAAAACGCATTTGGCAATCATCTGTGGTTCCATACAATGTTCGATCCGCTGTAAGTCGACGTGGTCCGCTCTCAGGGCCTTCTCGTCCCCTCTCAACGTTCTTTGATATAGCTGGTCTGCCTGTTCGTACTTCCCTTGGTCTTGAAGCATCGTCACTAGATTGCTCGTGCATGTCAGCGCGTCAGGATGATCTGCTCCCAATGTTTTCTCGAATGCTGCCAGCGCTTGCCGGCTCATCTCCTCCGCCTGAGCGTGCTTTGCTTCATCTTGGAGAACCGTTGCCAGATTGCTCATGCTCCTCAGGGTGTGAGGATGATCTGCTCCCAAGGCCTTGGTATACCCTGCTAGCGCTCGCCGATTTACCTCCTCTGCCTGCACATACCTTCCTTGAAGTTGAATCACCGTCGCCAGGTTGCTCACGCACATCAGCGTTTCCGGTTGATAATACCCCAGTGCTTCCTCATGATTTTTCAGCGCTTGCCAGCTAATCTGCTCCGCGTCTTCGTACTTTCCTTGGTGTTGAAGCACCTGCCCTAGATCTCTCATCGTCTTCAAAGTGACTTGTCGCAGCGTGAGTCCAGATAGAACGAGAAAAGTTGTATCAGAATGACTTACGCTCATGTCTCTCGCCATTAGTTGTCGGGTAGATCCCATCACACCGTCCACAACAGCTTCGATTATGTAATTTCATTGTTGCGAGCGCCGGAAGGAGTATTTCAGAGGGAATGTTTCAGAGGGAGTATTTCAGATGGAATATTCAGGACGTTAATGGAAGTTTATCCCTACCGGTCCGGAAATTTGAGGGACCTGGTCGGGCAACACGTAGCGCCCGTAAATATAGTCCCCAAAACTAGACTTTCCTTGGAATCTGTCGAATTCCACTATATTTGCCTTCGGTTTCTGGGGCTATTGCCAATGGATAAGGCACGAGACACAGTCATGTAGAGGGCTCATGCCAACTCGATCGATTGACTGAGTCCGCTAGGCGAGATAGCGGGATTCAGCTCATCTTGAACAAGGCGACTAGTAGTGCGGCTAGACGGCAACGTATCCGCGGCATCGCAACATCTTAGCCCTACATTCATCCCGACAGTCCCCAATCACTAATTGACTACCAGAAAGAGAACAATCAAGTGTCACAGTCTAGAGGCCAGCTTTGGTATGTCGCAGCCTATTAGCGTTTAGAAAGCGGCGTCTTTGTCACCAGTGGCACTTGATTGGCCGAACACAGCGCTGGGTCCCGCAAAGCAAGGGCCATTATCAGCCCCAGAGATGTGCTACAGAGGGCTAGCGGTTCATTTCACCCACAGGGCCGCTTCGTGCTGTAGCTTCGTTTAGTCCTACCTTGTTCCGGCTCTCCACCGCAAGCACCAGAATGAAGGTGCCTCGTCTCGCCGGCTCACTTCAGCGGCGGGATGAATCTTGTTGTGAAAGGCTCAGTGCCGTCGTGGACCTGCACCATCCTCCATCCACTCCATGTTGTGTATATCCCAGTGCGGCACGAGCAGCTGTCACCTTCAGCAGGCTCGGACGTCAGCATGTACGTGTCACATGGCCAACACGAGTCTTAAGGAAGATTCCAGCCCCGCTCGTAGTCAAAGATGCCATACCTGATTTCGTTGTCGCGTCAGGCGGTCGAAATAGGCAGAAGGCGCAGGCTAGCCGACCACTAAAATACTAGCAATGACTAAGTGGCTAGATGTCTACAAGTGTCCTCAGTCGCCTCGTCGGAACTCAGACGGCGACCAGTGTCGAACTTCTTCTTCTTGTTAGCAAGCATCTGAGTCAACAGGATCCGGTGCACTCTTGCCAGCCAACAACGCCTCTGGTCTAGTCCCACGCCTTTCTTGCAATCTGGCAACCCTTTGATTCTCCATCAAGATTGCTTCGGTTCATCAAGCCGGTATCCCAAGATATACTTCTTGACTTACAGTGAGCTACAATTATCTCGAACTGGGGAAACCCTGACCTTACCAGATCTGCTCCTACCACGCCCAAGTATATGGAAGTGAGATAAAGCAGCGGCTGAAATCCTAAATCACCACGGATGGAGACACCTCTCCAACATCAACCAACTGGGCAAGTGGGCTGTTATCCTCCAGGACAAGTTGGTCCTGCGAGTGAGCACCGAGTCGGTGATCCGATTGAGGATAGATGTTGTCCATCAGATGAAGTTGCGAAAGACAGCGACAGAACCTCACGATATTTGCCGCCTGGCCCATTTCACTCGCATGGATCTCCAGCTTTCCAACCCATGTATTGTTTGACCTATTCCGCTTGCCATGCAGATGACATGGTGTCATTGATTGCCTTCATGTTGATGGCACGGATGCAATATAACAGCACTCTGAGGTTGACTTCATGTACCGCAACCAGGTTCCATTCACGAACAACTCCGAGCATTTCTGTGATCGACTATCTGCAGCGCCTAGCAGTTCATGCCAGACTGAGCAACTCAGTCCTGTTGGGTATGGTTTGTTACATCGACAGAATATGCACTTTATGCCCCGAATTTGCTATCACTGGCTTAACGGCCCACCGGCTGCTTGTGACTACTGCAGTCATTGCTAGTAAGGTGCTCAGTGACTACTTGCCGTCCCACAAGACTTATGCAAGGATTGGAGGAGTCACGACGAAGGAGCTTGCCATACTAGAACAGTACTATCTGAAGAAGGTGGATTGGCGGGTCTCTCTTAACGCCGCACATCTTTGTCACTGCTACATGTTGCTTGTGGAAGGAAAGTACACATTGGGAAACGAGGTGAATTGAACCTCGAGGGCGAGGTTTTTCACATTCACACCAGGGGTTTTGATGCTGACGAGAAGGCTGTACTGTCTCGCCGCCAGCGCGCCGCAGAAGGTTGGAGGGATGTCATTAGGCACATTGTTGTTGAAAGAAATCTCATGCTCCCACTTGACAGGGGCCCCGTGATCGTCTCGTAATACGTCGATTTGGCGTCCAATTGGTGACCGGACAGTGGCTGCTCTACCTGCTGAAGGTGTACTATCGTTCTTCATCCGTTGCCACGAATGCAAGGTCCCATTGACTCTTTAAAACCCGATCGTTGAGTCAGACTCGGGCCGTCCGCCATAAGTACACTTTGTGAAGCAGCTTCGGGAATGAATGAATAGAATAGTATGCCTTTGCTGGAGTCCCGGAATGATCTCGAAGCGGATCGTACGCAAAAGCATGGCGACAGCTCGACTTTCAACATTTCTCATCCATGTTGTCACACCAACCCGAACAATGATTTCCGCATTTGATAATTAGCCACCCTCAGCTATAAGTATAGAAGTAGACTAGTTACCCGCTAAGAGTCATAGTATACGTTTGAAAGATCAGATCGAAGGGTATAATAGTCTAGATTTGTTTAATCACAAAATCATCCAATTCTCTGGTGTTATATGGAGGGGAGATCTTACCGCCAGCGTTAAATCGGATCTCCCATTGAAGACGTAAGGTAATCGGCCCGTTGACGGTAGGCGTTTCGACGAGAAATGCTACAACTCAATTAGCAGTTGAGCATAGGTGATAGTGTTCTGGTCGTCCGTCAGGCTAGCGCCGTGACAGAAGGTTAGAGGCACGGACAGGCAATGTCTGGCATTGCTTTCACTTTGAGGTATTGCCCACGTGGAGATGACGAATCGGGCATGATTGGAATAGAAGTAGAGCCCCAGGGTCTTCGTGTCTAGACGCTGAAAACTCATTTAGCTCGAGTGATTGGGTTAGAAATTGCACGAAAGCCGTCAGCCACTGCGGCCTCTTCTCTCACTCCACTCACTTTAAACCTCGTTCTGAAGGTTGCATTTCTTCTCTGGTCATGTACGTCAATGCCCGATCATGGTTACGATACTTCCCTAGTGGGATTCCCTCGATTCAGTGACGGTCTCCTGAGGAGGCTGTGGAATACGTACCTTCAGAGCCGGTTTGGCACTGCAGGGTAATGAGGGGCAGCCTGCTTATAATCTTCACCCTCCACTGAGCTCCTGTAGAGGCCTCCAGGAATGGAAGGTTGTAGATAACTCAGAGAGGCCAACGACCGATACATTTGGTTTTTCCGCCACGATAGTCACCCTGGGTCCTGTAACGCCGATCAGTGGGACTGTGAAAAGCGTCTGTGGTGTCATCTGGCACAAGAAAAGCGAACTAGTTTCGTGCGCATATAGTTGCAGTTGAGGCTGGATACTGATGGCTGCCAAGTCGGCAGTATTCTTGGTACGTAAGGCGGAATGCTAACTGCTTGAGGGCAATAGGTGAGAGGTCTTGCGCGAGTGGGTAAGGAACTATCACATTTGCTGTAAGACGGGGCCAGGAAGGCTAGGCTAGAAACGAGGTGGCAGCAGTGGCAGATATCCTTCCCCAAAAACCGGCAATATCAAGTGAATGCGTGTGGCTTTTGCGTCCGACTGTCACAGTCCGTTTCGTCTGCGCCCGACGATGTCGGCGGAGAGTTTTTCTGGTTCCCAAAAATCTTCCATCAGGACGAGTCTGACCTGCTCTCCAATAAATCTACGTTTATGGTCAAGACCCATAGCCAGCGTGTGCCTATTACGTGGTAAAATGACCACAGTATATGGCTGCTGGCGGTTGACATCCGTTGCGGGTCAAGGTTGGGCTGGAAGCGGCTCCCTATTGGCTTTCTCTGTCAACGCTTAAGCCAAGATCCGGGAATGCGACAGCGCTGAAAGTACTACTGAAGACTATACTATGCTTGACGAAAGTTCTGCTTGATCGCTTTCCACACTGGGATGCTCGGGCATGCGGAGCACGAACGCTGGAAAAACACAGCTATACGATGCGCAACCAAGGTCGTGCTCCGTTTACCGAGGGGAACCCAGTGGCGCCGCTAATTCCGGGAGCTGAATGTTTGTGCCCGTCTACAACACAAAATTCTGCTACGGGAAGTGCAAGCTCGAGGACAGTGGTGCCTCGTATCATTACTACAACAGAAGGTGACCAAACGCACCGCTATGGCTGTGTAAACTGAGTCGCTAACCCGCAGCATGTGACCTGATCCAAACCGTATGACCAAACAAAATTACTCGTGGGACTTAGCTAAAAGTCACTGACTCCTTGTACGGCCTAGAGAGCTGGAGATCGAGATCGTTCCTTATCCATGAGTTCAAATATCGAGAGATTCATAACTCTGCAGGAACGCCTTTCGCCACAGCCTAGCTCGTGCCAAACATCTTCGGGAGCATCTTGACCTCGTAAATTTGCCAGAATGTTCGCAGCTTCTTCGCACGACGTCTCACCGACACATGGGCCAGCACCTTCATCCAATACAGCACAGCAACTCGGGATCAGGTGACTAGCGGATGAAGGAACACAGAGTTGGGCTCCAGGTCTGCTACCATGGGCCGTATCATCCTTGGGTGATACGTTTCCAGGCGCACTCGCAGATCTTCGGTGGAGTAGAAGAGGGTATGGCTCGACATGCTCCAACTCTATCGTGCTGACAACAGACTCAGATGGCAATTCGATAGATTGTGGGAGCATTCGAGGTTCGGGCGCATTCTCTTCGCTTGCATGCGCGGACCTTGCAGCAACAGGATCGCATTCACTTGTCGTCGCAACGACATCTGTGGTTTCAGCATCGGGTTCGAGGCTCGGTAATAGAGCATTAGCACCTAGCCATATATACTCGACGTGCGTCTGTCGTGAAAACCTCGGTGTGCACGCATCTGGATGACAGGCAGTTTCTTGGAGGTATTTGTCGATGTGGTATCTGCTGACCCCAAACTGAGTTTCCAGCAGCCATTTCAGAAGGCAATTCTCACAGTGGACGTGCTGGGCCGCAATTTGAATCTCCTTTGTTGCGGAAATTCCGTCGGTTTCGAGCTTCCTGACACGTTGCTCGAGTTCTTTAATGTAGGATCGACGTCGCGCGCGGAAGTTGCGCTGGTTAACACGATTTCAATCGGTTAATCGTCGCTGCGGCATATCCTAGTTGCATTTTAGCAGGGCTTTTCAAGGGCAAATGCAGGAGATTGAAGTCTGCATACAGCATTAGCCATTTCATCCGTCTCCGGAGCTGATGGTTGAGCAAATATAGCCGCGTACTTCTTCCCCAGGTGCTTTTCTGAACTGGCGGCTACACAGTAAGAGGAACGAGAAGTGCAGTCAGCGCCTTGTGGCGCGCTTACGTCAAGTGCGGGCCCCTGCAATGACATTTGTTGGTAGCAGTGTCCAATCATCGATGGGGAGTGACTAAGTACATATCCAGGGCAAACATCCTCCCGACTGATGGTCTCGGGCCGTATAGATACAGAAACCCGCTCGTGAGCCGACCGCCGATTTGGTTTTCTCTTTCCATCCCTCGTGTTATAAGATTGGGAAGTGATAACACGTTCGCGCGTGTTTCGTACGACGCATTTTTTAAGACTATTAGCCTTGATACCAGTTCTAGCCCCAAGTGTCAAAGTTCCTTGTTGGGCGTTAGTTTGGCGAGCCCTTTCAGGCTCCGACGTTATACAATGCCCGCTGCTACAGTAGCTCATCATGTTCTGACCTGTACCTCAGCGCAGGAGGCTCCAATAACTCAGAATCCCGAAAAGTTGTCGAACGGGGATCTTAACAATACGGCGTCTATGGTGCGGTGATAAGACCACAGCGACATGCTCAATCTGCGTAACGAGCACTTTCTATACCGCCATCAGTTGACGACCCAGCCCTTCGATCCAGATATCGACCATTCCTTCTCCCCAACAACATCACCGAGCACGACTGGGTTAGCAGATTGGAACTTGCAACTGTGACTGAAATGTATACAATGATCTGAAGCTGACGGGCGAGAGGATTGAAGTCCTGGTGCTGTATGGCAGTCTTCGCTCGAGGTGAGTTGGAATCTGGACTCCCACCAGGAACGACAAGCTAACTCTCCTGAGGTCTTACTCTAGACTCCTGGCGTTTGAAATATCCTCCTTTAGCGACTCGGCTGCGATGTGCGACTCTACGACTCAAAAGATCTGCCCATGAAGAATGATGAGCAGCATAGTCATCCAAAGGTGCAGGAGCTCCGGGAACTCAGCTGATGGAGTGAAGGGCACTTTTGGGTGTCACCTGAACAACACGGTAATTTGACCACTGGCTTCAAGAATCAAATCGACTGGATCCCTCTGAGTACGGGCTCAGTGCGGCTAACCTAGGGACGTACTCTCGGATTGGCAATAGTCTCTGGCGGTTCACAGTCGTTCAATACGGCCAATAATCTACGAACCCTTGGACGATGGATGCGAATATTCACGATCCCTAACCAGAAAGGCCTACACCTTATTTACTGACCAGGATGCGGATGAAGGCGGCTCAAGGCTGATGCCGGGGGGCAACAGAGACAGGTTAGTGAACTGCGCTGAGGAGTTCGTCAAATATACGATGATCATGCGACCTCACTTCGCCTTTTTCAGAGGTCTGAAAGTCACCTATAGACTAGTCTACCACAGAATATAGAATACAGTGAGTAGGTAATGCTTTGCGGCAGGCTCCGAACCGATTTTGACGGGGTGACAACTCGAGTGTTGGAAGGCATATCAAGGGTCTTCCAAATAGCTGCTGTCTTTCTGCAGCGAGAAATGCAGCAATAAGGATCGACTTCACAGTCTGTTATCATCCCTGCCAATGTTGGATAGCATATCGTAGTTTGATAAGATTCTAACTCCCACCTTTGGCACGCCAATAGGGCAAACGCGCGAATTGTAGGAGTTCGGCGAAGTACTGGGGTAATTCCCCTCCGCCATAAAGCGCAGACAGCCACCGGCAGGACTTCCATGAAATGACAAGCCACGCCCCTCAAAATCCAATGGAAGTGAGGGAATGACGCCTGTTGTTGGGCCACGAAAACGCATTACCATTGCCGTTTTCGGGCCATGTCTGACCCCATTTCAGTAGGTCTCCTACGTCACGTGGGACGAAGCGTACAAGGTGTGCGTAGGTTGAAACTAACGTCAATGAATCTAGAAGACGAAAAACGAAAAGAAGAAGCTTTCAAGCGTTCTGTTTAACACGTGGAGATAGGTCTAAACTAACTACATAGTCTATCAGCCCGCGAGTCGGGGGATCTCAGCTATCTCGCGTTTTAGTCTGGGCATGCAGTCCGTGGTTCCAAGAATAGAATTCCTCAAATTGTACCATCATGCTCCGTCCTAGTCTTTCCAGTCCCAACGCACGGGCAATCCATCTGACAAGATAAACCGTGGAAATCAAAACCGGCACGTCTAATCAGTGGGCCTACAGTCGTTGCCAGGACCTCATCGCTGTTAGCGCCGAACGTCGCCATGCCGACCGGAATAGCCAACTCAAAATTATTGCTGGCTGCGGTGAGTGGTTGCTAGCTTGTATCCGAAACCTAGACGCTTTGTAATCATAAAAGCCAGGAAAAAGATGATCACGAAATATACGATCGGAGGAGCCGCAACCCGCACAACCGAGACAATCTCCATGGACGACTCGCTTCCCTTAAGATGCAAACGGGACCAGGATGGTGTAGAGGAGGCCGAGGAGTGACCACGGAGCGATCAACTTGAGGAATCGTACTAGTTGGCGTTGATGGCCTCGGAGGATGAAGCGCGTGGCAATGGCGGCCCCCAGAGGTATACTAAGGAAAACTCCGACTCTACGGCTCATGACATTGACAAACAGGGTCGCTCAGGGTGCATACAAGGACCATCTGCAGATGGTGTCAACAGCCACAAGAATGGCACAATACTCCTCGTCCCCCTTGCAAAGTCTGTCCAGAACAAGACCTGTGCCAAAGCATGTTAGCTAAAGCATATAAGCACACGAGTTCTCGCCGACTTACCATGGCAATACAGCGCGCCAGTCCGATGAATATGAAGCCATTTCGAAGGCCGGGTCCATCGGGCAGGAAAGCCTAGGCCAAACCCAGCTTTGCAAGTAGTGAGGAACTGACGAAAATGCTTTCGAGTCGACATACCAAGAGAAGAGGTGCAAAAATCCAATTAGCCACGATGCGAAAGGCAAACCGTATCCAAAACTGGCGGTGAGCGAAGATGCGATGCAACGTCTCGTACTTGACTTTGCAGAGAATAGGATACATCATCACCAACAGACCCACGGCTATAGTATAAGTCCTAGAGTCATCGTGGCCTTGAGAAGAGTGAGTAAAGTCAGGTGGGCTTACCGATGGTCTGCGCCATTGGGACGTAGCGACGCGTTGTGCTGTGAAGAGTTGTGGTCCGGCCCAAAGTTGAGTACCTGGTGTGAAGGGCTCATGCTCATGTTGACCTGGAGAAAAAGGTTTGGTTGCTGTCTGCTTTGTCCCGACTTGAAGACTGGGAGGGCAGTCACTGATCCTGACTTTGATTGATCTCGGGGCGCAACTCCGTCTAAGTAACGTGAAGTTCCGGTTAGTGCATGCTCCTGAGCCAAGTAAAGCATGAGGTTGACTAAGGCATGCTGATAGGGGTTGTGGGTGGCGGTAAACTGGTGAATTTAATCGTTGCCAAACACTAAAAGCACATGACTAATTCTGAAAGGCGTCATTACGCCCTTGCCGTCTCCATGAGATTGCACAATTATCTCCAGGATCCCATCTTCAATTTTTATTTCATCAGGCGTCCGCCATTGTTACGACTTGCCTCAGACAACGTTATAGCTGGAGAAGCTATCCCTTGGTACAATGCATATCCGAACCCTCGCAACGACAAGCCGGTCGTTGTGACACGAAATGAAGTGCTCGCCTGGCTGAAAAACGGTCAAAAGCCTGGGGTCGACTTTTTGCTGATTGACTTGCGTCGCACTGATCACGAAGTAAGACTTTCCCGCTATTCTCCTGCGCATGCTAAAGGCTCATCAAGGGAGGGATGATCCGAGGCTCTATAAATCTGCCGGCACAGAGTCTTTACTATACTATGCCAACCTTGTTAAGTCTATGCCAAAGAGCTGGCGTCAGAAGCGTTATATGGTACTGTCGTGAGTGTTCGACAGCTTCGTGTTATGAGCTTGGCTGACATACCTGTGCGCTTAGGTTCGAGAGGTCGTGGCACGCGCGCGGCTGGATGGTTTCAGGACCTAACGCACCTCTTCAGCCATTTTTCGTCTCCGTTTGCACAGCACCACAACCACCAACAGACAGAAGCTTGCGCATACGTAACACAGGCCGCAAAAATCCGAGCAAATAGGTATGGACTAACTTTGCCAGATCGCCGCAGATACAGCGCAATGACTTCGGAAACTGTAGGCTATTAAGTATGAACCAATTGAATGGTGCTTAGAAAGGAAGGACTTACACGTGGTTGAGAGAACAACAGACAACCAAGATAGCGAAAGTAGTGAAGGGAGCTCCCGAAGCCTGGCAACCTCAACACAGAGGGGTGCAATTGTCTAGCCTGTCAGTCCTTGTAGTTCAAGTTATACTCTCAGTCATTATCTGTTTCGTCAACGTACCATCCAAAACACGCCCCAGGATCGCCCCATCTAGGACTGCGAATAGTAGTGTTACCCCGGCGCAAAGTAGAGTCAAACCCGTGGCCACCTTGAACTGTCCGATTCGATCACTCGCAACACCGATAAAACGGCGCCCGATCGCAGTTCCCATATTCAGCAAAGCGGTACCCTGTGTTGCCTTTTGTTTCGAAAGGGCGATATAGAGTGCAAAGTCGGAAAGTGATTAGAGGAGAGCGACATAACCCAACATGCTGAGGAAAGCCTATAGTAGGAGTAAGAGCACGTCGAGGCGACGTATAAGCTTCCGGTCGAAGGGGTGTTGCTTGGGCATAACGATGCCATTTCTGTCCGTGATGAAGAACGCCGTGACGAAGATGGCTAAGGTCCCGGAAACTCCGGTGATACGCAACGCCCACCCAGTACCCAGGTGGTCGATGGTGCAGCCGGTGGCGAAAGAGAAGACCAAACCGCCGATGCCTGATCCTGCCGCACTTATCCCATTGGCGAGGCTTCTCCTCTTCGCAAACCACTGGGAAAGAACGGCAATGCTAGGCACATATGCGAAGCCAACCCCTAAGCCGACCAGTACACCTTGGGAGAGGTAGAGATGCCAGATGTGAGAAGCAAAGGACGCTGCCATAAAACCCCCTCCAAATATGAAAGAGCCCAGAAGGGTAAGAGGTCTGATCCCGACGGTGCGCGCCAGGCGTGTGACCAAGAGGGCAGAGAGCATGGCAATTCCAAAGTCTAGACTTCCAATGGACGTATAGTCTAAAGGCCGAGACTGTGGGAAAGCATTGCTTGTCAGATAATAGGAAATTTGTGGAGGAACCCAGACTTACAGCGACAATGCCCCAGGTAAAGCAGTTGATCGTGAAGCAACACGCTAGACACACCCAGCGGTACCCGCCATCGGGCACTGAGCTATGTTGTCATCTATCTCAGACGAATGACTGGAAAGAGCAGCTCGTAGAGTGTATGATTGCGAGGGATTTTCGAGTCTGAAGTGATTGTTTTCCATGATTTGCCTTCGGCCAGCTGTCTCAGCAAAGATTGGAGAACGTTGGTCTATCTGCAGAGCAGGACGAGCTTTAGATACTTTGGATCTGCACAAGAAGTCAGTCAAGAAATGCGCCTGATCATGGATGCACGTGTTGTTGGACTTCGCTTGTCAGAGACTTATACCAACGCGCGGAGCTCGATATTAATGCACTATGCCGATCCCGCTTGTCGTCAGAAACGCCCCGTGGTCCACCTAGCTTCTGCATGTCATTCTTAGAACGCACCAGTTCGACGCAAGTGAACAGCCAAAACCAGCTAAAACGCGTCTTCACGTTGTGCTGCGATTTGATCAATGACTGTTGATGGTTTCAAGCGGTCGAGGGTGATGGAGGGTGATGGCGCTCCCACAGCGGCACTTGTTCTGCGCTCCTAGAACCTCTTTCAATAACGTCACTCATCCACATTAGTTACCAAAGTCCTTCGTTGGGCTAATCTGCTCTACGAGTAGCGCGGTGACATATCAATTGGGCAGGAAACCAAGGCCAGTTGTCTCATCTGCTATGCAGTTCTGCTAGCCGCCACGGCGAACGTTCAGATGCAACTTCGGAGACCCTCTCCAAAACCTTTGCCATCATGTCCTGGATGCAGGAGGACAAAGTGGACAACTGACTTTACAACCTAGCATCCTAAAACGGGTGTTTACTCGGACTTGTATTATCTCTATTGTTCAGGAGTCGCTGATAAAATCCAACAGTTCAAATAAGCATTTACTCTCGACCTGACACTCCTCTTGTAGGAGACTCGCTCGCCGGAAGCCGGGGCTAAGCCAAGCCGTAATGGAATCCGAGTCTAAGCCACGGTAGTTCAGCCTCGAAATTATGATGTAAGCCTGTACGCAGGGAGTTGTCGGCTGGCCGTCATTTAGGGGATAGTGGCTGGTTGATGATAGGGAGGACATCGGATCTGAAATTAATGGTTTAGGCATCAGCATGCCCGACATAGGCAATGACGTGCCTTCGATCTCATCGGCTTTTGAGGGGCGTTGTGGGGCGGCCTTTGCTGCGCAATTATCGAGCACACCTTGTTGCCGGTGATTCGTGTCGAACTGTTGCTCAGCTACGAGCATGGGTTGGAAGCTGGCCATTTCCGTGACAGGATAATCCCCTTCCACGGTCGTGCGCAGTGACAACCCTATGGATGTTGAGGGCAAAAGAGCAGCGTCTTTAAAGCCTTCGGCGTTATACGGCGCTTGTCGTCCCTCGGACATTTCGCTGGCTCGACTCTGACTACGCCCAGTTCGCAATGCGACTGGGGAAGACGATTCATGCTCCATTTCTGAGCTGCTTTCATGGTGGCTGAGTCTAGACTCTGCAAGATCGGCTTTCAAGACCGCAATTTCTGCTAGTGCTTGGTTCAGGTGGCGCTCGCTGTCCTGAAGCTTCTGCTCTAGCACGGCGATGTACTGCGTCGCCGTTCACGGTGAGGGCGCTGATTGTTTCGAACACGAATGAGAGTTTGAAGAGGTGTCTTTGTCTGTGGGGAGGCGCTATCGCCACAGCTGGTAGGTATGGAATTCATTGTTGGCAATCTTGCGTCGAAATGTTCTGAGAGCATGTTGCGGGACAGCGATGGTGACATATCTGCAGGGGGGGAAGGAGAGGCGATGACGATGCGCCATGTTCGCCAAGCAACGGTGACATATCAATTAGCCACCCTCGATTGGGCGAAAGTGTGGAATAACTCATGTAGTTCCGAGGACCGTGGATCAATGCAGAATCACGTGGTCAGGAGTGCCATATCAATGGCCCCCATAAAGCATCGCAGAATCGACCTGTTATCGAGAGATAGTAAGGATTGATTTTTACTCCTACCCTGTGAAGCAGCTGTTGCTCTGGACACATAGCCGGTTGATTGGAAACCACTTCCTTTGGACAAAGTCGCCCAAGCAAATCTCAAGTACGTCTGGACATCGATCGGTCCTCTTTCCTATTCGCCATTATGGACAAGGCGACCCTTTAAACACATGAGCCGGAGAGGGCCCCGGCGCAGTTGCCAGGAGTGCTGTCACAGCATATGGACGGAATAATAGAAAAGCTCCTGAATAACGCCCTGGAACTCGCCATGGCCCTACGAGAAGTAAATGTTAGCCTCAGCTAGAGGAATTGTCACGGCGCAACCCCGGAAAGGCTAGACAGCCTGACCAGACAGCCTCGCTCTTGCGAGCAACGGCCAGGAAGCCCACACCGCAATACGATTGGCTGGATATCTCTGTACAATGTACAGAGATACTACACGCAATAGGATTAGCCCGACAGCCTCGCCGGACATGGTCCGGCGCACTCGGTCACGTGAACCTCCAATATAACATCTCCCTTGCTTCAACACCTTCAGCGCCTCCTACGCCTCCTACATCCCTTGCAGGTTTCAGTATGAGTCTACGGAGTTACGGAACATGATTATCTCGGACACGGGACGCTTGGAAAAGAACAGATCTCCCGATCTCCTTTTCCAAATGAACTATAAGTATCCCTTTGGGACTCGAACCTCTTGTTGAGTCCCTCGTCTCTCGTCTTGTACTCAATAGTGCACTGGATAGCAATATCACTGTCAGATCTCCTCATACTTGTTCCCTCTTCTCGTTCCCAGACTTGTCCCTGACAGGAATGTTGAACTGGGTAACAATCTCACACGCGATTGTCTCAGGTCTCGGAACTTTTACTTGCCACCCAGCATCAGTACTCGGCAGACAAAGCCGATCTTATTGGTCATGGTGTTATCAGCCTTCAAGACGCAGAAGTCCTTTTCTCATTCTATCGAGGCAATCTCGATCGCCTCCTCCATAACATTCTCGACAGGATCGCCTGACTTTCGAGCACAAGTATTTGAAATAAATCGAGGAGAACCAGCTCCTCGGACATTATGTAGTTGGTAAGACACACAGGTCGCAAAACTCCTTCTGGACAGTTTACCATATCGATATCTTTATCATCTGTGGAAAGCGTTTAACAATTTTCCGGAGCGAGAAACGCTATGAAAGAATTATGCCAGAACATTCACTGGGGCTTAGGAATGATAGAAGGCAACAAGAGACGCGTCGTAGGTTACCTGTTACCTTGATACGATACTTTCGGGTGTTGTTTCTCATATCATCAAACTAGGGTTTATGGCGCAAAATCCTGATCGTGCTCCTGACATCAAATCAAACTACGAGTGTATCAGGGAAAGGAGTCACTCTGAACATGGCCTCAACTATTCAAACTCGTTTGTTGCGATTACGGTTTCGAAGAACACTGCGCACGTACTGGACGAATGGAATCGTCGGGGGTGTCTCTCACGAGCTATCGAGGGTCTTCAGCGTATAGTCCCACAAATGTGTCTGGCCATAGAGCGAGGGAGGTCACCATCTAAGGCAACAATTATCGAACGAGCGCTTGGGTATATCAATACACTTCACCGGGAGTTGGACCGGCTGCGAAAAGAAGAAACGACCAAGAGAAAAGAATCCGAGCCTCTCCCAGAGGCATCTCTAGAGAAGGCTAGCTCCCTACCACATAGTGCTGTCGATGATTGAATCGAGTCAGTGAGCAATATCAATCGTCAATTGTAAGATATTACCGCTTGTGAGCCCCGGGAATGTGGGACGGCATGAACAACTTACGTTCAAGACTATTGCGGCCAATCATGAGCTGTATGCTGTTGATATAATTGTCCTTGCAATTGACGGTGTGGCATCTGGTAAGCAGACAACCTCTTACCCAGTCAACTCTGCCGCTCGTGGGGAATGCTACCGAGTGCCAATACTGAAACAGCAGTCATTCCTAAGCTTCCAAAGTTGCCGAGTAAATTTTGTTCACTACCAATGGAGGGCGGCTTGCTGTGCTGTGATGTGGAAAGAAGACCCCACTTGACCTATATCTTGTATGTGATGGTGGGATGGAATTTATCTTGACAAAGCCCACCACCGTTGAGGGAGAGAATCCCGGCCACGACTTTTAGCAAGCTCTCGGTCTCAGCCCCCTTTCGTACGTTACTGCCCACTATTACAGAGGATTCCACTTGGAGCTTTGTCATCGAGCGGCTCCAATTCGTTGCCAACGACTGCACGTGCCTGCATTACACTCACAAGACATTTGGTTATACGGCCGTCTTCTGAGAGGCTAACTTACCACTCATCGATGTGATAGTCCTAATCAGACATTGCTACCCTCTTCAACTCTTACTGAGGCGACTTTGGCAAATCGTACTACATTATAGCGTTCCAGTAAAACACCAGATAGGGACATGACTGTCCGCGGCCTAACGACAAAGAAAAGGCAACTCTATTCCTTCAACTTGAGGCACCTTAGAGTCTCATATTGTTTACAGAATCCTGCTGAGAACAGGGGCTAACAATGGGCAATTACTGGAGTCAGTCGTCCATGCTATTTACTACGGATCTCTTGACCATGCCTGCCACTGAAATGGACGTCTACAAAAATGATATGAAGGACGAAGCAGTCCTTGACATAATCCTTGAGCGTCAGCATGAAGATCAAGTTGCTCGATCAGGTTTGCCGGAAGAGGAAGCATTCTGGATGCCTCTTGAAGAGCTCTGCGGTATTGTGAACATCAGGAGTAAGGCAAGCCTCGAAACAGGAAAGATACGCATCACCTTCGAAGGTTTGTCGCTGCAAATTCCGCCTCTGTCGCACCTCTAACCTCTATGTCCCAAATTAGGCTTATCAAGAGTTTACACGCGACGATTGAGTGAGACTAAGTTGAACAAAATTGACACTTATGTGGCTAAGTACAAGGTATTAAAGGCACCTCTGTTGCAGTCTTCTCAGAAGCTGAGGACGTTAGTTTCTGTCGCAGCAATATGAGATCGAGGACTTCCAGAACTCGATCGAGAGTAGCACAGGCATCTTCATCTACTCAGCACGATTCTCCTTTACCATCTCACGATGGGCTCTGACGAAAGGGCTAGGGGTTCCACAACAGTGCTTGGACTTACCTCCATCGTTCTGCGCGGGCCAGACTCTAGTCAGTGGAGATGACGAGTACGCACAACCAAACATCACATATCATTTGGTAGTTAGTGGAACTGCCAAAACGATGAATGACCTCAGGACACTCTCACTGACCAGAAGGAAGGAATTCATGTTGCGGATTCCGACAGAGATAAGGCCTCCTTTGAAAACTCATGATTTCAGGACGAGTTTGTCGAGACCCTCACTCACTCATTCCACTTTTCCATACTGAACGCAGCCCGTACCAGATGACTCTTTCAATGACGGAACCTCCGCCTATAATTTTGTTGCATCGAACGTTGCAAGGCAGCACGACCGCAGTCCTTCATGTAAGGATCGAAGGGTTAAATTCACGTTTTCTTGCAGGGAGTGCTCTTCAGGACTTCCATAAACTGAAGTTTTGGGCTTTGCTGGGCCTGCGATTGAAGACATTCTACTCAACGCGACCATTCCCAAGGTTCCCTTGTCAGGCCTTGCTGACAGTTGAAGGTCCGATCCGCCTTCAAGATCAGGTCATATGTATTGGAGAACAGAGCCACTCTTCCAACACATGGAGTGTTGCGCAGATGCCAAAACGGGCAGAAGTGACAACACAGGTTTCTCTTGCCCCGGAAGAAGGGGCAAACCGCAATTCTATCAAGTCTCAATCAACCGCGGACAGCCACAGTGACTACTCAGAGGCATGGCAGGCCACTTTCAATCTGCCGTTGACTGTACCCGGTCATCTTCTACCTACATTTTGTTCTGCAATAGCTTCAAGACAGTACAGTCTTATCACTCGCATCCATGTTGATGGGATACGGATCGACCGGTTCGTGCTGGAGGTACCGCTCCAAATCACTTTTTCGCCGGTCGAAAGCCTTCAAGCTGCTGAGCGTGTCTCAACGCCGGAAGGTTACGAAGGCAACTTTGCCCCGAACCGGCCCCACGCTTTCACGATCTGGTCACCGTGAGAGGCTTCCTCCGGTTCTACATTGCCACGAGCCATCCGAAGCTGGAGAAGGCGCGGCGAAGCCAATACCGACTGCCGACGCCATTTGTACCGTCGCCGAGTGGTTCTTCGCCTGCTTTACCCGTTTTACCGGCTGTGATACCAAAGCAGACGATAGGAGTGAGGTCTACTATGTAAGATCAGGCTTTCTTTAATGCCCGTGAAGACCCTCAACAGAAAAATTGAGTCACAACTTTCCAGTGGATACAGCGCACCCTGATACTAGAGGGTATTGTTTTCAACAAGCACCGAAAGAAACATAACTTCACAGTTCGGGACCTTACGCATCTACTATGGCCCTCTGTGTATACCTTCAGTCAATAACTACACCGATTACTTTGAGCTGCTCGCCGTCTGTGCTGCCATCTCACGCCGCAGAGGACCCCTGTCAGGTACTTTCAAGCAGATCGACAAACAGCCGAGGACCAGGCCGAGTACCGTCGCGTGTTAGAAACCCGCACCGTCGCAGCCACATCACCAAGCCTCAATGACAGCCACATGACTTAGCTCTCTTGCCGCCTCAATCCAGACAGAGCGAGACACGTGAATCCTTGAATGCCACAATCTTCCAGCCTGCGCAGTCTAAACCCTCGTGTCGTGCTCCGAACACCTGCCTAAGCGCTCTGCGGCTGAACAGCTCGAGACATCCAGGATGTCATCGCTACCGCAGCCTCATACTGCACTTACCTACCATCTCCTAATGTTCCCTCAGTACTGTCAATAATGATCCCATTGACATGAATGCCACCGATCGCTTGACTTCTTGGAGCAAAGTCTTTAAGATGAGGGGCATCACGACGACCCCTGGAGCCGCCTAACGGTGTATGCTCTGCACTTTTTCAACCAGTAGAGTAGAACTTGATGAACAGAACTCTGCGTCTAGAAATTGTAAACAATGCCCTTCAGTGTTTCCAAGATCCCATTATAGACACGCTCTTGCTGTTCACTTTTTGCACTCCGTGGCCCCGTTCAGTCTAGTGGCCTTACTAGGACATTATCATGGTCACATATAGCTAGATGTTGCTGGTACAATTCGTCTATCTGGCCGACTTGTGCGCTATGAAGAACCTAGAAAAGACCCTTCGGAAATTTTTCAGTGTCATCTCTGTCCAGGTGTGATCAGCTAGAGGGTCGTATCTACGATGGCAACTGGCTTACGTCGCTCAGTCTTCCGCAGTTCGGTGCATATAGTACAGATGGCGATGCCACCTTCGGAGTGCTTGATAGCGGCCATGAATCATTTATCGTGGTACTGTCTGTACCTATGCTGCCAGTGAAGAAAATTGACCATGCTACGCAGCCAACATTGTACTTGACATTCACTTCGGAAACAGTGTTGCCACTTTCGTTGAACAAAACCATTGCTGACAGTGGACATGTACTGTAAAGAATTAATCGATGCCTTTTGGAAAACATGGATGAAAACTTCTCAATAAATGAAAGTGTCAATCGACAAAGAGTAAATGCATCTGCGACTCGGTGTCTTGCTTGTCCCGGCTGCTGGTTGTTCAAGCTCTAGCACTAAGGAAAACATCAGTGGGGCACTCAGGTGCTATAGCTAGAGTTAGTCTCTACAGTAGGGAGATAGGCTTGACTAGCCCTCGTTGATAAACAGCACCTTTTTCCCCTTGCTGTAGATCCGTTAGCTTAGTCACAGCTATCGGAGAGCTCTTGAAGCGTTTTCATGAGATCATATAAGCCATCCACATTTCGCAGTAGCGTCAGTGACCAAGGGTTAGTGGATATTATTCTCCTTTTTCACATATAACGATCGAAAAGCAGTAATTGCAGTAAGAACATTATCCCTATGCAATTTTACACCATGTATGGTACATAATCCTTATCGGAGTTAAGAAAGTGGATATTATATTCATATCAAGCTGCTAGCAGTGCTGGAAGTCATATTGTTACCATCCACCCCAGAATTTAGCAGCATCGGCACGATCTTCTCGTGGCCGCTAAACGATACCGCTTACAGAGCGTTACCATACACGCCTCCTTCAGCATTGAGGTGCGCTTTGGCGTCGATGAGCATCTGCACGATCTTCTCGTGGCCGCCGGACGATGCCGCTTACAAGGCATTGCCATAGTAGCCTCCTTCAGCATTAACATCTGCATTTGGCCGCTTGATCTTCTCAACAACTATAGGAGTGATGGATAGGGTTGCCGTTGAAAGGTCCAAAAGCGTTTAGTCATTCGGAACTGAGTAAGGCTTTTTGGCCTACGCGATGCCTCGGCATTAAGTCAAGTAAATGAGAAAAGATGATTACTAAAGCGATATCCACGTACGACCCTTGGACCTGCGGATCTACTAGGTACAATCTCGAAAAAGACGAACCTCTTCAACACAGCAGTACGGTATTGGGGATGCGCCGGTGAAGTTTTGAAGTACGCACACAGGAGGTCGTTTTGACTTGGAGGGAATTTGTTCGAATTGTTGAAAGACCCGAATCATGTGCAGCGGCACGTTGCAGATGCTTGATGATCAAGAGATCATGGCACCATCCGAAATACGACGTGGTAGGGTATAAAGTCGTTCTGCAAAAGTTCGAGAAAGCCGCACTCGCCGGTCGTGTCGTTAGCATCACTGCAATCCGACGGCATACAGGGCGTTGTCGTCGGCACAGCTAGATCAGGCTGGCCGAGAACTTGCTGTGGACTCGGTGTGCCCATGGATGGCTCAAGTTCACACCCCCAGCAGAGCGGTCAGAGCCGCTAGGCTTTGCTTTTACGACCTCCCAACGGCTCGTGCCGACAAAGTGGAAGTATTTTACTGTCAACCTCTTGCCGAGTTGCCATCGTATAGCGTGGAAGTTTTGAGCTCAAAGATTACCAGAGCCGAATCGATATTACGCAACGGCATGGGGACACTCCTCCTCGAATGGTTCCTACACCACAGATGTATTCAAATATCCCAAGAGGCAAAAGCTGCTTTCCTGTCTTCTTACGCAGTCGGCGGCCTATATTGGCGACATACCCTGCGGCACATCTTCCTTGTTAACGCGGATAAGAGCTTTATACCAGGATTGGGTCCCTTCGAATGGCCAAGAGTGTGGTGTGGCGCACCCACGGCCGCACTTAGACGCACCTTTCAAATCATCGGCAACTCTACCGCGGAGGGAATTCCAGAACCTCAACTAGAGCAGTTGTGGCAGCTGCGCCAGTTATACGCTCGAAAGGTCACTTCAAGAAATCTGCATGAATCTGCTCGAGGCGTGCGAAGTGCAAACCAAATTGAGGGAATGCAGAATGACAGCCAAACTCCAGGCAATACACCCGTAACCACCGCATCAGTGCACACCGACTAAGGAGTAACGTCCAGAGATCGTGAGCATAGGAACCGCGATACAACTTCAGAGGCTTGCGCTCGAGGCTCGAAAGCGATGCAAGCAAGACGGAAATCAGCAAGACTGCGGGAGAGCAGCACACAGCTCTTGTAGTTTGGACGGGGCGGGGCCTCGCTTGAGGAGGTTCGATCACGGATTAGTGAAATCTTGGGAAGCTTGAGTAGTCCTGGCACGAAGAACAAAGATAGCAGCAGAGATGAAAGAGGTTCTTGATTTGACGTTCTATCGAGAACGCGAGCTATAGTGGTTTGTTTAGCAGCCGCGCATATCGATGACATAGCCTTGTCTTGAGCTAGCAATTTACACATTAATCAATTCGGCCATTCGGCCCTTAGCATTACGTTACTGCTTACTTTCACGTGATTTCCTCACATTGAAAGGGTGCAACTTCATCCATTCCGTGATTGGGCTCCATTATCTGAAAGTGTTGTAGCACGGCGGAGAAGGGGCCTACTATTGAAATTTGACATGTTTCTTGGAAAGCTGAGACATGTCTGCTATTTTATTAACATAGATCATCGAACTGCTTAAGCCAATTGCTATATACGGCGACGTTCAAGGGGAACGAGCCGACATCGTACCACAGGTTTCCTACGAACCCAGTTCGGATGCACAAAGGACTGCGGAATGGACGTCAACTTCTCTCCGAGATCATGTTGGGCATTCCCCGTGGGTTAGTGGTCGGATCATAACTTTGGCCTTCTAACTTTTGGGCCTTGGTACGCGGGAAACCAGATGATCTTAGTGGGATCCGTTCTTCAACGAGCACTTTTGTCCGGATCGGAGTTGCGTCTTTTCTATTTACCAAGAAACCCATTTTCGACCGCACTAACATTAGGAGAATCAGAATTGCATGAGCTAACTTACCACGACCTGACCTTATGGCTGCAGGAGGAATCTGATAAATTATCCTAGTCTTTACAAGGGTCCAGAAAAAGTCCACAAGATGGTATGGATTTGAGAGACGATGACAAACGTAAACCCTTTGGTGATTGGTGATTGAAATCGCACTATTTAGTCAAGATGTAGGAAAGCGTGACGCTAGTAGCCGTAACTCAATGAAAAAGATAGTTGTAGTGTATCTACAGCAAAGCAGCGCTGCAGACCATTGCCAGCTCCGGACGACGAAGCGGCCAGCGGATGGTGCGACGAGTCCACGAAGTGATTCGGTGCAGCCGTGGGCAGGTCACGACATCCGGATCGCGTTGGTGCCAGGACACTACAACATCGCTGCAACGAGAGTGTTGGACGCCATAGGATTACGCAATAGGTGCAAATTTGCACCTAAGCAACCTACCAGTGGCGACAATCTAGCCTATAATAGGCGCTCTCTACCAGTTCATAGACTGTGTGGGCACCAGTTTACAAGATCTCCGATGCACTGTACTTTGGCGGAGCAAACAAGTCTTCCAATTTCACATGCCCTCACGCGGCAAGGCCAGCGAGCAAGTATCGAATCCAACTGGTTCCCCATGAGTTTCAGGTCTTGAGGAGTTGAATGCAAGAAATGCAGTGAATCGAAACGAAGCAGTGGTGAATCGCCCCGCATCATCAATTAATATCTTTGTAAATGCCGGTGTCACGTGCGCTTCGATCGCTCGACCTTCCCCAGCTGGCCATTGGCCTGAGAGGAGCTTCCTGTCGCTCTGGTCACTGCCCTTGGTATCGTTACTATCGACGCTCACTGTCCTTACAGAGTACTTGAATCCAGCTAAGCACCTTCCTTGAGCTAGGCAGACCTACATGCGCTGACATCTGGCCGAAAGGTCGATGGTGGACGCCGAACCTTCTAGCCCTGTCCTACGGTCTGAGTACGCCACTGGCCATCGCCGTCGGCGTCGGTTTTCGGAAGAGCTCTCCTCCCGGCTCACAAACTTCGCTCATTGTCAACGGGGTGTTTAATTTGGTATCCGCCGGGATTCTAATCTATACTGGGCTGCTGGAGTTAAATGGCACATGAGTTCATGGTCAGCAATTCGATGCGCAAAGCAACGTCTGAGACTGTGGAGGCTGCCTTCGGGATTATGTGTTTGGGTGCGGCGCTGTTGGCTTCGCTTGCTAAATGGGCATAGCGCACGGCGCATATGGTGATTTTTCGGCGCTGTGCATCGGGGGGTCATTACGGCAAGGGGCATATGAAAATTCAGCGTTTAGGAAACATACATTAGATTAATGACACTAATGATAAAACACGCTCACCTATCTCTCCCCTGTGTCCCTGGTGTCGACCTGAGCGCCAATGCCCGGTATCATAAACATGAGATTGGATGCCTGTAAATGTTCGCTCCCTCCTAGACTACTCTAGGCGACTCTACCCTTCCCTGGCCAAGATCCCGAATAACCTCGCATTGTCAACTGCGCAGGCAGAAGTCATGTCTTCTTTTTCTCCAGGACCCCCACCGTCGTTAGCTTTAAACCCACGCTGACTGTTTCTGTGACTGCTACAATTCTCCGACGATGAAGGGACGCACCTCGGCCTCTCAAGAGGGCCTTAGCAACCGAGCTCGGGGAGGATCTCCGTCTCCACGGTGATATCGTTACTAGGCATGCCGCGCATGCTGGCGATGATGAGCGCGGCTTGCAGGCAGGGCGTGCTGTTTGGTCTACTGGGGAGTCTGCATGGTTCGGGTTGAGATCCTGGATGAGAGTGGGACGGAGAAGGCGAGTGGGTTGGAGCGGGTGATGGATAGGTATATTCCGGTGCCGGAGCTGGATGGCCTTGCAGGTCTGGCGTCGGAAAGTCTGAAGGAGAAGTGATGAGTATCATGGCGTCCTCGTAAGTCGATGTCATGCTGGCTTCCGCATTTGAGAGCTGCGTCGTGGCTGCGATAGGAGAGGGTGTAGACGTTGACAACCCAGAACGGTGAGAAGGCAGAGCGTTCGTCGATATTGAGACAGCTGGTACCAGACCGGCGGGTGTCGTGAGTGCTTGTTGATAATCAGGTGATGCTCTCGTTGCGCCTGTTCTCCTTGATTTTGCCCTTGTACTAGGCGCACGCTTGCTTCCTCTCAGCCTTCCACCTCTGCCGCAGCCACGATACCCAGTCTCACTTCCCACGTCCTTCTCAGTCCTATTGCTAGCTAGCAGCGCCTTCTCCAAAGCTTCGCTCCTCTCCCTCAAAAGCCTCACTTCCTCCTTCAATGCACGGTTCTCCTCCGTAACTCGCCGCGCGGCGGCTTGCACTTCCGCAGTGGCTTGCACGCCTTGAGCCTCGTGAGCGTGCAAGCGACGCTCTAGATCCCGGATATACGTCCGCCTTCGAGCTCGAGAGGCCCTTTGATTGAGGGTGTTGCGATTCAGGTTCGAGGCTTCTGTTAGCGTCGGTGCTGAGGAGGAAGTCATTTGCAATGATGGGAAAGGGACCGAGTGCGCGGATTGAAGTGTAGCCAGGATCTGTTGTGCTCTGCTCAGGTTCTTTCGAAGCCAGTCGTCCGACAACGGATTTCCGCAAGCACTAGTGGCACATGATCCACGTTTGCTCTTGCGCCAGATTCGATTCGCTCGAGAGTAGCCAAGGATTCTCAGCTTTCAATACAAGGGACAATTGATTTGGGAAGTTGGGATGGTGCTCATAGTTTCTTGGGCAGGCTCGTTGGTAGTTAGAGAAGGATTTGCCGTTAGCAGAGGAAAATCTTTTGCGTCATTTCTTGCCCCTAAGGAACCTCGAAAGATGCCCGTTGTGAGCCAAGAAGCTGTCACCCTGTCGGCGTGATTCGTCCTAGGACGGTTCCGGTTTTCGCTTCCTCTGCAACATCAAGAGGCCACATGTGAACGTGCAGTAGCGCTAGCGCTTGCGAGCAGCATTTTGGCCGGGGTCTGCCATTTTCAATTGCGAAATTCTGCTGTTGTAAGCCAATAGTTTAGGGACCATGACATGTCGCCTTGCTTACATAATGAGAGTGCGAAGTCCGGAAGAATGAACATCTTCAAAGCGTCCTCTGGTGTTGAAAACTGAAACACTGTAGAACTCGTTTTATTTTATTGTTATCACAGCTTCGTATACATTCAAACGGAAACCATCATGGACGTTGCCTCAATCTATCAGAACGTTCAGACTCGATACTCTGAGATCGCCTTGCAGGCTCACGGAGACGAAGCTCAACTATCCAAGGCTTCACGAATTGCTTCGTCGTTCGGCTACTCAGGAGAAGATCTTGCATCACTGCCCAGTGGGACAAACCTTGGTGTATCATGCGGCAATCCACTAGCGACGGTGAATCTTGAGCCGTCTGAAACCGTAAGTTATTATATCCCTTAAACCTGTATAGGTTCAACCCGGAAGCGCCTTCAAGGGCATGTCTGATTTGTCTTTATCCTTCCGTTCTTTGTACTGAATGTGCAGGTCATCCCAGTACAAGTTCTGACGCCTCTACAGATGCTTGACCTCGGATCTGGGGGAGGGCTTGACTGCCTCATTGCAGCTAACCAGATGTTGAAGAAGAATCCCGTCCCAAGTGGAAATATATATGGTGTCGACAGGAATGAGATGATGATCGCACTGGCTAGAAGGAACGCTTCGAAGTCAAACTTGCCGGAGGGATTCGTGCAATTTATTCAAGCCCCGATCTCGGAAATTCCTCTTGAAGATTCGACGGTGGATCTCGTGGTCAGTAATTGTGTCATCAATTTGGTCCCAGACGGGGATAAACCCAAGGTCTTTAAAGAAATACATCGACTGTTGAAGGCCGGCGGGCGAGTCGCGATCAGTGACATTCTGGCAAAGAAACCAATGCCAGATCACATCCGTCACGATGCTGCTCTCTTGGTTGGATGCGTGGCAGGCGCCAGTCTCGTTGACGAGTATCGACAGTGGATGGTCAAGGCAGGATTCCAAGATGATGCTATCAGATTCATTAATACGGAGAAAGACCTGAATGTATATCACGAGGCAGAGAGAGCCCCTGCTTGTTGCGCAGAACAAAAGGAATCGGAGAGTTGTTGTAACAAGGAAACAGAAGGTGCCGTCTGTTGTGCCGAGAAGAATGGCTTGAAGCCATGTTGCACCGAGACTGCGGAGGTTGGCAAGGAGCTGGACCTCAACGAGTGGGTAGCTTCATATCAAGTTTATGCCGTCAAATGACGGCCTGGTTAGATAGCAGAGCCAACGCAAGTGGTGTGGGATGTCGTTCAAAAGCTTCGTAAATGAAACTGTTCCTGCTCGAATTCTTGCATGCACTTCCCGCCGTAGGTAGCATTGTGCCGCTGTCTCCTGTCAACTGTCAAGGGTCAACCTGAACCGATTTGACACCGACAAATGCTGTTGTCCGCTGCCTGTGCTGCTATCTCGTACCACGAGGCACCTCTGTCAGGTACTTCTCGACAGAAGAACAAACAGCCGAGTACAATGCCGGTTGTAGCCTGTAAATGATATGAAACATAACTGCCGCATCTTCGCACCCTAGCCACCGCGACATTGCTTAGCGTCCTTGCCGCCTGAGTTCCAGATGACGCAAGTCTTCTAATCTGTGCTTTGCATGTGCCAGGCGGCATACATGATACGGCAGGTCAGCCACAGCCGCCTTTTTGATCAGGAGGCCTCCTCCCAAGATTCAGCCTCACCTCGAAGGCGAAGCCAGGAGCCAGTGCAAGCGAACTATTTGCTGGTTTCACCACTGAGTTCGTTAACTGTTCTATTATGTGCATAACTTGCGCGAAGAGGATCGGCCGGACTATCAGCACTTCCGGAAGATGTTCACCAAGCTCTTCCGCCGACAAGGGTTCGTATACGAGAACATCTTTGACTGGACGATTCGGGAATTCCAGAGGCTGGAGCCTGACAACCAAGAACCGCTTACATCGAAATGATTTGGACCCTGAACGAAGAGAGGACACCACGAAAGCCATGAATTTCTATCGAGTCCAGGATGCAATCAAAGGAAGTCGTGGAAAGGGAGATGATTTTCTCGACTTGAGAATGCCTCCTCTCGTATGCGTCTGATTGCTAGTGGCCGGATCCTCGGACAATGCTTCTCGTGAGTGGAGGGCAGCTATCGGTCATCGAGAGCCAAGAATTTGGCAGGCAGCTACAACCCTTCGAAGGCACTTCACCACCAAAAAATATATTCTAGAACGAATATCGAGTCCAGATTTGTCCGCATGAAGTGCTGTATTGATCTCGGGCTAAATGCATAGAGTGAGAATCGTACCTTGAGCATACCTACTAACCTACGGACCAAATATTCGTTGCCAACTGTAACATTACTGGTATCTCCAGCTTCCTACTTCGAGGCAGCCTGCTTCCGCTTTCGAGATCTGTTGGCTCCCCCATCCCGGTTTTGGCACAGCCGTGTGGCTTGGAGACGCCCCACGCAAGTTCTCGAGTTCATCGACTCTTTGCTTGGCCGTCCAGACGTGGTCAGCTGCATTGGCCAACGCTTCGTGGTGTTCTCGTGCCTTCTCGGATTTCTCCTTCTCCTCGACCTTGGAATGCAGTCGTTCCCTTTCCGACTCGCTGACATTTGCGTTGCTGCCGGTTCCGGCTGGCCGTTGCTCTTGAGTATGCCCCTGCAGGGTTTCCATGGCTTTTGAGTGTTTTCAAGCTCGTGGTAAAGTGATAAGCACTTGCTGTACGTCGCATGCAGGCCATTAATCGCTTTGTTGTGCTGAGTGTGAAGATTTTCATACGCTTGAGCACACTCGATGCGTTTTCTTCGTTCCTCGTTGAACGCGTGCTCATGTGCCGCAAGGCCTTCGGCGTAAGTGGCGAACTCAAAGAGAGTCTGGTGAGTAGTGTCTAAGACGCTCGACATATTACAAAGCTTTTGATCAACTTCGGTGAGCTGCCGAATTGCAGGAGGAAGATGGGCGGGCCAAGCGGCGCTATATAGACTCGACGCTTCTTTCTTCTGGTCGACAACCGTTGCCTAGATAAAGTTAGACAAAGTCCGCCATTTGATGGGATCAAGGCGCTTACCGATCATTTGTCGTTGAAAGACTTGGCGAGGAGAACGTCCTAACCTCTCAGGCGGAGTCCTCTCAGAGCCCGTACCCCCCGTGGTTGCTGCTACGGTAAAGGCGACCACCCTCGATGACCTTAGCCTATTCTGCAGAACCTGGATCGACGCTGGACCAGTCGTATTAATCCTTCAATTCTCCAGCCAGGTCGTTTTAAGTAGAGATTGAATCCTCTAGAACATATATCTGGTTTAGATCAAAATTAAAGCCCAGAGCAATCCTCGAGAGGCCGTAGTTCTGGGACGAGACTTCGATGACAGTGGCCAGGCCCTAGCCACCTGGTCGCAAATTGGCAGTGCGTGTCTGACGTAACCAATGACTGGCAAATATACGGGCGCATGCCGACACTAGGTGATTTAATAGTTCAAAGCCGTATCGACAAACATCGAGGCAAGCCTTTTCACGATTCTAATCTAATCCAAGGTCTGGCGTACGAAAGGTGTCCTTCCGAACTGCGAGCTTTGCCGCCGCTTTCGGCTCGCATGAGTGCCTGCATCTCTTTGTCAAGCTCCCGAAGCTCGGGATCGCCGTATACGTCGTCTTCGAGGTGCGAGGGCCAAGGGAGTCTCCCACTGTCACATGGTACGCTAGGCTTGAAAGGGACCAGCGCAAGGAGCGCGCCGCCCACCTCTCGAGTCTATGACTCTGTCGCTTGTCGACTCTCTTTGTCTTCTAGTCAGTTAGTTACAATCACATGATGCTTTTGAGGCACTGCAGCCCTCACTTGTCATTGCGACAACTCGTCCCGTTATGCCAGATACTACACCCACGCATGAAATACACCAGCATGTAGCCTAGCCTGGTGCCTCGGAATTGTACACAGTTGACATCTTATCCCAGTAGTTCAGGAGGACTTGCTGTTGCATTACGAGTATGAGCTCTACTCGAGCTGCACCGTTCGGGATGGGCGGTATATCGCAAGACCCAGGTCGGTTTAGGATTGAGGATCTACTCATCACCGATTGTGTCTGGGTGGCGCGACGTTTATGGGTTCCACGGAAGGGCAGCACCGCGAAAAAGTGATAGTCACAATTTTCCATTCATCCAGCCACATGTACTGTGAGCACAGGGTGTTCTAGCGGTCCCTGCAGATGCGGTTATTATTTGCGTATTCAGGTGCTTGAGCTGCGACTCGTTGGACATACGAGTCCTTGTCAGGTGTCAGGGTGCCGAGCCCTGTTGCAGGACTCACAGCGTTGGTCAGCGTCCGATACCTAATATGGTGCCTATGTGAGGGAGATTCATCGTGTCTATACCCGCATATATCACTTTGGGATTGTAGTTTTTGATTAAGCCTTATCCATAAGCTCGAAAACCGAGATATTCTGCACCCTACAGCTCTGTTTCGCTCTACAGCCAAGTTCGCTCCACATATCCTCGTCGACATTACAGCCTCGTAAAGTCGCAATGATCTTCGCGGCTTCCACACACGATGTTTCCCCAGCGTGAGCGTCGGCTCGCTTCGCAGACGGAGAGGAGCCTGGAGCAGTTTTCTTGTTGGAGGGAGCATGATAGGAATAAGTAGGGCCCCGTCCATAGTCACGCTCGTATTCTTCGAGTTCCAAAGGAGACGGCTCTCCCAACCCTATCGGGATGCCAGTGTAAAGTAAGTCAGCAGGTGAGTCAAGCTGTAAAGGTTGTGGCGAGTCCGTCCCTGATGCTGGGATAACGATAGACGTCCATTCGCCTTCAGGATATTGCGACGTTGCTACAAGGACTTGCGGTGGTTCTTCTCCCATTCTCACTGATTCCTGGCTCGCTTTCGCGCTGACCGGCTGCTCACGTCTGGCTGGAATTATCTGAGTTGACACGGATTCCTTCAATCTTTTAGATGGATGATCTCTGTCCGCATTTCGGCGGAACCCGTAAGTGCAAACATCGCTGGCGCAGATATGTCCGGCAAGGTATTCGTTTAGTTGGCAGTCGCTGACACCAAACTGCGTTCTGAGCAGCAATCGCAGGAGCCGGTTCTCGTTGTCCACGCGCTGTGCTGCAATTTGGACTTCTTTTGTTGCCCGAACTCCGTCGTTGTCTAGGCGCTGCAGACGCAGCTCCAATTCTTGGATATATGCTTGACGCCGGGCGCGAAAATTGCGCTGGTTAACACGGTTTCTAACGGTTGCTTGTCGCTGGAATGAGCCCTTCAACGAATGAGTAAACTGAGCTGAAGGCCGGAAGATGGATATTACCTACTCCTGCAGCCATGCTTTACAACAAAACCGCCAGAGGGGTTCGGATAGTGGCGTGCTCGATTTTGCTTCATGGAATTGTGTACGTATAACAGGGGGGGAGGTCTTTGGAAGTGGTGTCATAATGGGCTACAGAAAGAGCGGGAAAGAGCGGAAAAGTACAGAGAAGATCCACACTGCCGAAAACCTGGTCCCCTGATTCAGAATGACGCTTCCAGCTCCTCCGAAACCAAGATTAACCAATCATAATCGTTGAGTGACTAAGTGTCCGGCTTCCAGCCAGACTTTTCTCATCTGTCGGCTGAGGCAATCCTTGCTCGAAGCATTTGCAAAGGTCGCTGCAGTTGTACGTTTTAGTGACCTTCTGCACTCTGAAGAGTGGCATGCGCTACCCAAATATTGGTGCGAAGCGGCGCTTGACTCCTCTTTCTCTACCTGTTACACAACCCTTTGTGTCTCTCAGTCCTAGAACGACATCCAGATTCACACACGCAACAATGACGACGGCCACCACGCTTGCAAATGATTCCACCTCTTGCAAACGGCAGGATTCACTGCCTTCGAATCTCAAAACCCCGTCAATGAATGGAGACCTTAACAATACAGTGTCCATGAGGGTGGTCCTCCAACCTCAACGGCATCCAGATTTTGCATTTCGATCACTTGCCATACCGGCATCTATTGACGATTCTACTCTACGCTCGAGATATCGACCTTTTCTTCTTCCCGACAGAATACAATACGACGACTGGGTCAGTAGGCTGGAACTCGCAACTGTGGCCGAGTTGGCGTACAATGACTTCAAAACAACAGGCGAGAGGATCAAGGTTTTGGTTTTATACGGGAGCCTGCGTCAGAGGTAAGACGGTCCTTTAGACGTACCAGTATATCGTGTACTCATTGCATAGATCCTACTCGAAATTATTGGCCTTCGAAATCTCTCGCATCCTCTGGCGGCTTGGGTGTGATGTACGTATCTACGATCCTCATGGCCTCCCTGTAAAAGACGATGAACAGCACAACCATCCAAAAGTGCAGGAGCTAAGAGAGCTCAGTCGCTGGAGCGATGGACATTTCTGGGTGTCGCCCGAGCAACATGGTAATTTAACTGCCGTGTTCAAGAACCAAATCGACTGGATCCCTCTCAGTACGGGATCGGTACGGCCAACGCAGGGACGGACCTTGGGACTAGCGATGGTCTCTGGTGGTTCCCAGTCATTCAACACGATCAATAGCCTTCGCATCTTGGGCAGATGGATGAGGATGTTCACGATCCCAAATCAATCATCCGTTCCGCAGGCTTACACTTTGTTTACGGACAAGGATGCAGACGAAGGCGGATCGAGATTAATGGCAGGAGGCAATCGAGACCGGCTTGTCGATTGCGCCGAGGAATTTGTGAAGTACACCCTCATCATGCGGCCGCACTTTGCCTTGTTAAGTGACCGTTTCAGCGAACGGGACGAGCTCGTGAAGAACTGATATAGAAGCAGAGGTCTCAAAGAGGCAAAATATATGAGCCTCTGGAACCGGTTATAGACTGAACTTTGGCATAGAATGAAATTAAAGTTTGGGTGCTCATAGCCGAAAAGTCTCCCACAGTCAGAGAAATCGCCTGACGAGTGCGTGCAGTGTGCGCGAAGATTACATTCTCCCATTGTCGATCGAAATTTGCAGAGTCAACCAGTTCAGCAAAGAGCGTTCTGAGGCTACATTTTGATGACTTTCCATTACGCTGGAATCTTAAGATTTACAGAGGTGGTATCAGGACGTGTCCACATTCGCCATAGAACTATATGATCAATCCATCCAATTCCAACGGCCCGCCACCCATCTCACGACGTACACCAATGAGATCTAAAATGGAACCTCAATCAATGGTCCTATAGTAGTCGCGAGTGCCTCATCGCTATTGGCGCCAAACGTGGCTACCGCCACAGCGATAGCAAGCCCAAAATTGTTGCTGGCCGCAGTGAAGCTCTGAGTAGCTGCGAGCTTATAGCCGAATCCGAGGCGTTTCGTGACCAGAAGAGTCAGAGAAAAAGGATGAAAAAAGAACACAACAAGTGGAGTAGCGACCCGGACGACAGAGACGATTAGGTGGATAACTTGCTTTCCCTGTGAAGCGAACAGGACTAGAATCGTGTAAAGAAGTCCCAGGAGTGACCACAGAGCGATCCACTTCAGAAACTTCTTCTCGTACCAGATGGCGTTGATCGATCTGGGGATGAAGCGAGTAGCGATGGCGGCTCCAAGCGGTATCCCGAGGAAGACCCCAACGCTGCGTACGACTGTAGAGTAGGAAACTTGGGGAGACTCCACCGCCACTAATAACATTGACGAAAAGGATAGCTAAGGTGTGCGTAGAGGATCATCAGGAGGACAGAATTGACGGCCACAAGAATGGCGCAGTATTCCTTATCTCCCCCAGCAAGCCCTCTCCAGATCCAAAACCTGTGATATACTTGGTCAGTTAAGATGCAATCGTCATTTAACAAGCTTAGGTGAGCTTACTTTAGCAATCCAGCGTGCTAATCTAACGAATATTAGGCCGTTTCTGAGTTCAGGCTTATCCGGTAGGAACGCGTATGCCAGTCCAAGCTTCATCGACGTCAGTAAATTGATTGAGGAAGGCTTCGGAGAGGGTAAAGTACTGCGAGAAGAGGTGCGATGATCCAATTGACCAGGATACTGAAGCCGAGTTGGATCCAAATTTGGCGATGAGCAAAAATGCGATGCAAGGTCTCATATCTAACTTTGCATAGGATTGGATACAATCACTAGCAGACCAAACGCTTCGCGGTGATATTCCCATTAGCATCGAATCTAAAATGGATAGGGGGATTTCGACTCTTACCAATGGGAACTTAGACCCCAACATGTTTGCCTTTCTGAAGAGGAAGGACGGACGGCCGGGCCTGGTGACATGTGACATATCGACTTGCAGCCGTGCCAAAGCGTTCGCCGATCTTACCCCATCCCAGTCAAGCCTTCTCCTAATTCTGGAACACATGGAAAGCTGAGTTCTGGTCTAATTGGTCCATCAAGTTCAGGAAAAACGCAATTCTTACTGGGCCAATGCACCCAATTGATGCTTGTATGAGTGTTGATTGGATTCCCGTATCCGGAGCGGTCATCATCTTGCATTATCCTCCTATGAATCAGTCTCTACCTATTCTGATTCGGCATGTTGATGCCAGTTGCAGCTTTCGCGCCATTCTTGTGTTAAAGGGGGTCCTTAGGTGAATGGTTCGGTAAGCACAACCGCCCTTATCATGCCACACTAGCGCTAGTAGCAGTGGGCAGAAATGTTCAGGCTCACCTGAGCGTAGAATGACAGGAAGTACCTCTCTATATCTATCTCCCAGAGGCTCGAATGGTGTCGCATTGCCAGCTGCTCCACGATTCTGGACTTCCACACTACTCTTCAACAAGTGTGTGGCAAACAATACCCATCGGCTTGTTTCAATGGATTCGACAACAATTTATGAGAAAGTTCAACAGCGCTATAGTGCAGCGGCCAAGTCTGAGGAACGCGAGTATGGACGCAAAGTTGCCACGGCATTTGGCTGAAGAGTTGACTAAAATCCCTGAGGACGCTAATTCAGGCTCAGTTGTGGTAATCCATTGGCTTTAGCGAACCTAAGTGAGGTTAGTTAATGTTGCTCAAGGAATATCTTGACTCGTGGTACGAAGTTCATGATCAACAGTGAGAAATTGTTGTCGATCTCGGTAGTGGGGCCGGATTCGACGTATTTCTTGCAGCTAAGAAGGTCGAGGTCTCAGGCAAGCTCTTTAGAATTGACATGAATAAGGTGAGCGCTGAGCCCTTCATCCCAGGAGATGTCCAGATGATACAACTTGTGGGACATGCTCGAGAGGGCCAATTGTAACAAGGAGAATACCCCAGCAGACAATCTCTTGTTTGTGCACGGATATTCCCCTTCCAAGCGCAATGGCCGCCTGCATTATCAGTAATTGCGTGGTCAACCTTGTTTCAGAGCAGGAAAAACAGCTCGTGTTCAACGAGATGTTCCTTCTACTCAAGCCAAGGGGGCGTGTTGCTATCAACGACATCCTCCTCAAGCGCGAGCTTCCCTCGGAACTCAAAACGAACATGGCATTGTATGTCGGTTGTATCGCAGGTGCGAGCCTAGTGAAGGACTATGAAAAATACGTCGGTAATGCGGGATTTCGTGGTGAGTTGTCCTGACCCAGCCGTTGTAGCATCGCAAATCGAGTCCTCATAGCTGAGTCTCCCTGAAATGAACAAATGTCTTGATCGTGGACAGCCAAATGATCTCAATATTTACAAAACTGCAGGAAATCGTCAAAATAGAGGTCAATGCTGTGGAGGAGAAGCGAGTAACCTTTGCTGCGACAAGTCGAGCTCTTGTCGCAACTGGGGAGACTCGACAGTTGGTCATGGCCTTGATTTGCCGGAGGTGGACTGCGGACAAATTGATTTCAATAAAAGGACTGGTATGTGTCTTCTAGCTCAAACCATTGCGTCGCTTGCAGACTCTTGTATAAAGGTCTTCAAAGTATACGCTGTCAAAACATGATCCAGATTCGTTCTGGGATACCGCTTTGTTCAGCCTTGGAGGAAAGGTTGTCCTGGTCGTTACAGGACTTGAAGGAGACTTCATCGGGTTTCCGTATTTACCAACTGCACTGCTGTTTGAGCTCCTCACGTTTCAGAACGAAAACGACCATCGTAATTCATGAGAGGCCGAAAGGTCTAGGGTGGTGTGGCCCAAAAAATGCCACGGTGAGCGCGCCTGAAACCCGACCGCACTGGCTTGAGCTTTAGGCATTGAGATACAAAATACCCTTCCTATCATGTGGTTGCCTTTATGTAGTCTTGCCTGAAGATTCAGCCTGCACAAATGATCACATATCTGACTGGGTATGGAGGAGTGGCCCTATGGGGGATACCTTGTTTATGAGCGTTCTGTGCTTTTTGTTCCATTTCCCGGTATCGTGGGATGCAAGGCTCGCCCGCCATGCCATATGGAGAACGCAGGCATTCATAAATTAGACTCGTCATTTGAGTTACGATGTATTGATACTATAGGGGCTACCCATTCGTAAACTGCCGGCCTCCTGATGAGGGAGCAGAAGAACGGCTTGGCTCGTCATTGACATATAGAGGATCATCCCTTGCTTCGTTTAGTAGCGAAGAAGATCTGTCCTTGTCGAAGGAGCCCCGTCGGATTATACACTTCAATAGCACAATATAATTTGTCGCAAGCAGCTCCCTCCACGATAGACCGATGCGCCATAGCTTAAGCGCTGGTGACACACCGGGTCTCGAATGCTGCGACGGATGATTTAAATGCCGATCGGCGACTTATCGATGACATATCGGCCGATCAGAATCGCTAGTGCGGGGGGGTTTACCGGAAACACAACGTGGCTCTTGTAGGTCACTTCGACCTGGACTCCCTTTGTCATTGTCCGATGGCTTGTAGAATATAAATTTAGCGTGCATCTGATGATGAAGATTTGTTCAGGGCTTCTGTGCTGCTAGGTAAGCCCGCATTATGAACTCTGCCCAGCACATCGTTCGCGTCGATGTCGAAACCGCAGACTCCTCTGTCTCAGATCCCCAGGATGGCGGATATGGCTGGGTATGTGTCGGCTCGTGCTTCGCAGTCAATTGCTTCACTTGGGGTGTTGTTGCCGTACGTTTCTCAGAAGATTGTGTGACCTGCTGGGGTCGATTGCTGATTGAAATGTTTGCAGTCTTACGGAATCTACCTGTCGCATTACCTTTCAGAGAATGTGTTCCCCGAGGCTACGCCGGTCGACTTTGCGCTCATTGGCGGGTTCAATTTCACTTTCGCAATGCTAGCAGCTCCTTTCGTTACCATTTTGACACGGAAATATAGCCATCGGCCACCAATGTTGGCCGGCATTACGCTACTAGCAGTAGGATACGTTTCAGCATCCTTCTCAACAAGGGTTTGGCAGCTCTACATCGCTCAAGGCGCATTGGTTGGGCTTGGAGTCGGATTCACCTATGTACCAAGTATCGCCATTATCTCCCAATGGTTCCAGAAACGACGAAGTCTGGCAAATGGGATCAGCGCCGCCGGCTCTGGCATTGGCGGTCTAGTTTTCTCGTTCATGACTGACGCTGTCATCCAGAACGTGTCCTTGGCCTGGTCTTTCCGGGTCAATGCATTGGTCAGCTGTTCGATGTTGCTCGCTGCAACGGCAGTGATGAGAAATCGAAATGAATCCATCCGCCCTCACCAACGTGGGTTCGACTTGAAACTTGTCCGTCGGACGGACGTCCAGCTTCTTCTCTCCTGGGCTTTTATTAGCATGCTGGGATATGTTGTATTACTATATTCATTGCCCGATTTCGCCCACTCCATTCATCTCTCGCCGGGCCAAGCAGCGACAATCAATGCCTTGCTCAACCTAGGTACTGCAATTGGCCGTCCTTTCATCGGCGTTCTCAGCGACAAATATGGGCGGTTCGAGGTAGCGCTCGCACTTACGTGTGCCTGCGGCATTTCTTGTTTCGTCATATGGCTTCCCTCAACGACATATGGACCGACCCTCGTGTTCTCCATCGTCAGCGGAGCAATACTGGGTGTTTTTTGGGTTGTAAGTGTGCCCATACTACTCTTGAAACCCGGCACCACTCGATGCTGACTCTATGGCAAGACTATTGGCCCTCTCTGTGTTGAAGTTGCAGGACTCCCCGAGTTGCAATCTCTCCTGTCACTGTCCTGGATATCTGTGATTCTGCCAACTACATGTACGTTCTGTCGCTACATTACCTTTTCAAATCTGGGAAGCTTCCTGATTCGGATTGCCCAGTTTCGGAGGTCATTGCTCTCAAACTTCGCCGTGGTCACTCACAGCGGGAGTATTTGTATCCTCAGATATTCTCCGGTTTATCTTACATCTGCGCAAGCGTTTTCTTGTTCGCATTATGGCGACTCAAGAAAAAGGCGGCCAGCCTACCGACTTCATGAAGTGCAAGTCGGCAGTTATGGGTTCTCGACACCGTGTCAGCTGTCATAGTAGCGCGACAACCGCAGCAAACTAAATCAGGCATTCCTTGATCCGATCACAGGCCCGATGACTCTCGAGACCATACATCTCATGAAGCGCCAGCTTCCTGACCCCAGATGTGACACCAACATCATTCTTGTCGACTTTTTCCCGATGAATAGGAGGTCTTCGAGGAGTTTTCTACTACATCGGAGCGAGCCATTGATATCTGTAATAATGCTGAAGGAGCCTCGTGGGAGGAAGCCGCGAGAATCGCTGCAGATCGCGACCACAATACTCATCACGAAGTATTGGATGGCCTAGATTGCGGCAGGAAGCGAAACTGCAGGTTAGAATCCTTTTCGTCTTCGAGCTGATGGATGAGGAATGATCAAGCCTTGGGGATACTCTGAGATTCGGCGATCAGCGAGATCCCTCAAGTCGTCACCAAATTTTTCTGCTGGATTTTGACTTCGAGTGTAGTTAAGATGTCTTATCAAGAAGCCTTGTGTCTCATTATCTCCTCACCTTGCATCACAAGGGAGAACCCCGGAGGGAATGGGTACGGAACCCGTGGCGGACTCAATCGCATCGTGATTTGCTATGCCCAACTTCTCTTGGGAGATTGATCCTTATATGACCTTCGGCTGCAATGCCGCGGCGGTTTGGACAGTAGACGGCGGAGGTAATTGACCATGCCAAAAGCTTGCTAACAATCTTGGTGGACAGGAAAGAAGAGCCGGAGATACAGGCTAACGACGAACGTGGGAGCGAAGAAGATATTGATACTGGGTTAGGAGATTCAACGCTCTCTTATATTTATTGCGTATCTCTCGAAGGAGTCGGGTCAAGCGGGTATGACAACGCCAGAGGCTCTGACGAGTAGTCGATGACCGACCATTCCTGCCGGCTCTCCTCACCATGCCGGGATGTCGATTATTCTTCATTTTTTCTCCATTGTTGCTATCCTATTCGTAACTCATCCTTTGCGTGCTCGTGTTTCGCCTCGTTCAGAAAGCCGCTCATTGTTGGTTGTCAAGCAAGGCTTACCGCAGCTCGTTGAGAGAACTGACTGCACCAACGCTTTTGCGCGTGGTGTGCTAGTATCAGCTAATAATTTGATTTCGACCTTTCCCGCCTCTCCGCCGGTGTTTCTACCTGCGAAAATGGTAGCTCTCGAAGTCCAATAACAGCTGCCCACCAGGTTCGCAAGAAGCCATGTCCGAGGATCCGGCCACTAGATATAATCTCCTTTTTTCGCCGACTTCCATTGGTTGAATCCTCTCTTGCCAGCCGTCTGATATGGCGGTAGATGGATCGAATCACAACTTAGAATGATGTAGCTCTTGAACGCCACGGTAATGCAAAGCAACAGTCCACAGACGAAGCTCCATGTCACTGATTAGCAGCTCCAATGTCAGCTTCCGCTAGAAAGACTTCATGCTGGACCGGAGAGTTACTCCAACCAGGCAGAATCACCGTCAGGCCATTCGAAGCACCATGTCGGACCTCGCCGCCGGTTCTGTACCAATACTCAGCCTTGCCACGCAGCCTTTGGTGGGCTCCTGTTTTTGCACCACTTGCGGAGTTTCAACAACCCATTCCGACGATGTATTGGTTTTGTCAACAGTCTCAGTCGGAGCCTTTTCCGGTGTATGGACTACACGTGTTTGTACATATAAACCAAGCAGAGGCGCAGATTCCATGCGTTCAGACAGACACAATGAAATACCTGCAAGACTGCGTGTAAACCATCACTTCAAACCAATCAACCATTAGCAAGAACCCATCTCTGTCGCTGTCATGTACGCAGGAGAAATTCTACTTTATGAAGTGGTCGAATGACGTCTTCAGGGTAAGAATCATGATCAGTACGGCCTGACGATTCGGTTACAGATGCTAGGATCGTACAAAAAGACCAGGCTGTCTCATCTCAGATTTCAGATTTTCACGCCACGATAACCGCTGCGGGTCGCTCTAGGCTTTAAGCCGGAATCACTGTGCACTGACGCGTATTTCTGAGACTACTTAGCAAAACAATACCAATCCCTCTTCGCAGCCGAATATAAGGTTACACGCCAGGCCGGCGCCCTGGCTGTCGCGCATCGTGACAAGAAAACGATGTACAAGGCAGGGGAGAACCTATAGATGCCCAATAATAAATACTGCAGACTCCGGCACAGCCAGAAAATAAATTGGTGCAATGGTCTTTAGATACGCCTACTCTGCCTGTGTCAAACTTCATCATGAACGGGCAAAGACACTTCCTGAATCTTTGGCACTACCTGAATGCCTTGGCGGCATACAATGCACAGAAAAGCGCACAGCCATCGATGGGAGGGATAGACCCAGCGAATTCGGCGCGCAATAACAACTACGTGTCTGGATTACTTGGAAGGTGAACACCAAGCGAGAAAAAAGGAGCGCAGGAAAAGGTGGAGGCCGTATTTAGAACGGCACCAAGACCGGTGTATGCCCCGTTTGCCGCTGTTGTTAGTGAGCTGCCAATTTGCGCAATTCAAATCAGCGCCGTATAAGAAATTCTTGAGAGAAAATCTTCTTTCCAAATTATGCCCCTTCTAGAGACACCTGGCAAGACTTGTAAGGTACCAGAGCTACTCCGATCCCTCACAGCTGTAAGGTGCACAGTGCACCAAACTCTAGGAAATCTGAAGATGATTAGTATTAATCACAATATGATACCGTCCGATGCTGTTCCGGCGAGGCACTAGATTCTCCCAGAGGATCGACCAGAACCCAACAATCCGATCTTGCGTGTGTCTGGAATCTTGAACACGAACCCTTGTAGAAATGCTGAGAATCTCAGGTGAAAGAGAGTATCTAAGATCTCGAATCAATATTCTACACCCATTCATAGTCCGCACATCGCAACATGACTTCTATTGTACGACCCTGCAGCCTCAATATGCTTGAGATCATGACGGACCTCAATATATTACCCGCCACTCAGCATCTAAGACCAGACGACGAGCTTGACCTTATAGCTCGTGGCGTTATCACTCTTCAAGACGCAAAAGGCTTTTTCACTTTGTATCGCCAACGTCTCGATCGCTTCTTTTATAACATCCTGGAAGAACATGATTCACTGGCCAGCATCTGCAAAAGTTCTCCCTTCTTGACCGCCGCAGTCTGTGTTGTCAGCGCCTTTCACGATCTTTCGCCTCAATATCAAAACATGTCCCGGACATTTCGGCCAACTGGCATCTGTTAGGATATTTTCAAAAACAAATACGTCCGACGACATCCGTGGCCTTTGCATAGCCGCGTCTTGGCTAAGCGACATATCCTCTAATCTCACTGGAACAGGCAGGTTTCGCCACCACTCTCAGTCTATGAAATCAAATGCTGACTTGACGATGATGTAGCGGTTTGTCTTGCAGGTGAGCTAAGCCTCCATCGATACATACCGAACGCTCGGCATAAGAGAGGTTGCTATCGCAATACTCGCCTATTCTACCTTATATACGTGTGCGACCACCAGTTATCGATTACCCATGGAAGACCCCCCTTAACCTGGTACTTCGGCTCCATTATTTCTCCTAAAGAGTTGCTTAAATCCGAATATGTGACCTAGGTTGATGACGGACTCGTCAGTCAACTGGAAATTTGGTCCATAAGCACTCAAACCTTTGACCGATTTTACCTTGACCCCGAAGAAGATCTGTCAGATGGTTGGATTCCCCCAGTCCGCCGCCTACATATCGCCATAGAGACCTGGAAAACCGAATGGGGTGACCGACTCCTCATCAATGAATTTGAGGCCAACCACTCTCGCAAATCAATGCGTTTGCAATATCACTTTACGAAATTGTACCTGTGTTCCGTTGCATTTCGGAGGTTGGCTGGTGCCCAAGCAAAGATCCTCTGTCAGAACTTGATGTCAAAGAATTCGCAACCATTGCAATCCATTCCGCAACGTCAATCCTACAGGCATTCGTAACAGACAAGGAAATTCAATCTGATTTGTGCGGACTGCCCATATACTTCAACTATATGATTGCCTTTACGATTCTCTTCCTCTGTGAGACGATAACGAAGTATCCAGCCCATATGTCGATCAACCATGCTGAGCTCATTGATAAATTGGATAGGTTGGTTAAGGTTTTCAACAACAATAGGGCAAGCATGCATCTTCAGCATTCGTTGTCTGGCACTACGAACAGTATGCGACATTTAGTCGATCGACTGGAGGCCATTCGTGTTGAGCCAACCACCAATCAGACTGACCGCCTGACTACCGCAAACCTTCTCAGACCAAGTCACCAACGCTATACCTAAAAACTCAGCCCTGTGACTCAGCCTTGGCGCAATATGGCGTATTCCGGCGTTCTGCGCATAACCACCGTTACCTCAGTCCGAAGCCATAACCATGTTATCAACCATGACTAACCAAGTCTCCTCTTGGCTACATTGCATACCCATTTGTATATAGAGAGCTCAGTGAGCCCAAGTATCCATAGACACAGACAGACATCACCTCTCAAATTGGCATGTGGCACAACAGGACTACTGGAGGAGTATGCTTAGTAAAGCGCCGTATAACGGACTAATCAGATGATTGTACGGAATAATAAGCATTGTAAGGATTAATATTTACCCTTGTACCGTACAATGTACGGACTATTGGCGACGGATGTACGGATGAATTGCAGCCCCATAAAGCTTATCACAAGAGACAAATACTTGGCACTCAGTTGCGTCACACCTCGACCCTACTCAAGTTAGGCTTTGTGCTGCAGGCGGTTTTACTTTTATTCGAAGACTCAGGCGTCAGACCTGGTCCAAGAATGTGTTTGGCTGCGTAAATGGTCATCACGTGGTGTAGCGGCGGAAGAGATTGATTAACTGACTAATCTAGGAGGGAAAGACTGGCCGCTTATGTAGTCACCCGTAACTGAGTGCAAGGAGCGGGGAGTGCTAGGTAAGGCAAGTACTCCGACGCTAATACCACACGTTGAAGGTTGGATTCAAAATCGCGACACTGCAAACATCCTTGATCTATTCAACCTGCCGCAACTCTATTCAGTTCATCATGAAATCCCACGTCCTCATCCTCTGCACTGGAAATTCCTGCCGCAGCCACATGGCTGAAGGCATCCTCCGTGCCGCCGCCGGCAACCTCATCGACGTGCACAGCGCGGGTTCGAACCCCGCCGGCTTTGTCCACCCTAAGGCGATCGAGGTGCTGGAGGAGATCGGCATCGACATTTCCGCCCACACATCGAAGCACATGAACACATTTCTCGACCGCCAGATTGCGACCGTCATCACTGTCTGTGGCAACGCCGACCAGGTGTGCCCCATCTTTCCCGGGCAGTTGAATCGCCATCACTGGGGCTTCGATGATCCCGCCCACGCCATAGGCAGTGAGGAGCAGGTGCTGGAGGAGTTCCGCCGCGTCCGGGACGAGATACGCAAGGTGTTTGAAGCATACGCCGCCGGGCTGCGCGAAGGCGCAAGCGCCAAAGACTGACCGGCGACGCTTTGCAGCACGCGAGCCTAGGCTTGCATTACCGCGTAACGCCTTATCAATCAAATGTTAGGATATTGAGCTCCTCGGTCCAGTATCTAAATCATATCTGCCTACAATGCGGTCTGTTTTCTTTTCATTCTTGCTCGTTGGCTGCAGCTCTCCCGGCACCGCAGGCTACCAATTTTGGGGGGGCCAGCCATTACCGCTCGCGAGTCACCATCTTTTTCTGTGGTTACTACAACCAGCCTGCCTGCGCACGAAATTGTGTTGGCAGCGCCCAGAACGGAATCCAATGTACAAACGCAAACCGCTTCTGCATTCAGATAAACGCCGGTTTGGAATTCGTCTCCAGCTGCGTACTGAATGCTTGCTGTTCAAGTCGACTACGGCTTTTGTCCAACGTTGTTTATAATCCTCTTTTTTTGGAAGCATATTCTTTGCTGCTCGAATTTAAGCCGGATAGGCCGAGTCACCATTTCGTGTAATGCCGCTCTGTCGGAGTAGCCTTCGCCCTCATTTTCAGCGCATATTTGAAGACGGGAGCGTTCGCCGCAGAGGCACACCAGAAGCGCACGTTTCTCGACAGACCCAGCTAGGACAAATCGCTCCAGCGCTCTCACGCGACCCCCCAACGTGATCAAATCCAACTCTTTCGTGCAATGAATGGCTGAAAACGAGTCCCGGACTTGTTCGAATGGGTGCGGGCCGGCGATGTGGTAAAAGAGTCGCGTCAGATACCGGAGTCTAGAGGTTTGAGATGCGTACTTGCCAGCTCGTGCCATCAGTGCCTCATATATTTCATCAGGACACGCAACTTTCTCCACGATTCGATCTAGGCTGGTCCACTCCGTACCAGCCCGCTTCCGTTTTTCGGAATTAACACTACTCTGGTTAGGTTGCAAAGGTAGTGAACAAGGTCTATTTTGTCGAGCATCGGTGGTAGATTCACCATCTACATCGTCAACGATGTCTGCCGTGATCAGCTCTTAGATACGTCTGAGGGGATGTTCCACGTGCTCGGTCAAATCTGCAGAATTTGTATGTACCGTGGCACGAGCAGTGCGAGCAACGGAATGGGATTTAAACCTCTGTCGCCCTTACCGAAATGGTGGTCTTGTGGCTCTGCTCGATAGTCATCAGCACGCGCCATGTGTGCAATTTCTCGGCGTGCATCTAGGCTGTCAGCTTCATGCAGGTCTAAGTCTGTATGAGGTTTTCGGTGCTGAGGCTGGCTTACAGGGCTGGAGGAAATTGCTGCGTTGGCGTCTCGCGATAATACTTGGAAACATCAAAAAATTAGAAAGTAGGACTAATGATCAAGGGAGGAACACCCGATGCGGTCTCCGGACTGTCCAACACTTGGTTGGGGGAAAGCAACGGGGGATCTTGATTGATGGCAGAGACATCGTTTGGAGATCTCGACGATGACCGACTGGGTAAAGCTTGCCTCATTGCTGTGCTGTTGGCTCAACAGGTTCAGCATTTAGCAGCGGAGCAAATGTACATGTTGACTCTGGCTGGGTATGAGAAGGCGCTGGGAGCGGATCACCCGTCGACACTGGACACGGTCAATAATCTCGGTCTGCTATACGCTGACCGAGGCAAGCTGGACGAGGCGGAGAAGATGTACCAGCGAGCACTGGCTGGGAAGGAGAAGTCGCTGGGAGCGGATCACACTTCGACACTAAACACGGTCAACAATCTCGGGATACTATATCGTGACCAAGGCAAGTTGAATGAAGCGAAAAGATGTACCAGCGAGCGCTAAGCCGGTGAACCGTTCTGCTCGATTGAAACGACTGCGGAAGATGTCATAGTTCTTGTCTGGCTGTCGCTTCGCCAATAACCACCTGAACTGCCGCCCGCGCATCGGGTTGCAAGAGAAACCGCCTAAAGTCACGCTCAGGCTGCGATTGCCGGCTCAAAAGCGAGCTGCAATGAAGAAGAACAAGGGAAGGAAAATTAAGACGGGAAGGAACGGCATTCGACAGGGAAAGGGCAAGAACAGAATCGAGAGTGCGAGGGCGAAGAAGGGAAAGAGATGAGTGACGCAGATTGATTGAGAGCCACCATGAATGGGTTGACGTGAATTACCTTGTTGCTGCTTGTCCCTTTGTTATTGTACTGTATCGGCATGGATGTTAATGTTGAGTAAACAAATACCAAGTTGGCTGGTCCACTCTATGGGCGATCGCAACTGTTCCGCGTGATCTGCTTTTTGCCTTCCCGCGATCGCTTGAATCACGTGTGTGGCCTGCGACCGCCGGTTCGTTTGTCGAGGTGCAGCAACAAACACGCCAAGAAGGAAGCGTGCTCCATACATTTATGCACATGACTCAGCCTTGGCATTCTTTGTCCATTTGTAACAGCAAAACTGTTGGCCGATTGCCTCATCGCCAACAATCCAACCGGTGTGGCCGTTTTTGCGAACTTGACCTTAATCTCGCTTAACCTCTGCCCTTGTGATCTGTTGTCAATATGGCCAGGACTGGTGCATTCTCACGGCGTTCTTGAGTCCCACATTGATTTTTCTGATGAGTTGAAATCTCCCTAGCTGAACGGGTTGCCACGTGGAACAAGGCTGAAGGTGGAGGGTTGATGGACAGCGAGGCGATGCAAAAAGGTTGGTGAATTCGAGGATTACAGCACCAAATCGTCGTGTGGAGCAACCGAACTTGAAGTTCCGCGTGCATGGCCGGAAGATGAGCCAACTTTGTGCTACACCCTCCCGATCGAAGAGGAACAGCGTGCCGACATAACATCATACTTCGGAAAGTATGTTCATCAATGGCAGGGCTCAAAGAGTCATGTTTCAATTCCGCATCGAATTGGAGAAATGAGGAGTGACAAAGTCGAAGAGGGGTGGAAGATCAGTACAGTATCACTGCCCTTTTCGGGTTGCGAAGATTTCTGACCCTCAATTTTGACTCTGAAAGATTCCTCGAGGTTACGCCTGATCTTTACGAAGTGCGCAATTTGTGCGTTTTTTTTCTTGGGGCCGTAGGTGCAGTCATGGCGATCCTCATGCTGACCCCTAAAAGTGTAACCTCGCAGATCTGCAGGGATGGGGAGCAAGGGCTAAACCTTTTCACTACCTCAATCCACTCAACGCTTTTATAAGGTTCATAGCTACGAATAGGTCAAGTCCTCGTACATTTCACTTTAGCACAAAATAAGAGGATTTTGTAGTCATCGATCGCATAGATTGGCCCTTTCAGGAAGTTGCACTGTTATATACTCCTCTCATAGTTTCTCCACCCCCCCAAACACCAGTGTTAGCTGTGGTACAGGCAACGTATCAAGGGTGAAGCTCGGGCGTCGTTCAAATCTATGCCACCCAGCCTGTGTCTCGGTTATCAGTTAGGCATGGTCAGCCGATGTGCCCACCACTTTTCGTAGTCGAACGAAATGACCTAGAGCCGTGATGAAGACTGATCCTCGGGGTTCCAGCGGAAGGATTATTCATGACACACCTTCAAAGAAACTTGTTTCCATAAGATGTTTCGTTTGGTCATGCTTTCCGATTTGTTATTGATGTAAAATGACCACTTATCCTTTCTCTACAGTGTTGTTTCTTTTGCTGCTTGAAAACCCAAGACCGGCAGTCGCGTCCTCAGGAGCAGACTGCTGGTCACAACACTGATGCTGCTCAAAGCCATAGCAAATGCCGCCCAAACAGGGTCCAGCCGGATGTGGCTGCCGCCACTTTGTATTGGATATAGGACGCCCGCAGCGATAGGGAGCGCTAACATGTTGTAGACAGCGGCCCAGAAAAAGTTGAATTTGATCCTCCTGAATACCGTTCGACTAAGATCGATAAGAATAAGTAACGAGATGAGGTTTGATGAGATGAGGTTTGATGAGATGAGGATGAAATCCGCTGACGAGATGGCCACTTCAGAGCCGGAGCCAATGGCTATGCCAACATCTGCCGTAGTCAGAGCAGGAGAGTCGTTGATTCCGTCCCCAACCATGGCAGCCACGGTGTGCGAGCGCTTCTCATCTTTTGCCCCGGCCCTCTGCAGGTATTGAATTTTCTCCGCTTTCTGTTCTGGAAGGACGCCAGCGATGACATTAGGCACCTCGATCCCAACTTTGCTGGCGACTGCCCGGGCGGTCTTCGCGTTATCTCCTGAAATCATCCAGACGTCTATTCCTCGTTTGCGTAACGACTTCACGACCTGGATGGATTCTGGCCGCAGTGGGTCTGAAGTGGCGGCGATAGCCGACAATGAGAAAGGGGAGAAACCTCCATCGCCGTCGGAAGTGACAGCAGTGGCAACCAGGATAACTGACTTGCCTTGCATTTTCCATGAGCCAAGCTTCTCTTGGCTGTCAGAGGACAGAACGACATCGTTGTCGAACATTAAGGCTTCGTTGCCGACCAACGCCATGAACTTACGCTGGGGTTGTGATGCCGCGACAACAAGGCCGCGCATGCCTTTGCCGCCAATTTCCTCCACTTCCTCAGCATCGAAATTCGCAAACGTTCTCGACACAGAAAAGGCGACGGCAGCCTTGACAAGCGGATGACTGCTGTCTTCCTCGAGACGCTTGAGGATACCCAGTACGTCCGACTCATTGAGAGAGTCGTTGTTGTCTGCAGAAACCTCGAACTCTGTGACCTTGGGCTCTCCACCTTCCGTCAGAGTGCCGGTTTTATCAAAGGCAATGCAGTCCAATGTGCTGGCTTCCTGGAATGCCTCTCCTCCTCCCTTGACAAGAATGCCCAACTTCGCTGCCAGACCGCCTCCGACAAACAACGCCGTAGGGGCTGCCAGTCCGAGACCACAAGGACAAGCGATCACGAATACAGCGATAGCAAACTGAAGCGACCAAAAAGGCCAGCCTCCGACATCGGTGTCCCGATAGCTGGAAGGCAGGACTCCAGATTCGCCCAGAGAAAGCCAGATGATCCATGTTGCGATTACCACCAATACCACAAATGGAACAAAGTAGCCGGTCAGGAGATCCGCGAGCCTCTCGACAGGAGCACGCTTGGTTTGTCCTTCACGAACAACTTCTATAATTGCATCCAGCATCGACTTCCCGGCAACGCCAGTAATTCGAATGGTTACTGGAGCGACCTTGTTGATAGTACCGCAGTACACAGGCTCCCCCACTTCTTTGGTGACGAGCATGGACTCTCCAGTCAGACTGGATTCGTCGAACTTTGACTTTCCTTCCAGAACGACTCCATCACAAGGAGGAGAACTGCCATTGACGACCCTGACGATATCACCTGCTTCGATCAAATCGACGTAGACCGGGGATGTTGAAGATTGTCCACTTGTGCTGTCTGTTGAGACTAGCAGAGCTTCCGTCGACTTTAGCTTCGTCAGGGCCGCTACGGCATCGCCAGCTTGTGCCTTCATATATGCTTCGATATATCTGCCGATAAGGAGAAAAAGAGTCAAGAAGACCACTGAATCGAAATAGGACATGCCTGACCCACTCCCTTCCATGGACCCGTCCGCTGGCATAGCTGAGGTACGCGTTGCGGCAATGATGAGTTCTGCGATCGACGCAAAGTACGCGATGGATGTTCCAAAAGAGATTAGCATGTTCATACTGCCGAACCGATAAAATCTCCTGAAAATAGGAACTTGACTTCCCGGCCTCCACAGCGCGCGTAACTCCTTGTATGTGCGCCGGTGGAAAAGATTTGCGGCGAAGAAGTAAACGGGAGTGGCCATAATGCAATTAGCCCACTCGGCACGTGTAACCCCCGCGAGCTCAGCCATGAGATATTTATACCCCGAATTGTCATGGGGACGAGATTCATGTAGACAATACCGATGATAAAGGCAGGAATAGTCACGACAGCAGATAAGCCAACGCGATATAGGATATGGCGCTGTTCTCGTGCCATCATCTTTCTGGACCGCTCTTCAAGCGTTGGGGAGTGGTGAATCGAGACTTCGAAAGAAGGATCAGTGTCCTTCACTGCTGATAACAATGTCCTCACTGTGAAGTGCGGTGGGTTTGGGGTGTATGACACCGTCAAGATAGGATTTTTCAAAATTGGCATGGTCTCGATGGTCACCGACTTGGCGCGCTTCATTGCCTGTACGACGCGATCGGGACACTGCCTGCAATGCATCCCGTTAATGCGAACTGAAATTGTGCGGTCCGAACCTGTTTCGGAGTGGGACTCAGCGGTAGACAACGTGTCGAGTCTGGCGCCGTAGCCAACCCCTTCAATGGTGGTGGCGATGTCGTCGACATGACCCTTGCCTGCAAAGTAAACCGAGGCAGCATGGTTGATTAGGCTCACGTCTGCTTTCGAGACGTAATCCAAGTCTCGAAGAGCCCTTGTGACGTTACCGACGCAGGAACTGCAAGTCATGCCGTCTATAGCGTACGTCGCATGCCACAAGTCGGCAAGGGCGCTTTTGTTGGGTGGTCGAGATGCAAAGTATTCTCGAACCGCGTCAAGGGACGCCGAGTAACCAACATCTTCGATCGCATCGATAATCTCTTTGACACGATGTTGCACGTCTTCCCCATCAAATATCACCACGGCGCTGTGAGTGATGAGACTAACATCGGCCGATCGGACCCAGACACGCTCGTTGAGTGCTCCGGTGATGGCACCGACACATGAGCTACAGGTCATGCCTTCCACCATAAAGTTGGCTTTGAACTGCTTGGGTACGTCTGAGAGATGGTCGACAACAAGCGAAAAACTCTCAACCTCTTCTGTCGCACTTTTTGAACTCGGCTGACATTGTTGGCAGTGCTCGAGGTGGCGGCTTCTCTTGTCCGCGTCGACCTCGCCGATATGGGAACGCCATTGGGAAAGAGCGTATTCAAATGATGGTGGCTCAAGGGCTTGGTGCAAGTTGGATGGCAGGTCTCGTTGTGACGAGGTTGGATCTGGGACAAGGTCAAAGATGTCATAACCGACATCATCGAGAGCATGGGCGATGGTGGTGACGGCAAGCGAGCGTGAATGCCTCACTGTGACCGTGTGCGAGACAATTGACACCTGAACCCGATCCGGCGCAGGTCGCAGCCTGGAAAAGATGGATTCGATGTGCGACGCACAAGTCGGGCAGTGCAGGTTGGAGATGAGAAAGGTGGTCTGCATCAATAGACCACCCAAGGGGTTTCGGCGACCCAGGTACTTCATCTTTGAATTGTGAGGAGATTGGCACGTCTGGAAGAACTGGACGAGAAAACGCATTCGACGAGTTGATGTGGCGGCCATATCGTTGGGTCTGGAGACCCTCTTATGTTTGCATATTGGGGTAGCCGGTTGCTCCCCCTCCCAGGCGTAGAGGGAGCCAAATGCCGATGCGCGCTTTTCGCGTAAAGGTGACTCAAGCTCCTGGAGGCAGGGGACAGGCCGGCGTTAATATCGCACGCTCAGCTTGGGGAGTCGATCGTCGCCGAAGGGCCTTGGTGCTACCCATAGTCACCAGTGAACGCTTCTCCATCGCCCAAGCGCCGAAGATGGTGAACCACATCCCGAAAACTAAAACAGACCCTCCGCAGGAGACGATTCGAGCTTCAAAGCTCCCAAGGTCATCCATCATCAACTAGCGTTCATACTGCGTTTAGCTGCCGTATGTCTTGAATCGAAACAAGGCTGACTAAAACATGGGCGCATAAAGGCCTCAAGAAGATCCATGGCTGTAGCATTGTGGCCAAGAACAACCCTTTCCTACCCAACGGAACAACGCCCCTGTTTCTCAGCCCTTCAATACTCGTGTTCTCGAGTAAGCGAATATACTCTCTCTTTTCGGCCTGCCATCTGCAGCCTGTCTTGCACGCAATGATGGGCTTCATGAGTCGCCAAAATCATATAAAGACCCGATGAGACCAACGAGAGCATCCCGTGATTCAACACGGTTCCTGGTTTAGGACTGTGAAGGCCGACCTATAAACCGCTACATCCGCTCTCGCATTCGCCTTCCCAATCCGTCAAAAACATACACCATAAAAGATGGAAGAGGATAATGGTCGACAGGTAAAGACCGAAATTGCGCAGACATGACCAGCACGTCACTGCGCGACCCTTCATCTCAAGGAATGATCCAGAGAAAACTCTAGTCGCTTCAGCACAGGCCGAGCGTGAGATATTTCACAATCTGTCTAAGCGGTGCCGTTTCGGTGAGCGCAGCTGGACAGGAACTCTCCCAGAAATGTTCCAACTAGCAACGCGATCATGTACCCAGCGTTAAGGGTCATCACTGCGAGCATACTACCATTCGAGAAGGGTCAGTTAAGGTCCGAGAAGTTGTCTTGTGGTTGAACCTACACTAGGAAGCCGAGGGCCGCATCCAACACCTTTAGACCACTTTCGAGGAGAGCACGAACGATGAATCGTGACATGAATCGGCTGCTCGGCTGCACATCCTCCGCTATTTCAACGCAACTACCAATCTTCGATGCCTGTCCCTCGTCATCTGCAGGCTGAGCGTGGTGCAAGTTTTGGGCGGCCTTTGTCTCGACGACCATCAGAAGCCGCTGGCCGAAAATTCAACATCATCAGGAACAACATGACTGCCACATATCCGGAAGCCTGTGTCGGCGTGAGAAGGCCGGCGAAGAAGAGGTCTCCAAGGCCAAAGTGAATGAAGGATGACATTCCCTGCATTTGCATGTCGGCCGGCGGCATGATGTCACTTTGCAAGGCTTCAGGAATGGTTGGAGTGAGGCTCGCAGCTGTTGCCAGCACAGTAGCCGTAGGGGTTGCCGCCCCTGAAGTACTTATCATGGCCATGCTCATTCCCTCCATGACTGAGAAATGACGCGTGCTGCCGAGAATCAGGGAACTGAAGATTACTGCGCGAGGAAAGAGACCAACAAAAGGATAATGAAGCTGGGGAAAAAGCGAAAAGAGTGAGAGAATGCGTTCTGGACAGTGGGTCAAGTGTTGACATCCATAGGGGCAGGTCACTGTCCACAGCACATAATAGGACAGGGGAAAACTCCTATGCTCTTGGCGGGGCTGACATGTTTGAGATCACCCTGAGCACCCTGAGACAACACCTGCTGTACACGGAGAGCCGCTTGGAGCCAGCAGATGGCCGGCGCTTGGGCTCTCTCAGCCCCGAGGTGGCTGTGAGGCTCACGACGACCCTGCCATGTCATCCACAAAACAATAGATGTGGGTAGTTAGGGGCTCCGAGACAGTCTACTCCTCGTCACAGTAGATCCGTGCACATTTTCGTCTCCAACGCATTTCAAATACTATCTAACCAATAGCTCAGGAATCAGACAGCCGCTCTGGGCTATGTGGAGGATATGTTCCGTGCACTGCGATGGGAGGCTGCTAGATTTGGTTGTAACCGGCAGTCAAGGCTGGGCGGTCTTTGCACTTTCTGTCGCCTATGGCGTTACTTGGCAGACATGATGTGTCTATATGTTGAAGCTTGCTATCTCGATTGCCCATTCATTGCCAGAGGAGACCAGGAAGTAAAATTGCAGAACGAGTGATCACGACGGTCTCATGAGCTTGGTTTTACAATACTTGTACCAAAGAGACATGTTGCTCACGCCTTTGGAAATTCATTCAGCATACAGTCAGTCCAATGTTGTAGTCAAACGATTGTGAAGTATTCCTTATATCGGTTGCTTCGGGGTGTTTTGAAGTCGTCTCAACAAGATCTAGGTCCGCACGTTGATCGTCCCCCAGTAGGCAGTATCCACTCAGAGTACCCCAGTCCGCAGATCTTCCATGCTTGCTGCTCGACAGGAGGTTTCCAGTCTCTCAAGCTTTCCAGCCATAGATACGTAGCACTGAAAATGGTCTTTTCGCCTCCTAACATTCTCCATGTTCTGCCAATGTCGACCTAGTTTGCTTTGTTTTCTTCTCCATCCGATATCACCTCTCCACCTTGCACCTCCTTTCCTGATGCCTGAATCGCTTGGGAGATGGCCTTGAAGGTCACGCCATCATCTGTAACCACTGTGACAGACTGTGCTTCGACGGAGGAGTCAACGGCCTTCTCGCCTGGTACGCCAATGGCGGAGCGCTTGACGGAGGTAGCGCAGCCTTGCATTCGTAAGTTCATATTACAGTGACGAGAGATAGCTCTTCATTGACCTCCGCAGGACATTCGGACGTGGTAGCGGTATGTACGAGGCATCTTGCTTTGGGACGTCTAATGTGTTTGAATGTGAAAACTAGGATGAACTGGCTCACAAGAAAGGGACATCACGAGCACTCTTGTAGGATAGCAGAGTCCGGCGATCGAGCAAAAACTACGCACTTAGGTAACGTCTCTGAGCGTAATTTGAGGGTCTTTTGCGTGAAAAGACATCCCACCCAACCACCACACGCCACACAAGAGGTAAATGCAGCTGAAACAGAAAGAGCTCCTGAAAAAGCTACGTGTGTAAGTGAACGGCACAAATCCCTCAGGGACCGATTACGAGGCCGAATCGATTCCATAGTTCTCGGACCCGACGAGGTTGGGAGAAGATGCAGAGCTAAAGCCTATTAAAACTACCTCGACTACTGTTTCTGAACGCTGCTTCCTCTGCTCACATTTAGCCATCGTCAATCCAATTATCAATTTGCATCTAACTTTGCAATTTCACACCTATTGTCATCATTACTTAGCACGATGGATTTCCTCAAAATTGCTGGGAAATTAGCTGGTGGTAAACCAGGCCAGGATCAGACCCAAGGTTCCGGCAGTTCAGGTTTGATGCATAAGATTACGGACGCAGTCACTGGACAAAATCACCCCGGAGAGAAACAAAATCAACGACCCTACGGTATGCGATGGCCTCTTGCAGCCTCTTCAGACGGTCCTATTGACATACATATGTGATAGTTAGCTTTCCTGGCAACATGAGTGGCCCAGGAGCTTACCAAAACATGCAGCACTCTGGAAATCCAACGGGTCATTATCAGCCAAGTGGTGGATATGGGTAGATGGGTGGCCCTTCCCCAGGCAATCACCAGGGTCGTCCTGCTGAAGCCCATTCGGGATCCTATGATCCTAGGTATCCAGGTAGAGATCAGCACTATGGGGTTCTGGAGGTCCTCCGCCAATGTATGGCAGCCCTCCACAGAACCAGGCACCTTACTACGGAGCGCAGGACGGCCATGGTAATCAACCGGGCGCCTATGGCCAACATGGCTACGAGCGTCGCGACGAGCATAATTATGGTGCTGGGGGACATGGTTATGAGCAACGTGAGCATGACCAGCATGACGGCAGGCCAACCGGACATGACCAACAAGGATACGGTCAGCATGGCAACAACCCCTCTGCGTACGAGCAACAAGGCAACAATTCTTAAGGGTATCAGCAGCATGGCAACAGCTCTCACGGATACGAGCAACGCCCATATGGTCAGCATGGGCACGGCCAACATTGATTTCACTCGTACAAGGTCCACTTATGTCTTGAGGACCTTGATTCACCCAACGTCCGAGCTGTTTACCTGTCCAGTTGATTTGGCACAACTGCATCTGAACAGAGACGCTGTATCAGCGGCTGATCGTGCGATTCGTCGCTTCGTCGTCTCAGTGCTCTGGCTACTTCGAGATGAAACAGTGTATTGATTCGAGATGTCAGTTTAGCTAGCCTAAAGTTCCATTCATTCAAAATTAAGGCGAACATGTTGAAGCACCTGTATTGTGCTTCCGTAACCCATTTGTAACCTCAAAGGAACCCAACAAGCTACGAATATACCAGCAGATGTTCAATGATGCTTGTGGACTCAAGATCACGATAGTGCTGCGCGGTGCGCGTTCCCGTGTGCGGACGTCCTTTCGGCTGCGGATGCAAAGAATTCTGGTTGTATGGGAGCACTGTGTATCCCAAAAGCAGACAGACAATCTCGAATAGCGGACGCCAGTTGCATGTACTGTTCATGACTGTCCTTGATGACTTTGTAGTCGACTTCGATATGAACCGTCGCAATCACATTCGAATCGCTCAATTGCGAGACGTGCAACGCATGGCAATCCGCAATTCGAGGGAGAGTGTTGATGTCTTGCTTAATCTCGTCGATATTGATTCCTTCGGGAACGGCCTCGAGTGGGATTCGCGATGCCGCCGTACACAGTGGGATAGCCGTATGCAGGATGATGGCTGTGATGATCACGGACACAGCTGGGTCGGCATAGAAACGCCGGCTGAAATCGGTCAACCAGATATACAGGGCCGAAGCGATGACGCCGATATTGCCGACAGCGTCTCCAAGAACACGCCTGTCATATTCAGGTCGTGGCCTTTGCCTTTTCCTTTGTTGCGGTCCTGGCGAGGGTGGATATGATCGCGTGTGCAGATCCGTAGTTTCGGCCTGGCCTTCAGATGAAGCTCAGGCGACTGACCCGTGCGCAGTTCTGTATTTTCGTCCTGCTGCTCGCTACTACCAGGGACTGCGTGTGGCTGACCAGCAGCAATGATATCCGCGCGCAAAGCTGTCGGCTGCACGGAGATCTGCGACAGGGTTGTAGCCCGCCTAAGCCCACGTGCTTGTTGTGGCACCGAATGCACGTCTATTTCGTCCTGATCGAACAATGTGTTGGCTATATTGTTTGCCCCTGGTTCAGGTTCCTCATGCTCGTGTAGGAAGACCATGCCAGGGAAGTTCGAGGCCAGGCCAGTGCAGCCCACTATGAGGATCAATATCGGGTTGGAAACTCCTTAGGGTTCAGCGAAACGTTGGATTGCCTCGAGGAATATCGACATGCAGAGAGCAACGAGAAATACTCCGTTTATCAGTGCACCAAGCGTCTCAGCGCGTCGCCACTGTAATTATGGCGTCTCAGTTTGGTCACAATCTTGTAGACAGCAGGCGGAGAACATACCCCATAAGTGTAGACGTTAGTTGCCTCACGTCCTGTTGCGACGCGGATACCCCAGAGGCCGACCAGCAACGACAGGATGTCATTGAACTGAAGGAAATGGTCAACAAGAAACCTAGAGGCAGCTGTTTGGGATTGCAGACCATGTGGAAGGCATCGGCGACGAGTGCGAGGGAATGAACGCCGAGTCCTACCACGCTGGCCAGCTTGCGTGGCTGGGAAGCTGTCACGAGCTGGAAACTTGCCCACAGTCAAGTCTTGGACGTGCGGCTTGAAGCTCTGCGCCTGCTTGATCCAATTGGCAATATCGGTAATGGTGTTCTTCCCTGGCAAGCGAGATACGCGTGCTCTCAATTTTCCGCCCCTATTGACAGTGCCTGAGACGACGGGACTTCCAGCAGTTTTGAAAACAGGAACACTCTCGCCTGTGAGCATCGACTCATCTACCTCACTTGTGCCTTCAATCACTTCAGCATCGGCAACGATCTGTGAGTGCGATAATATCGCGATCTTGTCCCCATATTGAAGTAAACGGGCAACAATCTCAACGATTCGGTCTGTGTCCTGGTCAATAAGCATTGCTGCCGATGCTTGTAGAGACTCACTGCCACCCCCTTCACTGCTCGTTTACGAGCCCAAGCCGCAAGAAATCGACCATGCAGAGTCAACGTGATTAGCAGTGTACTAGTCTCGAAGAAGGGTCTGGTCGTCAACTCAATGCCGGCGAAGTAGAGTCCAGTGGCGACGATGGAATACACGTACGCAGCTGTAATGCTCCTCGTCGTCAACGAACAAGGGAATGCCATGATTATTGACTTCAGCAGACATGAATGTCGAGTGGGATGGGAGCCTCCAGATATCCTAGGGAGGATCTTCCGGACACTTGAGAAGAAGAGGAGGTGAACGATCAAATTCGACGACTGTGTGGATCACTTGTGGAACTCCGCGATCGGGAGGGGCATATCCTGCGGCAGGATCAGACTGTTCACTTTGTCCATTACTCCCGTGCGGGAATACCCTTTGAGTACGACACTCACCAATTCTCCTTACCTCGAGACTATCTGCCTTTCACAAACCGCTGTCGAAAACGATCTACTGTCTCAAATGTGCCTTCGCTACATGTCCTACGACGATATAATCGAAGAGAAAAGGATCACTAGTGAAGCCCTTCCTGAAAAGATAGATGATTACAGGTTTCTCGAATATGCGGCCAGTTTTTGGCATACTCAGGCTGAACAAAGCAAGGAATGGTCAGGTAGGCTTGTTGACCTTACCAATAAGTTTTTTGAACCGACGGGACGCCGGTGGATTCTATGGTCTACTATCTTTGACCAAAAAGAACTGGATTTGGAGAGAGATGTGGTAGCAGTCGATCTCGACCATGTCTGTCCACTTTACTACACTTCTTGGTTAGGATTCATGCATCCTTTACATCACCTGCAAAAGCAATTCAAAGGCCAAAACGCGACCTCATCTGTCTACAATGGTTCTCTCCACGCAGCATCTCGGAATGGTCATCTGGAGGTGGTCAAGTTCCTGGTCGAGCAGGCGGCGGATGTGAACACGAAGAACAATGACGGATGGAAGCCTCTTCACGCAGCGACCCAGAATGGTCATCTGGAGGTGGTTAAGTTCCTGTTCGAGCACGGTGCGGATGTGAATGCGAATGTAAAAGATGGATTGACAGCACTCCATCTGGCAGCGCAAAATGGTCATCTGGAGGTGGTCAAGTTCCTGGTCGAGCGGAACGAAGATGTGAATGCGACGAGAAAAGAGGGATGGACACCACTCCATTTAGCAGCCCGGAATGGTCACCTCGAGGTGGTCAAGTTCCTAGTCAAGCAGCAAGCGGAATTAAATACGAAGGCCAACTATGGATGGACACCTCTACACTCAGCAGCGATGAACAATCATCTTCAAGTAGTGAAGCTGGTGCTAGAGCTAGATGACGTTGACTCGAAATTCGAAAGATGATATGAGTCGGACACCACTGTCATGGGCCGCCGCTCGCGGACATGAGGAGATTGTGAAGCTTCTGCTTGCCAAAGACACCGTCGACCACAATTCTCAAGATATGTATGGCCAGATTCCGTTGTTACTGGCCGCAGGGAACGGCCACGAGGCAGTGGTGGAGCTTCTCCTCGCTAATAGCGCTACCCTCCCAGACTCCAAGGATAAATTCGGCCGAACACCGCTTTCTTGGGCCGCAAGGAGAGGAAATATTAATGCGGTTAAGCTCATACTTAGAAATTGTGAGCGTCATGGCATTGTCGTTCAGGAAAAAGACGTGGATATTGGGAGGCCTCCAGCAGCTGACCAAGAAAGCCGCATCTACTGCGGTATCTGTCTATGGTGGATCCCGAATATTAACTCTTATCACCACTGCGAAATCTGCGTCAATGGAGATTTCGATATTTGTGAAGATTGTATTGCAAGCGGAGCTCTCTGTTTGGATGGTTCTCACACGTTGGTAAAACGAATGATTGACGATGATAGCCTGCAGACACGAGGAGTGGCCGCCACCTTATGATCCGGCAATAATCTCTAGGGCTAGACATCCAACGAGCATATCTCCTGTGCTGTTCATGTTGTCGGATCTTTGCGAACATGATGCATGAAAGAAGGGGGTACAGAGGTCGGTAGCGACATCGAAGGTTTTCTGAGTTTCTGAGGATGGAGACTGCAATACACTGGTCAACTTCAGAGGGAGAGGTGCTGGGGAAGGAGCATCCCCACACGCCGAAGAGCATGAACAACCTCGCGATGGTGCTGATCGATCGATGCCAAGAACAGGAAGTGGCGAAGATTCAAGCGGAAGGTCGTTGCGGGGATGCTGAGAATTTTGGGGTTTGAGCATCCGGCCAGTCTGACATGAACACGCTGCTCGCCGTATGGGACACCAAGGCATGGAGGAAGGCTGAAGGGAAGAAGAGCTCCTTGAACCCGGCAAAAGAAGTGGACGCGAGCATTGGCAGGATATGAGAAAGCACTGGAACCTGACCATCCCGATACTCTTAGGGTAGTGCAAAATCTTGGTCTCCTGTATCACTACCGTGGCCAGATGGATGAGGCAGAGAAAGATGTGGACGCGAGCATTCGCAGGCTTCGAAAAGGGACTAGAACCAGACCATCCAACTACGTTGATGGAGGTGCAGAATCTTGGCATGTTGTACCACGGTCGTGGAGAGGTGAATGAAGCGGAGAAGATGTGGACGCGGGCACTGGCGAGATATGAGAAGGCCCTTGAACCCGATCATCCGGATACGCTGAGGGTGGTGCAGAATCTCGGCATGCTGTACCACGGTCGTAGGCAGATGGATGAAGCGGAGAAGATGTGGACTCGAGCACTGGTGGGATATGAGAAAGGCCTCGAACCCGATCTTCCAGTCATGCTAAGGTTAGTGCAGAGTCTTGGGGTGTTGTATCACAGCCAAGGGAAGACGGACGAAGCGGAGAAGAAGTGGACACGAGCATTGGAAACAATACTCCAAGAGGCTGCAGCAGTCGGTGAACATGATGCTGTCGATCTGATACTCGACCAAGGGGTAGATATGGGATTAAGCATCAAGACTGGGCAGACTTCGCTCCATATAGCAGTGCAGAATGGCTATGTGCAAGTCGCTAAATTCCTTGTGAAGCAGAGCGCAGAACTGCACAGGCGCGACAAAGACGGTTGGACACCACTCAGTATTGCTGCATTGGCTGGTCAGGAAGAAGTGACTCAGGTCCTACTCGACAACGTTGCCGATGGTCGTGTTCAGTAGCGTCAACGAATCATCTAACGAGAGCTGAGTAGGAGCGCACGGGCCACAACTCCGTCGATGTAGTTGTGGCGCGTGCACGCCCTAGCCAAGGGCAAATTATTGTCTGCTCGAAACAAGGACACAGAATAGTCTTTTACGCATAGAGGGTTCCCATTATCCCGGAGCCTCACTCTGAATCCGGCGATTGATTCCCACATTGAGAACTTCTCATTAAATGAAAGTGTCAGTCGAGAGATACATCTACGACTCTATATCATGAATTTCTGCTTCTCCCGGCTCCTGATTGTTCAAGTTTTAGCACCGAGGAGAACGTCAGTAGAGCGCTTAGGTGCTACAGCTAGAGTTAGTCTCGCAGCAGGAGAGATAGACCTGACGGACTTTGTTGATGAACAGCACCTTTTTCCCCTGGTTGTAGATCCGTTGGCTCAATCACAACTATCGTAGAGCTCTTGTAGCGTTTTCCTCAGATCATGTAGGCCATTTTCTTTTGCCAGCTTGATGAGATTCTCGTATACTTGGTTTTCTTGCTCATCTGTCATCTCCTCCTTGTCTCCATAGTAGTCATGCAGCTTCTGCCTTCCTTCTTCGAGCTTGTCTCGATGGGAAGCCTATCCAAGCCAGATTAGAAATACCAGTCATATGATTGCATTGGTGGAGGCCGTACCGCTCGGAGATCATCACTTGTGTTGTTGAACACCTCACAGATGGAACAAGAGCACGACATTGGTATCGAAATCAGCTTCATGCGGAAGGTATTTGTGAAAATGAGTGAAAGGCAATAGAGCTGAGAGACAGAAACTAGAGCAGGGAACGGGAAATGCCCTGCCTGGTACAACAAGCTACCAATATTTTGATTTCCTTCACGGTGCATTCGCTTGCCATAGCTTGACGGAATCATTGAACAAGTCGATATGGCTTGAAAGCATTAACCTATTCCTTTTATCCTTTTCGCGATTTCTTCATGGATGATTTCTTGCTAGCCCCGCACGCTCTGGCCGATCCTACTGGCGGGATTGGGATAATTTTACGCTGACCGGAAGACACCATGACAGGAAGAGACTGGCGTGACGTCCAGAATCATGCATCATATCTGTGCTGACCCCAATGAGTTGGCTAACCGGTGAAGAGATCCGATGAATGAATGGTAAGGTAGAAAGGATGCTATCAAGCGAATAGTCATGGTGCAGGACGACGGACTTTGTGGGACTCTGGTAAGTGGTGGAAAATTGACCGGACCCATGCTGAACCAGCTGGCATGGTCCCAATGATCCACTCACACGTAGCGACTCCGTGACCCCGCCCTCCGACGTGCCAAAAGTGCATGGGTGAAAGCGATGAGCAATCATATCGATCCAGGACTGTCTACTCTTCGCAATTTGCACCAACAAGGCAACCAACCGAAGCAGATACTGTCGGGGCCGGAATTCCTGCAGGGTATGCCATCAAGCACTGGGATCAAATAGAGAAGCTTATTATCCTATTGGGAAGTGTCTTCGATGCCAACTCGTTGGGCGAGTGGATCTATGACTGGACGGCCCCTCCGTCATGGCGCCTCTGCTCCTTTGGCTGACATGGTGGGGGAGTTTTTTCTACTTCTGATCAAACTTGCGGGCAAGATGAAGCGAGCCGCAGAGTGCGTCGACCGCATCCGTAACCCCGACAAACGCGAAACCTTCGAGGACTTCATTCTCAGGGGCCACAGGATATGGAACAAGTTCAAACATCTCATCAAAGACTGCGAATACCCTATGACCATGCCTTGATATTGATCGAGGCATGTTTCCAAGGTCGCTTAGACTTGGTCCACAGGCGGCCAAAAGCGGACCCGTCTTCGCGTACGAGGAGGAAGCCTCCCGCATTCGGCGTTGGGCCGATGGACGCCTAAACTTGGGTGCTGGGCGATCTTCTCATCTACTTGAGTGCGATCAGTGCAGCACAGCAATCCAACATTGCGCAAAGTGACGACCAGCCGGTACTGGTAGAACAGGATTCAGGAGACTGGCACCAACATCTCTATGGACCATTGGCGATATCTTTCCATCTCACCCCCGAGAGCCTGGTCAAGAAAGCAGGCTAAATTTATGAGCTATGAGGATGTTTTAGCGGAGCAAGGAAACCGAGATGCTAGGCTGGCCAATAAGCCTAGTCAAGCACAGCGAGGGCGCAAGCGCCAATCGACAACGTTAGTTCAAGTAACAACCGCAACGACCACGACTTGGTGAAGACGAGAAGGCCAACCGAGAAATTGAAGCGTTGGGACTGAAAGGTTACTGCTCTGTTCTACAGCCTTCGGTAGGGACGGGTACTCCACTGAAAAGCAATGGGCCGAAGCTTTGTCTCCAGAGAGAGGTACAGTAGTCTAATGTAAAATATATAGTATGGTATAGTATTGTGCCAAGGTCGTACAATATAGTATAAGGACAAAAAATGTCATATCACAGCAGGATTACTATCTCGCTTGGTTGTGGCTTCGAGTTAGCGAATTCGTTGTGAGGATCTTATCGCTGTCTGCCAAGACAAAGACTCTCGATATCTGTGTTGACCTGAAATTCACTTCTTTGGCTCGAGCGAATCCATCGTGGCAACTTGAATCGGGGCCGATTTGGTATCTTTTGAGTGTCATCGACTAGAGTAGGCTCTTCTGGTTCTTGAACCAGATGAGCAAGAAGTTTTGCTGATTCCAATTTGTCAGGATGATCCGCCCCGAGCTTGCTCTTCTGCAGCGCCACCACCTCCTCCGTCAGCGACAGTGCCTCGTCTCGTCGCCCGGCGTCGCTGTACTGATTCGCCAGATTGTGCATCGACCTCAACGTGTCGGGATGATCCGCCCCGAGCTTGCTCTTCTGCAGTGCCACCACCTCCTCCGTCAGAGGAAGGGCATCTGTCGTCCATCCGTTCTCCGCCAGGATGAAGGCTAAACTCGTCCACTGCTCCACTTTTTCCTCTTGGCTCCAATCAGCTGGCAGATCCCTGAGTCGAAGAAGCTCATGCAGATGAGACACCAACGACCGCCGAGCGTGTAGTCCTCACTCGCAAATTCTCAATTCACAGAAGTGGACAACAAGGTCAGAGCTCGTCGGTAGTTGAGCGGTCCCTCCTCATCCGCACATGTCCGTCCGCGACACCATGCATGCACCAGAGGATGGAGAGACACCGAAGTGTCCGTATTTCTCGTGCTCAGCGAAAAAGACGCCAGTAAGCTGATCGATGCTTGCACTGCTTGTCGATAGTCAAAAAGGTCCGAGATCGTGTCGTCCCACGGTAAGTAGTTGACGGCTTGAATGGGTTGCGGCTGCCATTCGTTGTAAAACATCTGAATAGGAATCTGGTCGTGGTGGTAGAAGCCAGGGAGACTTAGTAGCTAAGAGTGCGACGAGATACTGCATCTTGATATGACTCGATAGCGTCCACCGACACTTGCCACGTGGGGTACACCGAATGCTGGTAGTCCGTGCCCAGATGCTGCGGTACGTAGCGCAGTAAATTTCCTTGCCGTCTCTCGTAAATGTCGAGGTAGTCGTGAAATGAGCACGACGTCTCCCGAATATACGCGCCTGCCTGCACAATCGCGAGCGCAAGGCGGCCAAGTACGTCCACGATCACCTTGCTTTCTTCCCCGAGATCTGGTGATGGTGTCCTTGTGCCATAGATTACCTTGCCCAGCAGCATTAACGAATCATCAAGCGAGAGGCCCCCAACTTGTCGGGAGCCTACGGTGCTGTAGTGTTGACATTGAGGATTGCGGCTCGTGATGATGATGACGTCGCCTCGATTCCCGGCCGGCAAGTACGAGGTGAGCTGGAGACGAGGGTCATCGGCATCATCAAACACAAGGAGCCAGGCGTCGGAGGCGTGAACCAACCGTCGTTTGACGCTGTCGACATTCTCCTCGACTTGGAAGAGGAGTGCGGTTGCATGAAAGACTTCTGATACTCTCCTCCGTACTGGCGTCGACCCAGAAGATGCCCCAATATCTGATTTTACGTATCGTGTCAGGAAGCGAATGCTGGTGTGATCTGAGTAGGTCAACCACCTCTCCCGCTGATCCTGCACGTACTTGAGACAGATCTGAGTCTTGCCCGATCCTCCCAGCCCAAAGATTACATATAGCCGTTGGTGCTGTCTCAGCGAGGACAGTCCTGTGGCTAACGATGTGGTGAGGTGTTGGAGGTCGTTATCACGGCCCGTAAACACCGGGCTCAACAGATGAGGGACTTCAAAATGTGTACTGTATGAAACTGAGATAGCATTTAACCTCTGCTGACTCTTCTTTCTCGTCTAGGTTACTGAGACATATCCAAACGCTCGTTCGCAATGTGCCCGTGGTTGATTCTTCATCCTCTTGATTCTCTTGTACACCCTCTCAAAGGTCACATCCTGGTCGGTCTCGAATTTGCACATTGCACTATGGTCCGCATCGACCGGAATCTGTTCTTCGTAGTTCGTCTCAATAGCACATTGATTGTTATGGTTATCTCTGATAAGATGGAAAAGAAGAGAAGAGAAGAGGTGTACCAAATAAGCTATTCCCAAGTGTATCATCTGTGATAGGAGGTTGGAGCCTATAAATGTCGGGAGGAGTCCTCGATACAGGTTACCTCCGATTTGGTTCTTCGACCCCATATTTTCTCCCATTTAGCTTCCCACTTCACATCCCACTGGCTGATTTTTATCTCTGCTGGTATATTCAATATATAACCATGTTGAGCACCTTCCTGTCGGACTTGAAAGTAGACTTTCTCGTTGAGATCCCCGAAATTCGTAAGATGCTCGTCGGCTAGCCAAGTGAGATTGTCTTGCCTAAACAAATACCATAATGTAAAGGATGGCTTAGCGGTTTGGTCCTCACACACCTCAACCCTCATAATCTTGCCAGGCACTGTCGCCGTTGGATTCTCACAGAGTGCCTCGCCATCGTCCACAGTCATTGGCACAACCCTATAAATAAGTGCGTCCCCATCCTTGACTCGGCGGAGTATAGTCAAGAAGAATTCGTTCCCCCGGATCAGATGATCCATATCACTCTTCTCGAGACGATGCGACCGCAACCGCGTCAGCTCCAGCTCCACGAGCTCGTCGACCAAGGTTGCCAAGGGGAGATATTCATTGTCGAGCTGCTGCGAGATGTACAGCATAAGCGCCAGTGAGAGGACTTGCTTCGGTTAGATTGAGAAATGTTTCCGAAAAATCGGAAACCACTGATCATCACAAATGATTGCAGTCAACTCCTGATCTGCAGAGATGCAAAAGTCCACGTCCCCAAGATCCGATTCATAGGTGGTGACGTGGGCATAGGGCACCCATTCGTCAACTGGAAGTATTTGCTGATCATCCATTAAGCAACTACTAGTCGAATTATTGCTGGTATGAGCTATAGGAGAGCGTGGAAGTTCCACGCGCTTATGGCCTCCGGAGCTGACAGGGTTGACCATCTTCGTCCTGGTTTTTCTAGTCCAGTAAGGTCGCCGTCTTGCCGTTGCACGGGTTAGATCCTCGTACCTTTAAACCCAGACGCTCAAAACAGCTCGGAAAAGATCGCATTCTAGGTGTTGAGAGGTTTCGGGGACGGGGTCGAAGGGGTTGTATACGTGTAGATGGGGAAAAGCGGAGACAGAAAGAAAAGGGTAGCGCCTCGCAGTATATTTGATCCTTCGTCCATTACAATGTGGGCCGTGTCATTGTGCCAACCCGATACATATGAGGCTGGGGGCACCGCCAAGTCGACCTTGCGTGATGATTAGCCATGGATCGGACACAAAAGCGGTGTGACGATGCCTGGGTTGAGGGTGCGGTACTGGTCTGGTCTCCACGGTGTGCGAGTAGGCACGCAGCCAGCCGCATATAGAAACAGGGTGGAGTACCCAGCCTGATGTGGGTTTCCGCGTGGCGTTACAATTCTGCAACTCACGACGACGATTACAACGCTGTTATATTGCCTTTGAGGCAACCACCTTTAGAAGTTAGGGCCAGGCTCGCTAGTAGGATGGAAGAAAAGTTGATGTGACTGCTAGATCAACAAGGCTTCCTGTTCGAATTTCCCTACGTGAATTACAATAGCTGTAAACAAAGGAGTTCTGGCCTGCTCTAATTGAGTTGGTATAAGTCTGTTGAGGGCTCTGGATCGGAAAGGCCCCTGACTTCGTGTCGGCTCAGTACGCTTGGATTTGTGGGGAGTCGATTTGATTTTGAGCTTGCCGCCAAATGACCTGTAAGTACGAGAAATATACAGAGGAGCCTGTCCAGTCTGGGTGTTGTCGCATCGAATATAAGTTAGACCTCTACAACGCCCTCACAGCAGGTAAATCTTGAAGCAATTTCAAGCATGCTGTAATTACTTTAAAAATACTATAAACATTATATGTAGTAAACACTATAGTATAGTAAATACTATAGTAGATGGCAGCTCCAAGCATGATGGTGTCGTCCTGCCGCTCGATAACGCATCTGTCGTCATTGAGAACAGGAATAGTGTCGAAATTGAGGTGGTCGATTGTGGTTGCTGACAGCGTAGGAGAGGAAACTAAAGATGAGATCTTGTACGGTGTGCTGTCGTTCGGGACCCAGACAGCGAAAAGGTTTGCCGCACTTCCCAGGACTATCCCAATATCTACCTCGCGCTCGACGACGTGACTGGGTTAGATCTGTATGCCTATGCTGACTCCTGCGGAAAAGACCAAAGCCACCGTAGACTTATGTATAGGACCGAATATGGTTCTGCAATGAATGGTTTGATATACATTTGGAAAGCATTAGAGTCCACTTTAGAGATAACAGCAGATACAATATAGTATTTAGACTTGGTCATAAACAGGTTTCGTCCAAAGCTACCAACATCTGAGGCCTATGCCCGCGAACTTCATGGGTGCGCAAAAACCCCTCTAAATGTGGTTGTCTCTTTCACCTTCCCATGTTATCGTCGACATCAAGCCGAGTTTTTCTGATTAGCTCGCCTTTTGCCTCCCTGGAGGGTCACTGTACACATCCTCGTTCGAGGACGGGACGCTGTGAGCAGGTTCTGCATGACCGGCCACTCTTTAGAAGTGACAAAGCTCGTCCGTAAGATATTCTAGATCGACCTTCTCAGCCAGGACGAACCCACCCGACCGTGGTGCAGCATAAGTTGAGCGTGAATAGCCGGGCCATCGAATTCACAGGTAAACCACTAGTGGATCCGCTGTGTTCTTGAGAATTACGACCCGGAGTGGCTGCGTTCAGGCCTGCCTATCCATGAGCGGGTCTTATGTACGATTTCTTAAGTGGGGTGCACGTTCTCCCGGACTGTGTGACGATCATCGCGATTGAGTCGTCGAGTACTGTGCACATATGGCCATCACCACCAAGGCACGGGGACTTATGCCACCACATCTGCGATACTAAGCAGAACTGGTGATCGGCATGTCACGCGTAACTCTGCGCTGCCACTTACGTCTCTACTGTATACCTAGTCTGATACTAATGAGCCTTGCCGCGCTCGAGCGCATTGTACCTCAGACAACTTGGCGCTTACGCATCCAGAAATCATAACTGTGGCGTCGCCTCGCCTCCTAATCGTCGACTGCGGTAACACATTTCATCATCTTACACTTGTTGCTCGAAGCTCTCCAGGCACAAGGTTGCAATTCAAGGTCGCCAAGAATGAGGATTTGAACATGCGTAGCCGCTGTCGATAAAAAACAATCTGCGCGTGGGGAGTCAATCTGGAAATCCTCTGTCAACAACACTCATATCAACTCTCAGAGCCTCACCATTGCTTACTGTGGTAGATTCACTCAAACAATGTGTGCTCGGTGTGGTCAAGGCAGTCTAGCCACAGCCCGGGGATGGAAATTGGCACCTGCCAAATGTTCCTCGCCACTTGTGGAACGGGTGCTGCTAGCTGTCCGAGCGCCATTTCGTGTCTCAAGACTGAGCGCACGGTCCCGATTCTTTGCGAATATACATACAGACCCTCCCGCCTCTTGGCTGTCTTGGTGGCTTATTGACTTTGTGTACACGGAGTTCGGGGAGTCTAGAGTTTCCACCTAAATAACTCTGCCACGGAGACTCTCAACATCCAGATACCCGCCAACACTTCCAATCCCGACCAAGCTCCTGCTGCTCCTTGAGACGTCGACTGAATATTATAGCTGTCAACTCTGCGAGTTGCCCGACGCGATGTCGGGCACTCAGGCTGTGGGCAACTCGATGACCTTTTCGGCCGTGGCTCTCGTGTTTGTGTTATTACGCTGCACGAGTCGTATATTTTTTGTGGGTCGCGTGCTCAAGGAGGATATGCTCATCTGTGTCGCAATGTTGTGGTCTTTCGGATTTTCAAGTTCCATTGAAGTTGGTACGTTCGGCTCCCGCCCAGAGAATTCAATATCGTTAACAAGGTAGAACGACAAAACGGTATGGGGGATCACATATCCAACGTTTCCCCGGAGCGTCTCGAACGAATGCTACAGGTCGGGTCCTCCAAAATCATTTGTGCCCGGCTTTGCTGATGCAGGAAGGGCTTCTACGCTAGCGTTATCGTTTACAACCTAGGTCTTGCGTTTGCCAAATGCTCCATCAGCTGTCAATTCCTGAGCCTTTTCAAGGAACGGAAGTATCGTATTTCAGCTTGGTTTCTCATCGCCTTCTTCGCCGCATACGACCTTGTCACTTTGATGGTGTCCATCTTCTCCTGCACACCTGTTCGGTATTACTGGAACAGAAGCCTTCCTGGAGGCGGATGCATCAGATTTGAAACATGGTGGTTCTTTAGCGCATCATTTTGCATTGTCTCGGACTTTGTACTTTGCATTCTGCCGCTGCCGATGCTGAAGTCTTTGCACATTCCACGGAAGCAGAAATATAGCCTGCTCGCCGTCTTTGCTGTTGGCGGATTGTAAGTCGCACCATAACGTGAATGATAAACGTTACTAAACCCGGGTTGCAGTGTGTGTATTGTAGCGATCCTACGTCTACATGCGGTCTACGTCATCAGCAGTTCCCCCGACCCTACGTACGGCAATGTCGCTGCAGCCTACTGGTCTTCCATCGAACTCAACACGGGCATCATTTGCGCGAGCTTGCCGACCATTCGTCCTATTATCGCCAAAATATTTCCCACTTGGCTCGGGTCAGCTCCCCACAGAGTCGCGCAGAGACAGTCCAGCATACCATAGCCATCGAGGAGCAATGAGGTCGACACAGCTGACTATCAGACCCTGGTATATATTGACAAGCAGGGCCATGATAATGCGATAATGGCTCTCGGACGTGAGAGACCGTTCAGATGGTCGGTCAACCTTGTGGGGGTTGAGTAGAACGTGATAGATCTCAAAGTACCGGCTGCTTATGTCACCACGTACTGTATTGTAGACAGTCAACCTTAAATCTTTGGAAGCAGGGTGTGGAGGGCGAAGTCAATTCTCTTTTTGTTCGTACTACACTCGTGACTCCACTCTTGGGAAGAAGGCGTCTACAGCAAAAGGGGCAGCACGGTTCACCCCCGAAGGTTACTCCTGAAGAAACGGTTCTGCCGCTCACCGTGAACCTACAACTCTTCTAACTCACTCTACACTCTTCATCATCTCTAAACACTCTCTTAGATCCTTCACGACAATATCAAACTCCCCAAAAAGCTGCGTACAGGGATCTCCCTCCTCATGCGCCACCCACGCGGTCTTAAAGCCTGCCCCCCTTGCCGCTATCAAATCCCAGCTATGCGCAGCCACGAACCACCTTTGACTTCCATTCCTCCCATCCCGCAACGCTGTGTTATTCTCACACTGTTGAGATTCCAACCACTGTTTCGCATTAATATACCTTTGGGTCGGGGCTTTGCAACCTTGATATCGTCACAGCTCAGTAAATGCGCCGCGTCAAGCTGAATATCCGCAAGCTCGTAGTAGCTTAAACTCGTTTGCTTGCTGCCGTTAGTAACAGCGTAGACATGCCAGTCTGCTGAGCGCAACCCATTGAAACACTCCTTTAGCCCACCGCGGGGAGGTCATCGTTTGATTGTCGTCATGATATCCTCGAGGTCCTGATCTGTAATGTTGACTTCCGGGTCCTGGAAGCCCACGATTGCACATTCTCGTCGAAACGTCCGTTGTAGGACCTGTGCGATCGGGGTGTAGGATAACCATTTCCTCCGGACACCGCCCATGATTCTGCCGGTGCGGCTCTGGGACGCGAGGACGGGCGAGAGTCCAGTCTTCACATACTCCAGGGCCATAGCAGCCTGGTCACCTTAGTGGCGTTCTCTCCCAATGGCCAGCATCTGGGCTCCTTCGATAGCACTATACGGCTCTGGGACGCCAGAACAGGCAAGTGTCTTCAGATGCTCGTGGGCCACAGCGGCTGGGTCACCTCAGTGGCCTTACTCCTCCGAGCTTAGAGGGGCGCACACCTACAAGATGCAGCTTTAAAGCAGACCCATTCGTTGGCGACTCACCCTCCTCTGGTGCTCAATCCATTTTTGACTGGAATTCCTCGCTTAAATGCTCCCAATTATTGTCCGATTTCTCCACGCCTTATTCTCCCAAAACGAAACTAAGTTGCCAGTGTTGGGTGGAGTCGTTCCAGTATCAGTATGATTGACTTTTGGCCCTGTCTGCTTCCCCGGGCCAATGGCGATTTCTTGGCGCCGCTCATTGACACAGTAAACTTAGGTAGATCCTATGGAAGAAAATCAAACTGTGGTTCACAAGCGTCGATCTTAGACTTCTCGATACTCGATAGCATATGTTTAAATTTATAGCAAGACTCGGCAATTCATGTAGTCGCTTGTCTTGCGCAGTGCAGAGCCAAAAGTCCTGACATGTGCGGCGAGTGGGTGAGCATACCGTGTCTGTTGGCCAGATGTTACGTTATGACAGCGATCACATCCCGCCGGACCGGTGCCTGCAACGGTTCAAAAAAGTACCATCCTCGGTGAATGCTGTTGGTGGATCTGTTTGGGCCCAACCGAATAGCCGCAAGGGCTTCACCCCTTCCCCGCATTCCGCGTGCTCTTTCCGTGCGGGTCATTCTAGTACAGATGTCAAACCGGTTCTAGAAAATATCAGGAATTTTGGAAATCGCAGTCTGACAGGTCATCTTCCCCCAGCTCGTTCAGTAACATCCCCGTTGCCGTTCATTTCCATATCGAGAGATGAAACCTCCAGCCGGTAACGCGGATATTCAGCCGCATCGATTCAAACATCTCTCCCATTTACTATTGGCTACTCTCTAGCTAATTGCTCTATACGACGTGAACTTTGCGCAACTGTCCACAGGCCGAACCAACCAGAATCATCCGTGGAGTGATATCCAGTTCTGGCTAATGACGCTGGACGAGATTAGAACCGGTTCATCATTGTGACGTCAGGGACAAACAGCCCACTTGTCTTATAACACACGTCGAGTTGATCAAAAAACTGTCAATCATACTGGATCGCACGTAGTCTTTTCCATATCTGGGGTGGCAGTGATTCGTGTGGACGAGCCCCCTGTACTAAGGCTGTGGTTCAGAGGAGGTATTTCCGGCCGCTTGAGCCGTCTGTCGCTTGTGCCTCCATATCGCATTGACAACTTCCTCACATTGCCTCATCTCTTACGTTAAGAAAAGCCTCTTCAGCTGCATTCATTCCACGGTACGAAATCAGCTTCGTGATCGTAATGTGGTACTGTTTCTCGTTTTATCCCGTCTACCAGGTATCCTTGATGAGAGGTGCATGAACGGGGCCTTTTAGCGCCTAAATATGCACAGTGCTCGTTGGACTGCCGTCAACCACATTTCCACTACCAATAGCGTCATTGGTGGCACCACGACGCTTTCAGAGCGATAGGTCCTGTTCCAGTCTGGACAGCATCCCGTTCAGCTGGGAAACCCCTTGTATGCAGTGTTGGTAAGCGGTCACAGCGCCAAGTCAATCTGTGTCCCTCGATCGTGATTTCCTGGGCATCAATAATACGGT